GGTTGTTGTTAAGAACATTAACAGCATCGATAACAAAACCAGTTGAGTTTAAGTGAGAAATATCACCCATTTCATAGGGACCAATCTGAGCACCCTTGATGTATTCAATTGGCTTGATGACTCGAACAATGTTCGAAGAAGCAGCAGAAGTAGGTTGAGTGGTGGGAGTCATTGTTAATTGAAGCAGAAACTGAACACTTGAGAATAAGTCAAGTGGCAGTAAGTAGAAATTATTCCGGATCAAAATAATTTACAAAGAAAAGTGATGAATAGTTGAGAAGAAGAATCAAAAACAAATGGAAAAAAGACCCTTTATTTATATTGTTCGAAATGTATGAAATAGCAATAAATCGATTGAGTGGATAAAGTTGCTTGAATAACTATCACAAGTTAGTTTTAGCAGCTCAAGGATTGATAAATGTGATCAAAGATGTTGTTTTTTGCTATTATTTTTCAGGGAAGTGATTTGGACGCAAATTAAGGTTTTTGGAATAGCTGGTACAATAGCTGTCAAACTGGAAATGGAAGTTCCATGCGTTTTCCTGCATTGCAATCTTGAAAAGGTTTTCACTGACACAAAAATGAAAGCAAACTCAATAGTTTAATTGGCGGAATTAATATTACATGAGAAGATGTATATAGAGTTATATAATTTTATATAATTTTATGTAGTGGAATAATTTTGGTTAATGAATAATTTGCCATTTTAGAGATTGAATTTGATTTATGAAATCTGTGTTAATTAGAGAGGAATGGCCATATGTACCGACAATTAGACAGTAATGGCTTGCTAGCAAGTTCCATTCTTCTAGTTCATCTAAAAATTCCAATCTTGATAATCTTAGTTTTTCATTTGAAGTTAGCCAGTTGTTGTAGATAAATAGCATGTCCGAAGATAAAATTTTATTGAAGTGGGTAATTTGAGATTGAAATCTATCGATTTGAGACAGTAGAGTTGGGTAGTCGTTTAGAGTGGAGATGAATATTTTTCTCTTAAGTAGATTATTGGACATCATTTCACCGAATCTGTCATTTAGAGAGATTGGTTCATATAGTGATATGATGCCGTTGGGAAAAGCGGATTGGAAAGATTGGAGTAAGACATTTGAATCAGTTGAGGACATGTAGCAGGTTGATAGTTCACTAAATATTAAAGTTGGGTGATTGAAGTTGATTTTGATAGTTGTTGAGTTTTTCAAGTATTGTATGAATTGGGTGAATTGATTTTTATCTCTTAGATCGATTGGGTATAGTAGATAGTTGTTTGTTTGGATTGTGTCTATATTGAATGTTGATAGATTGATATTGTTGATATTATAGTTGGTATTATATTGGAGGGATGAATCGAAGTTGGAAGAGTTGAAGATTAGGTCTCTAAAAGTTGGGTTTGATAGGTATATGAAAGATTTGATAAAGGTTGACTCTTTGAATTCCAATTCAATGTATTTGAAATTGTGGATAATTTTATGTGGAGAGGAGGAAGAGAAGTTTTTGATTAGGTTTAGAAATCTCAAATCTGAGCCAGCACCTAGGGAAATGATTTGGCAGTTTTCGTAGTTGTTTGAGATGAGGAAATTTTGAATGAGAATGTCTAGCAATTTTGTTCGAATGTAGGTGCCTCGATTGATTAGAGGAAACTTGTTTTTGATTAGATTTTCGTTTAGGTTTGAGTTTAAGAGACGTTGAATTGAGAATTTTGAGTTGCCAAAACTTTTAAACAAGCTGTTGTTTGAAGCTAGTAGTGGAAGGTTGATTTTCAATTGGTCTATATAGGATTTGAATAGCGAGGAGTCGTTGTTTGGGTCATTTGAAAAGTAGTTTTTATTGAAGCAGGACAATTTTGAAGAGAGGGCATCAAAATCAGTTGATTTGATTACCTTGTCTCTTCTTTCAATTGGATTGAAATTCAAAGACATTTTGTGTATTGAGGAATGGCAGTAGCAATAGAAAAAGGAAAAAAAGGGAAGAAAGAAAGAAAGAAAAAAGCAGATAGTAATAAATATACGAACAGGCAGAAGAACAGATAAACAAGAAGGTAAAGAGAAGCAGCAGACGTAAAGATGGAAAAAAAGTATGGTGAGCAAGAAAATGCGGGCGGAAAAAAAAAACACAATAGGAGACGCAACGGCAGCTAGATGGATATCGCGTCAGCATAGCAATCAGCACTGGAGCAGTTTGCAGGGCTCTTTTTGGCGTGGGAAGCAGAAGCAGCAGAAGCAGCAGAGGCAGCAGAGGCAGCAGGGTGGTCGTAGTCGGAGTAGAGGATGCGGGAGACCAGGGAGAGAGGCAAGTCCCAGACGCCGTTGGTGGGAGCCCAGAGGTGGTGAGGACTGTTGGAGACGAGGGCAGAGGTGTCAGAGAGGTTGGACCAGTGGGCAAGGGGCCTGGTCTTGAGCTCGGTGTTGTAGAGGGCGAGAAGCACGTACACGAAAAGCATCAGAACGAGCACGAAGGAGGGAAGCAGCAAGGCCCAGTAGCGGTGGGGGTAGTACCAGATACCGATGGCGTGGAGGCAGGACTGGGGCAAAAGAGCCCAGAAGCACCACGAAGCGACGGCGAGGAGGCTCACCAAGTGGAGAACGAAGCCGGTGTACTCGGTCTTGGGCGCAATTCTGTTGGAGATGGTGGCGTCACTGGCAGTGGCCCAGAGGTCAGAGATGAAGCTGGCGGCGCTGGGGCCGGCAGAGGAGTCCAAGATGTCCTCGTACTCGTACACGCTGAAGCGCAGATCAAAGGCCAGGCTGGCGCCGGCACTGGGTACAAAGCTGTCATCGAAGGAGTAGCGGGGCATGGCGGCAGAAGCAGCAGAAGCTGCAGAAGCAGCAGCAGCAGAAGGTGCGCGTGCTTCCCCTTTTGTGCCCGTCGCCACTCAGCGTGCACGTGACCGCTCCATCTAGAACTTGCTGGCCAGGCCTTTTGTTATGGCCTCTGCTTCCTGTGCTCCATTTCAGGCTCAATTCCATCAGCTATGGGTATGTCGATGCTTCCTGTGCCCTGTTTTCTTCGTCTTTCTGTCTACTAACTCTCTTTCTAGCTCAGAAGAACAAAATGTCGCTAAAGGAATTCTTCCAAGATGACTGTACGTATCTCCACTCTGCCTCTTGTGCTGCTAGCGATCCATACAATCCTGCCGATACTAACCAGCTTTCTCTTCTCTAATAGCTTTGGGTGGTCACTCTTGGGCTGACGACGACTTTGATATCAAATCCATCCAGGTTCCAATACGTACGTTCGTTGTTTGCGTTTTTCCTTGGTTTCATCTTTTTACCTTTTTACCTTTTGCCCTTTTTTTTTCTTGGTTCGTATTATCGATCTCTTACGAGCTCAAACTAACAGTTTATCTTTTAAATTTAGAAAATGCCCTGGCCTCAAATTCGAGATCAAACTCAACCATAAATTCAAGATCAAATTCAAACATAAGTTACAACAATTATACCCACAATAACCACCATAATAACCATAACAATAACCATAATTACAACTATTCCCAGAACGGCAACTACAACAGCCAATCAAATTTCAGTTCCTCAAGCAACTACCAATCTGCAACTTTTACTCATCTACTAGATTACCAATTAAATCCTCCCTACATTGTAAAGTTCATAAACTTGTCCTCCAACTTCAACAACGATCTATTGCTAAAGCTATTCAACAACTATTACGATATCATAGGACAGTTTCCAGATTTTATTCAAAAAAATGACAACATCTTCAACCTAAACTATATCCCCGGAAAGGGTATAAGATTAAAAAAATTCAAACTCTTCTGGGAACTAAACAACTCCTCCACCACCACAATCAACACTACTAACAACCCTCTCTCTCTCTCTCTTTCTCCTACTCTTTCTCCTTCTTCTTCAACCACCCATATCTCAAACGACATCCCAAACGCAACTAATGTCAAAAATATGAAAAAAATCGCTTTTGTCGAATTCAATACTCTACTAGAACTAAACATTGCAATGGCCTTTAACCAACTAGGTATATACAACAACCAAATCATCAAATTCAATGATTACCTCCTCGGTTTAAATAACGACTTTAAAATTCTCTCCCCGGATGACAAACTATCCCTCTCAAATGACAAAATTACCGTCAAATTGGCTGATTTCGATGACTTCAATAACTACCAAAACTCAAACGATTACCAACATCATCTCAACTACCTCTACCACAAATTCTCCTCAAACTCTTCAACCAGAAGCAACTCCCTCAAGAGATTCTCTTTTTCTTCCTCTCCAAATTTAAACTCAAATCTAAATTTAAACTCAAATTTAATTTCAAATACCAATCCTAATCTCTCTCCCAGTCTCACTACCAATCCTATTTCTAAACAAAAACAAAAGCCAAACCCTTTTGGTAACGCTAAACCAATTGATGTCCTCTCAAAGGATCTAGAAATTGAAAAATTAATGAAAACATTAAACAGAACCACTTTTCAAACTCCAGGTAGCTCAGATATATTCAACAACCAACAAAAACTTGATTCTAACCACAAAAATGACAATGATCAAATCAACACAACAGATATTGACCCACCTCCCCAAGATAAAAAAATTGAAAAAAAAACTGGTGAATCTATTGAAAAATTCCTCTCAACTGACTCACTTGTCCAACGCCCCCGTTCTCGCTCAATCAAATCCCCCAAATTAATCGTTCAGAAATTTCCTTCAATCAAAAACAACTCTGACCAAAACTCCTCTTATTCTTCCTTTTCCAAAAATTCAACTTCAATTTCTTCCAATTTCTTTCCCAAAAATTATGCTGCCGTTGTTGCTCAAAATTTACCTCAATCTTTTCAAATATCTTCTCCTGTTCCAATTCCCAAACCTATAATTACTGATTTGAAATCTGATTTATCTGCAAATATACCTAATCCACAAACTTCAAATTTTATCAATAATCAACCAATTAAACTCAATTCCTCTATTAATGTTAATTCCACTAATAATAATAATAATAATAATACCAATAATAATAATAATAATATCGATAATAATATCAATAACATCAATAATAATATTAATAATAATAATTTAGTGGAAAAAGTATCAAACTCTTTTCCTATTAATGCTTTAAATAATAATGATTCCAATCTTACCAATACACAACTCAAAAAAGATTATGATTTATCTCCTAAAGAAGACACCAACCAAAATTATATTTTGAATTCTCACTCTTTCAAACCTAGAATATTAAAAAGAACTTTAATACAAAATGATATAACTTCAACTCAAAATAACAATAATAACAATAACAATAACAATAATAATAATAATAATAATAATAATAATAATAATAGTATTTTGAAAATTCATGAATCTTCATTAGAAATTCCAATTGAAAACGATGTAATTATTAATAATGAAATTAAAAATAAAATCAAAAATGAAATTAAAAACGTTGATAGTGAAACTACTCTTAGTAATGAAAAAACCTCTATAGAATTATCTAATTCAAATAACAATTACACAGATTTAGAAAATAAAATCCAAAAAATTGAACCTGATATTCCTAGCAAAACTGAAAACGCCGTTTCAAATATTTTACTTGAACCAAAACTAGACCCAAAACTAGAATCAACAATAGAATCAAAGATAGAATCGAAATTAGAATCAAAGTTAAAATCAAAATCAGAACTAAGATCAGAATTGATCTCAGAACTAAAAGCTGAAATTAAATCAGAATTAAAATTGGAAATCGAATCAGAATTAAAATTTCAAAACATTAATGGGAAAGTTGACCGGGATATTGAACCTATTAAAGAAGATGATAAGAACGAATTAAAAGATATTTCAAAAGAAATCAAAAATCAAAACAAATTTCCAAGATCCAAAAATTTATCTTCCAACAATCAAAACAATGCTTTTGTTTCTAATTCCAAATATAGTAATTCTAGCTTCAAAGCTCAATCCCCTTCAAGGAATAATTCTTTGGTAAACGAAAAACCTAACTTTAAAGGGAAAAAAATTGCAAATGTCACTAGGGTTTTTAATAGCGAATTTAAATTTGCAGAAAATAAACTAAAGACCAAACCAATTAAAAAGGATGAGCAGGATATCCAATCCAATAAAAAATTAAATCAGAAATACATTAAAAAAGACCTTAACAAAGACCTTAACAAAGACCTTAATAAAGATTTTAATAAAGACCTTAACAAAGATCTTAATAAAGAATTTAACAAAGACCTTGGTAAAGACCCTAACAAAGACTCTAACAAAGACTTTAACAAAGGAGTAGAAAAAGAAAAAAAAATCCCCAAATATATCGTAGGTTCTATTAATGAAACTCGTTCAAGTTATAATTTGCATAATGATTCCGGATTCACAAATAGAAACAGAGGGAAAGAAACTGTTCATAGAACTCCTGCTGTCAATTACAATACTCACTACTATAATCCAAGTTATAATCCTGAAAAGACTAAATCTACCAATGTGTCTGATTCAAAATTCAAAAGTTCATTTATTAACAAGTCTTTGAAAAACCCTTCCAGAACCTATTCAACTGCAAATTTTGATTTGAATTCTAATAAAGTCTTGAAAACAATCAATAATGTTGATTCTAGAAAATATAATAACAAAACATTTAGACCAAAAAGATTTGAAGATAATAAAACGGAGAGAGCCGATTTTGGAAAGCCAGTTAAAGGTTTTGAGAAAAATGTATTTGCGAATGAAATCAAACCATTACCTAAAATCGAACATGCCAATAAATTTGAGTATTTAACACATCTTGATAAAGAAGACAATGAAGATATTCTTGAAAAGAAAAGCGAAGTGAAAAAGCCAAGCCCATCTTTGAAAGCACCTTCAGTGTCTATAGAAGATAGGAATGAAAAAATTGCATCGAAAAAAGCTTCCAATTTGAAATATAAAAATAAGGCATCTATCAATTATAAAGGTAGGAGTAAAAATGGAGGTTTCAAAAATGAGACCAAAGTATTTAATCAGGCAACACCAAGTACTGAGTGATAAATACAAACTAACTAATTAATTTATTCAACATTTTTTTTGTTTTAACTTAAATAATCATCATACCTTTCAAAAGTTTTTTTTTTTCACCATAAAAGTTTTATCTGTAAAGTTATATTTTTATTTTGCTTGGTTTTTTTTTTGTTTGATGTTGATTTAAAATGAGGTGTGGTATTTTTAGTGTTTTAATTTATTTTTTTAAAACCAGATTATTTTTTTTATTTATGATTATGTATAGTTAGAATAAATTCATTTAATTTATTATTAATTTATAAAAATTTTCAAAGAGGAGATACACAGAAGAGAAAAAATAATAGGGTTGTAATATATACAAGAGTTGAAGAAAACTAATTAGAACTTACATCGCCACCAAAGCCTACAGGCAATTTAATGGTATTTTTTGGTAAAAGACCAAGGAATTTATATAATTTACCCATACTTCCAGCAGTGTTTTCAGTCAATCTTAGGTAGCTTTTTTTAATCCTTTCCTTTTCCTGAAGAGATTTTGAATGATGAATTAGCTGGTCAGCACGATAACCGAGACCTAGCTGATGCAAAAAATCAGCTTGCTCAACAGGGCCAAAACTTTTGACTTGATCAGCTACAACTTGTTTAAGATTTTGGAAATCAACGTCAGCAGATAGATCGACCTCACCAGGTTTATAAAAAGGAGATAGTAGTTTATGAGATTTAATTCCTCTCAAAGTATTGATGGGACAAGTGTCAAGAGGACCGTAATCGATAATTAAAGCAGCGCCTTTGTAATTAATAAATTGAGAAATTTTTTTGACATGGTCTATAGATTCAATTGATACTTCGACTCTTGAGCCAATTGGAAAGGAATTAAAACGAGGATTTGATTCTGGAATATTTGAGGAAACAGTCTTTTTAGGAGATAGAGTTAGGAAAAAAGGATAGTCTTGAATTAAAGAAGAGTTTTTATTTTTGTCGAGATCTGAGGATTTGTAAGTAGTCTTATTTGGCAAAGAAGAAGCGTCATTTTGTAAATTTAGTTTTCTAATTTTTTCATCAGTGGAATAATCGACCAATAACTCATGCCAGCCATTAGAAGTCTTTTCAAATTGTTTTATTGGCAAGGCATCGAAAAATTCATGAGCTATAATATAGTTTGTTGAATTGTTAGATAAGACAGCATCCAAGTCAGTTTCATTGTCGATCCATCTTATATTATTGTTCCAAGTGGATTTTGATGTGAATCCGATTTTATCGTCAGAAGGAATTAATCTGTGGATTGAATTGGATAGCAATTTCCATTGCTCCTTTCTTAAAATTGGAGAAGCCTCGACTAATATGATATTGATATTTAGCTTTAAATTTGTAGTTTGAGATAGCTTGTTAAACGTCTTGATTAGATCGTATATTAGAGTACCCTTGCCTGGTCCAAACTCGACGAAATTTATATCCAATGGTTTGAGCTGATCCAACCAGATTGAAAAGAACCATATTCCAAGCATTTCACCAAACATTTGGGAGATTTCAGGAGATGTGATGAAGTCACTCTTACCATTTAGACCCAAGGGGTCTCTGGTGGTGTAGTAGCCATACTCAGGGTGAGTCAAACATGTCTTCATGTAGGAAGAAAGAGAGATTGGGCCAGTGGTTTTGATGGTTTCTCGAATGATATCAGTCAAGTTGTTCAACTGAATTTTGCCAGTGGAGGGCTCTTTCGTGGATGTCAAGAGATATGGTGAACAACAAAAGAACCTCAGAGAGCTTCTGTTAAGACAACGCAGGGCAGGCCAGTCTATTCTAGCTCTGCTGAGGAATCTGCTGAATGTGCTTCTGGAGGAAATCATGGCACAGAGAACAACAAGTTGAGAGGAAGCAGAAGCAGCAGCTTTTGGGTAGGTGTCGGGAGCCCTGGTTTAGGGCTCGGAAGAAGAAGAAGAAGAAAAGATTCAAAATACAAACGACTTTACGGACAAAACTACATAAATCCATAGATATATCTAAACTAAACAGCAGGCTTTTTAATTATAACCCACCAATTGTCTCTTTCGTAGCCATGTTCCACCACAACAGCACCAGCAGCAATGGCATTCTCGTTGAGCTCGTTTTCTTTGTACAAATGGTAGTATCTTAGCTTGGTCTCCTCTCCATTGTCTTCAACTGCTTTCTCGCTTTTGATGGTAGCACTTGTATCTACCACTTCGTTTCCTCTTTTTGTCTTGCTCTTCCTCGCCTTCTTGGACTTGGGCTTCTTCTTTTGAAGCACCCAAGGCACCAAAACATCCTGTGTCATTCCCTTTTTCCAACCTCTTCTCGACTTTTCTTGCTCCAAAGCCCAGCAATAGATCAATGCCTCGCCATTGGGCTTCAACTTTGACAAAATGTGGACAATGGCCTGGATTCTTCGCTCCTCTGTTGAAAAATGGTGGATAACAGCGATAGAGATTGCAAAATCAAACTGGTTGTTTAAATGTGGCAACGACAATCCATCACACACAATTGAATCGTTGTTTACCGAATCTCCATTGATCTCACTGGATAGTACTATCAAATTGTCTGAGTAATCACTTCCAATGATAAACACATTCTTGTTGATGTTCAAGTACTTTCCATTCCCACACCCCACGTCGATGCCAATCGATCCTTTTTCTCGACTTTGAAGAAACTTCTCAACTATTGGCCATGGTTTGTATCTGGTTTCTGAGAAATGAGAAGCAATCTCGTTATACACCTGGTGAACATATATCTGCTCTTTCTCAACAGGATTCTTGACCTGTTCCATTTTAATTTTTTCTTCTTCCATTTGTCTAATTATCTGCTATTCTTCCACTGAGATATCCCCAATCAACAATATGTATCTCTCTGCTTTGGCGTTTTCCAATAAAAAGTTTAGCTTTGTGAAGCCAAAAACCTAATTCGCTCTCAGAAATCAAATTCTGTTATTTTTCAAGCCCTCAAAAGCACTTCACCAACAATCAACAACCTCTATTCAACAATTCAAGTCACTGAGAACTATTGTAAGCTGTTTTATCCCACGATGAAGGCGTTCTTGCTTGTATCAGCTCTACTTATCATCCCATCCATCTTGCTATTCAACTTCAATTACAATTACTCCTTTTTGATTGCGTCTCTAACATCCACTAAATCGCTGTTAAATGATCTACATATAACAATACCAATTGAGCTAAGAGTTGAAGATGGAATGAACTATCCTGATCTCCATCTTGCTGTTCAGACTCAATTAAACCATGAAATATTCTCTGGTCCTTTATTACTAGATTACAACTTTCAAATCAGTACTTTGGTTTCAGCATCAGCGAATTCCTCCTACGATACCTCCCACTCAGCTTACAACGTCAAGTTGTTTCTCACTGAGGATAAAGATGAATCAATTTATGTTGATTCTCTTGAGAGATTTGGTGTTCTATACTACAATTTAGAGACTATAAACACGAATGATTTGCCCTTTTACATCACCCAAACAATTTTCTACAACATGTTTTTAGATGAGTATAAATTGTTGGTTATTGATCCTTCAATCCCCAAAAATCTTTCCATTTCAAATTCAATCTCAAAAATCGATAACTATTCTCTTGATAACTATTTCAATTTTACTTCAACGCAGGTAAATCCTTATAAAATCAATCTTATATTCACTTTCATTCTTAAAAATTCTAAACAAAACGTTAATATCAAAATGATGAATACTTTATTGGATCTTTATTTTTCTCCAATTAAACTGGCACTAAATGACCAGTTCGATTTGAATTATGAGATCAAATTTTTGTTTTACAATGACTTTAGAATCTTGCTAAATTCCTACAACAAAATTAAAATAAAAACCCCTATGGATAACTCCACAGTGAAAGAATTTATTAATTATTCTTTAAATAACTATTCAACAATAAACTTCGTTACTATTGATTTATATAATGTAACTGATCAGTTTTTCCTATCGAAATCAAAAGACGAAAATTCAATAATAATAGTATCACCATCCAATTTTAAAATCGACTATAGTACTCATTATTGTTTAAAGAAAATATTGAAAAAGTTTGTTAAATCTTTTTTCTTAAAAATAGTTCAATATCAAAATTATCAAACCATTTCAAATTCAGACATGAATCTAGATTCATCTTCAATATTACATTTCGATAAACTAATCAGACTAACAATAATCTCAAAACTAAATAAAATAGCTCAAAAGATTAAACTCTTAAATAATATAAAAAATAAGAATATTATTAATTATTTTTCATTGGATTTTTATAAAAAAATGTTTGAAATTTTAAAATTAAGAAATGAAGCAATTAAGTTGATTAGCTGTGAGAGCGATTTCAGTCTGGGTTTAAATAAATTGATAAAAACTGAAAATTATTTAAATAAACTAATTTCCTGAAACTTCCTAATGAAATTTTTTATTTTTTTTTTAATTTTTAATAATAAATTCCCTAATTATTCATTACTATATCCATTATCATATTTGAGAGATTTCCTCGTTTCAATATTATCTTTCCCATGTTTGCCATATAAATATTGAACTGCCTTTTTTTTTTCTGCTTCACTGTCAAACAATTCATTAAAAATTTGATTTAAAATTAAATCATCCTCTTCAGTCCAAATGCCCTGGATATGTTGAGGAGGATTTTCGCCTGTTTTAACAACACTAAATATATATTGAGTTAGAATACTCGTTATCCCTGAACATCTTAATAACATATCAGTTGCAAAGGAAGTTTTCAAACCTATTTTCTCATTCAAGATTTTTGAAGCCTCTTCGAAATTTTTATTAGTAAGTACCATTAAATTATTTTGAATTAGTTTTTTATTAGATTCTAAAGATTTGGTTAAAAAAGCATCTTCAAAATAGTTTTTAATTTCAGATAGTATTTCAGAACTGACAACTTTATTAATGGGCTCATTATAAAAGCCGTCAATTGAGTCTTCTGTGTTTATTCTAATATCAGTCAAAGATTTCGTGTTGTCATTATTATCAGTAATAATATTATTGTTTTTGTTATTTTTATCGGTTTTGTTAATACTGTTAATAATATCAGTATCAGACTCGTTTAAAGAATTGGACGAATTGTCGGAAATGTCAATAACAAGAGAAGTGCCTTGATTTTTTTGTGAGGAGGTGCTATTAGAATTTGAAATTTTTTGTTTTTTGTTCAATTGATTTTGTTGATTTTGTTGATTTAATTGTAAATTATAATCTGGAGATAAAGAAGATGAGCACCTTTTTTGATGTTTATGGTGAGTATGATTATTATTAATATCAGTAAATTCATCAGTTACATTTGGTTTCTTTTTTGTTATTGGGTCGGGCGTTCTATTATTTTTAATTTCATTATTATAATAATCAATATAATTCATCAAGCCATAGGAGCAAACAAATTTTCTATATCTATCTTTCCAAGCGAATTTTGAATGGTTTGAGAATTTTTTCTCAAATTCAGCAAAATAGCTTAAAGGTACTGAAGGTAATTTATTGTTTAAGTTTGTATTTTTATGCGGTGAATTTTTTTTGTTTAAATGAGATAAAACGCCCAAACATAATTGGTAATCATCTATTGATGAGAATTTGACTCTTTTGTTTAAAGGGATTTCATCGATACCAACTTTTATAAAATTTCCATTTGAATCCTTTACAAGATTGCCCATTGAGTCGACTTTGTAAAGATATTCTAAATCATTGACTAGTAGATTTCTAAATCTATATCTTATTGAGTTACCAGTGTGCCTTGGTAGATAATTGATAGCCAATTGATCAAAGAATTTATGAGAACCTCTTTTCAAAGGGTTTCGACGAATTTGATCTAGGATTAACGTATCTTCGATTTTTGTGAATTCATTTTTATTGAATCTTTTATCGATTATTAAACTTTTGGATATTGTGTTGATTATAGAAGAGTTTTCAGGAGAAACAAAACTGTTTAAATCAAATTCCTGATTAATTTGATCCATATTATTGTGGTTTCTATTATTATTATTATTATTGTTGTTGTTGTTGTTGTTGTTGTTGTCGTCATTATTATTATTTTTGTTATTATTCTCGGATTTATTATTAGTATTGCCATTACTATTATTAGTGGTAGCATTAGTACTAGTGGTGGTAGTGACAGTGGTAATACCATTGCTACTATTGTTGATATTATTATTATTATTATTATTATTATTAAGATTTTTCAAATGATTAGAATTAAAGTAATTAGAATGGTCAATAAAGTTGTTAGTATGAATTGAGTTTTTATAAAGGGATAGAGGTAATAAAGTGTTTTTATCAGTCGAGTGGTAAATGAAATCAGGAGTATAAGTGGTCAATTGGTCATTATAATATCTTGATATTATAATTATCTGTTTAGAGGTTATATCATTATTATTAGCAGCTGCATCTTTAGCATCTTCAATTGGGTAGTCCGAGATTATTCCACCATGGTTTGTAATTAAATAAATTAATTGAGGCTTATCAGGTTCGTTATTTGGAATAAAAAATTTAAATGGAATCTTTGTTTGAAGATTGGAAAATAAATTCTTGTTTAAATCGTTCATTGAGACTCCAAATTCATTGGCTTGGTTGCTTTGATTTGAATCGTTGGAGCTGGTGGAATTATCCCGAGCATCAGAAGAAACATCCAGAACAACAGGAGGTGAGTTTATATGGCCGATACTGGCATCATCGTCACCATTATTATGGCTATCAATATTGTGGGTATATCTCTTAACGTCGTCGTCATTGTCCAGTTTGGCCTGGGAAGTGGTGGTATGTGTGGTGGTGCGAGAAAAGGCACCAGTGGCCTGAGAAGAAGCGGAAAGTGAACTCTGGGAGTTCTCTGCAGCAGAGATAAACTCATCTTCATCGGCAGCAGCAGCAGCAGAAGCAGCAGAAGCAGCAGAAACACGATGCGAGGCCATGGCTGGAGAAAGGGTGTTGTTGGAGGTGGTGTTGGAAGTAGAAAAGCAGAGAAAAAAGTAAGCGCCGAAGCACGTGAGAAGCGCGTGAGAAGCATATGAGAGACCAACGGTGCGGGCTTCTGTTTGGTTGAAGAGAAGGAAATTGAGGAAGAAGAGAAGCAGAGAAGAAGACCAATGGATGCTGAGTTCTGGACACAATACGAGCAGTATCAGCTGCTTGCTGACGAAATCCAGCAGATAGAGAGCAGGGAGCTCGAGAGGAGGTCGTTGGTGCTGGCACTTACGTTGTTGAGGTGTCTCTACCAGAGCTGCAACGAGAACACCCATCACGAGGAACACGATGCAAAAGACGAGGAGGGTGTTGAGCTGATTCAGAAGAGCGAGAAGAGTAAAGAGAGCAGTGAGAGTGAGAGAAAAAAGCGGGAAGAGCTTTTCAAACAGTTGACTGCCTTGAAGAACAACTTAAACAGCTCGAACTTTGAAATTGAGAAATTGAAGCAACAGCTTTCTTCTCAAAAATCTAGCTACGAAATCAAAATTGAAAATTTTAAATCGAGCATCCGAAATTTAAAGGAGAAACAAAATCAATTGCTACAGAGCAGTAATCTGAATGCCAGCAGTGCTAAGAGCAATGATCTCAGCTTAAGCAGTAATAAATTAGCCCTTGATAGTGATCAAAAAATCATAAAGCCAATTTCTCCAATAAAGGCAATTAATGATAGCATAATAAGTAAACGATCCCACTTATCCAAAAAAATCAATATTCTCAATTCGAATATAAACAACACCATCAAAAGTAACTTGAATGGCAGCAGTAGCAATAATAACTTGAATGCGTTGAAACAATACAATCTAAATCCTCCAATTAAGAATCCAAATTTAACTCAAACCAATTTTTCCTCAAAGATTCCTGTTCCAATTAAGAGTTATAGCAAACAAAATAACTACAATAATAACGATAATGATAACGATTTATCAAACATATCAATATCTGATTTTTTAATGAGTAATAAATCAAATATTCCTTCAAAGATCCCAATTCCAACTAACGGTTTAACGTTGTCTCCAACAAGATCCCCCAATAAGCTATCTCCTAGTAAATTATCCCCCAACAAATTATCTCCTGATAAACTATCGCCCAATAAACAAATCGATAATAGCACTAATCAAAGAAAAAAATTCATGTCTCCAACTCATAACCCAAATAATAAATCAAAACTAATATTAGCCACATCTACTCCATCAAAATACAATACAAATACTAATAATCCCTTAACTTCTCCAACTAAAATTCCCTCTCCTTTAAAAAATGAAATAAAAAATCACATTAGTTCCAATTCCAATTCCAATTCTAATTCTAACTCGAATTTAAATCCAAATTTGGATTCTCCCAAAAGGAAAAATAACTTGATTAATAAACAATTGCAAAAAATTTATGAAGAGGAAATCACATATAAAAAGACTCCCTCAAGGAGTTCAAATAAAAGACAAAGTATCATAAGTGAAGTCTTACTAAAATCTTTTCATTCTCCAAATTTTAACAAAAATAAAAATAAAAATATTAACATCAGTGATAATACTAGCAATAACAAAAATGCCAATAATAATAATACTAAAAATAGCACAGCAACTCAAACTAAAATTTCGACTAGCAAGAAAAGAAAATCATCATTTGGTATTAATAACGATATATCACTTATACTAAAACCATCTACAAAGAATAGTAAACTAAGTAAATCTAAAAAGCCTTCTCTTTTCGATATAGACAATGACGACGATGACGATGATAACGATATTTTTACTCAAACTTTAAAAAGATTGTCATCTAAAAATAAAAACACCAACTCAAACAACGATATCAAAAAAATAAAAAAGAAAAGAAAATTAGCGGGTGGTGGCATTCAATTTGATGAAAATGACGATGAAAATTTTGGTAATTACGATATCGAAGATTCAATGCATACTCCAATGGTTACCAACATCAGAAACAATAAAAACAATATCAAGGATACATCTATTTTTGATAAATCGCCCTCTCCTGTTAAAAAATTGCCCACTATGAAAAACAAGTCTCCTGTGAAAAAAGTCCAATCTGAAGATAAGAAAAACGACAATAGCTTCAGTCCTCTAAGAAATGACAAAAAGAGAGTATTTAGAGTTTGAAAATTTCACTTGGTGGCCTAAATATGTTATTATTTCCACCACTTCCACCACTTCCACCATTTTCTGTGACCAGACCCCCTTCTTACTTCAACTCCCCTCCCATTCCCGCACACAGACCCCGTTTCCGAGGTCCAGACCGCCCACACGTATCATATAGTTTCTTTCTCTAATAAACACTTTTCTCTCTTATCGTCGCTTTTTTTCAAGATTGTAGCTTCACCAACTGAGATCAATTGACAGAGTAATTGATTACCAGCTTCATTCGTTTGTCTCCAATACTTGCATATATGCTTACTTGATGAGAATGAAGTTGATACCAAACACCAGTTTCTTGTCTTACTTGACATTGTTTTTTTTCTGGTTAAATCTTATCAGTTGTGCCATATCAAAAGATGAGTTAAAGTCTCTTAGGTCTAAATCTCCATTGGGCATAATCCAGATAAATGATAATAATTTTGAAAAAATTTTACAAGGAGAAAGAAATCATTATTTTGTCTTGATGTTTACTGCCACGAATCCTCAAATTCCCTGCGATGTCTGTAAAGAATTTTTACCAACTTTTTCACAAGTTGCAAGCTCATATAACAGTCTAAATTCTAATGACGATAAATTATTTTTTGGTATTGCTGAATTTATAAATAACAAAAAGTTGTTTGGTTATTTAAAAATGAAAAATGTTCCTCATCTTTGGGTTTTACCTCCAAACACTAACCTCAATGAAGCTAAATATTATGGAATTGAAGATGAATCTGAACTAGAGCTTCAATACGATATTAAGGTCTCAAAACATTTCAATTATCAGATCAATTCAAAAAGATCAACTCCCTTAGAGTTTGCCAAATTCATCTCTCAGGCTTCTCATATTTCTATTCAAGTAAAACAACCAATTAATTCCCAAGAATATTTAACATATGTTTTATTTGGCTTTGCCATTTTATTAATTATCAAAAAGAGATCTGGTAGAATAGTTAATAATATTAAAAAAGGCAAAATTTGGTCAGTATTATCAGTATTATTTTCAATTTGTTTTGTGAGTGGTTATATGTTTACATTTGTTAAAAACGTTCCATTTGTTGCAAATAATGATAAAAAGGAATTTATATATATATCTGGTGGTCAATCGTATCAATTCGGTATTGAGATTCTAATAGTTGGTGGTGTTTATGCAATTCTTGGTGCGTTAGTTTGTATTTTGGTACTATACATTCCAAATCTAAATGAAGAAGAATACGATGATGTTAAAAAAAATACATTGGTTTTAATTTTAGTTTTTCTAATCTATTTATTTTATAGTCTATTGACATCTATAGTGTTAAGGAAGGACTCAAGTTATATTAATTGGTTTACAAAAATGATTTAAAAGAAAAACAAAACAAAAAACAAAAAAATAACCTCAAAATATATTCTTTACTTCAAACATGAAAAAATCTCAAATATCAGTTTAAACATTGAAAGATTTTAAACTATTTTATTTTTTATTTCAATTATTATCCCTGTATAATTTCTAATTTTTAAGTTTTAAAATTTGTTTTCTCCTTCTTTTTTGATTTTCTCCCATCTTTAATTATATTAATTGTTCAGTTTCCTCACCACTCTCGATAATTTGTTCTTCATCAGATTCACTTTGATTAATAATTATAAACGCAACACATATTAAAACTGCACATAATCCATAAATAAAACTAATCTTTTTATCATTGAATATGACATCCCCAATTACTGCCAATGGAATAGTTAATGTTAATCCAACAGTCACTGTTAATGGACTCGTTAGTAATATTGCCTTTGCCCAACAAAAATCAGCGATAAATGATATAAAGCAATTAACGATTAAAATTTTCCAAATAAATAAATTGGATGGCATTTCAAATTTTTCTAAATTAAAATAATTCAATATTAAAATCGAAGGCCATAATAAAATTAAATTGAAAAATCCAACAAAACCCAAAAATAGTTTCATATTTAATTTACTTTCAACTTTCACTTTTTTTTTCAATAATATTGTATAAATACTGTAAATAAAAGTTGATATTAATGCTAAAAAATCACCAAATACACTCTTATATGAAACATTATTTTTAATTGAAATATCATCCTCTTCTGTTTCACTATCAACTTTGGTCACAATTATTATACAAGTAAATGATAAAATTAATGCAAGTACTTTAGTGCTGTTAACTGTCTCTAATCTGGAAACATAGCCCATTAGTAATGTAAAAAAAGATGAAGTTGACGTTAAAATAGTTTGTGAAGCCACTGAAGTGTAAGATAACGAAGCATTCATAGTTAAATTTGCCAAAAACCATAGAATACAAAAATTCATACTTAGTTTCAATGTTTCATTCAATGGCAATTGTTTTTTTTTATTAATCACTGACGAAATTGATCTATCTCCATTTCTATTGAACAATATTGGCAAAAGATAGAAAATAAAAACACCAGTATTAATATAAGTAATCAAAAAAGGTTTTCTGTATAAATCGTCAGCAAATATTTTGTTAACTAAGAAAGATGAAGCAACCCATAATATAATAACCAAAGATAATAAATATAACCCCAAATACCAACTAGATGATAGTCTTGTTAAAACCAGTCTTACTTTAGCAGACGTAGATGCACCATTATCTGGTAAGCGAAAGCTGTTCATTGCTATATTTCATAGAAATGATGAATCGAAACAGAAGAGAACAGAAAAAGGTGGATCACAATCTGGAAGAAGATGCCATTGGCCAATGTTAGCCTCCTTAGACACTCAAATATGGAAAAGGAGAAGCCTTGATTATAATAAAATGCAAATTCGTTATTTGAATGTGTGCTAAACTGTTATATCGCCTACGTTTTATTATCAAAATTACAATTTGGCTCTTGCTGGTCGATTCGAGGATTGTAAACTGAGCTATTCAGTTGATTTAAATCATCATCTGTGTTACTATGATCAATAAACCAGGCTGGATATGATGGAGGGAATTACAGAACCTACAGAATTGGCTTATCTATCCCAAGGCCCCTCAATTGCTTTCAGCTCGACCAAACTCAATCCCAAAGCTCTCTGTGAGTTTGAATCCCCAGAAAAAGGCTCCTTATCAACTAAAGCTGTTGATCAGTAAAACTCTGGTGATGTATTTTACACGACCGTGTAAATCCAGGAACGAAGGACGCTAGGAAATTGTTTACAAAAATACCACTCTTTGGAAGATAAACAACAAACAGATCGTATCTAGACATAACCTGCCTGCCTGAAGAGATGGATTCCAACTTCGAGAAAATACATTTGCAGAAGGCAGATGTGAAGTATCTTTACCATCAGGTTCACAAGGCTGCAATGGACAAATTGAACTTGTATCTACCATCTGAATCTCAGCAGGCTGATAACAACAACGAGGAAGATCCAGTCAGAGAGAAGGTCAGATTATTAGTAGAGGAGTTTATTTTGAATTCATTCGAATTGACAAAATACTCTTGCATTATCGATGGCAAAGAGTTTTTGGATGATGACGACCCGTTGAGACAAATTTTGGTAAACAACAGTAGTAATAGAAAAAATAAGAACCAGGAAAGAAGAGAAGAAATTGAATCATTTGATTTTGAATTGAACCAAAAATTGAGAGAAGCCTATAAAGCAGTTGAAGATGAAACTGTTAAAGTAACAGAGAAAAGAAGAAATTTGCCTCAAAAGTCAGTTAAATTGTTTGAAGAACAGCAGAATATAAACAAATCCAAAATTGATACATCGTTGAGTAAATTAGAAGAAATTGAAAAGCAAATTGATCAAGATTATCAAAACGAAGACAATGGAATATATATAGACGATGAAGTTAAAACTGATTACGAAGATATGATGGCTGAATTTAATGATACATTAAAAAGATTACAAGAGGTCAAACAAGTAAGTAATTTATTGTTTTTTAAGATCAACTATTTTAGTACTGTATTATTAACAGCTTTTATAGCATGTTCCTCAACGTAAACAAGAATTAGAGAAACTCCAAGTTTTGATGAACTTTGTTGAAAGCAATTACGATTTTAAATAATCAATGTTTTTTTTTCCATAAAGAATGTTGCATTTTCTTATTATTGTTTTCAAATTTATTCAATTAAAAGATGCAAATAAGAATAAGTAAGTAAAAAAAAGTGATTCAAATAACTGCTTATCTTTCAAAGATATCTTTACAAAACAGAAGATGCTGCAAGTAATCAGATCTCGTATTTGATTTTTTTTTTGAAATCAATCTTATTCTTAATCAAACTTTATAAACCCGGTGTAGTTTTGATTAAAGTTATAAGAAGTCAATTATGTCAAACATAAATTATAAAAATTAACAAATTTTGGAATTATTTTGATTGCACATATCAATACTTATAATTATTAATAAAAAGCCATACAATAATACATTAAATTTTATTTACCTCTAAATTAAAATGCTTTGGAATATATAAACAGAAACTTGAATAAAAAAAACATAAATAAATAAATAAATAAATAAATGAATAAACAAAAAATGGGGTTTTTTTTTAAACAAAAAAAAAATTATAACTCATTTATGTTAAAACATACTTAGGACCATCACCACCCTCAGGGACAGTCCAGTTAATATCTTGAGCGGGAGTTTTTATATCGCAAGTTTTACAATGAATGCAATTTTGAGAATTAATTTGAAATTCCACCTTAGTTTTATCTGATTCATCTTGAATATATTCATAAACACCTGCTGGACAAAATTTGTTTTCAATACCCTTATATTTTTCAAATGATTGTTTAACATGATTTTCAAATGCTTGTTTAGAAGCATCACCTAGCCTTAAATGGGATTTTTCATCTTCATCATGATAAGTTCCAGTTCTAGAAACAGATTCTAAAAGATCAAAAGTTATTTTACCATCGGATTTTGGATAATTGATTGGTTTATATTCACTAGCAGGTCTAGTTTCTGAAGCATCAGAATGATGATGATGAAAAGTCCAGCTTTCACAACCTCTAAGTAACATAGTTTCTAAACCAGAATAAATCATTCCACCAAAATTTCCTAAAAATGTATTAAAAGAAGGTCTAACATTACGGACCTCATATAATTCCTCATAAACCCAAGAGTTATTAAAGGCTTTTTCATAATCGTCTAGTATAAATGGAGAAGTTTCAGGGTCATAATTTTTATTTGGGTCATTTAAAGATTTAAAAATTGATTCGGCAGCGAGGATGCCTGACTTAATAGCAGTATGGGTTCCTTTAATTTTCGGGACATTAACAAAACCGGCAGCACAACCAACTAATAAACCTCCAGGGAAATATAATTTTGGAATTGACTGTAAACCACCTTCATTTAAAGCTCTTGCACCATATGAGATACAATTACCATCTTTAAGTATTTGAGTATAAAAAGGATGAGATTTCATTTGTTGGAATTCTTGATAGGGAGATATATAAGGGTTTTTATAATCCAAACCAATGACTAGGCCTAATGTTACTAGGTTATCATCAAAATGATACATAAAGCCACCACCATAGGTGTCATTTGATAGAGGATAACCCAAAGTATGAGCTACATAACCTTTTTTAAAATTTTGAGGTTTAACTTCCCAAACTTCTTTGATTCCTATACCATAGGTTTGATGATCTTTATTTTGTCTAAGATTAAAATTTGAGATTGCCTTTTTAGATAAAGAGCCATGACAACCCTCAGCTAATACAGTTAATTTTGAATGAAACTCCATGCCTCTTTCAAATGAATCCTTTGGAAGACCACTTTTCGAGATTCCAACATCTTTGGTTGCAATACCTTTAATTGCAGATTTATCATCATTATAAATGAGTTCAGAGACAGAAATTCCGGGATAAATTTCTACGCCTAATTCCTCTGCTACTTCAGATAAATATTTATTAACCTGATTTAGAGAGACAATATAGTTTTTATTTTTATTTTGAATTTGAGGAGGTTCAGGTATTGGATATTTTGATTCATCCATTAAAAAATAAAAATGCTCGTCATTTACTAAAGTGACTAAATCAGGAGGTAAAGGGATTCCTTCACCATTTTCATCATAAAACTCACTATCAGGGAATAGTTCTCTTAGAGATCTTGGTTCAATTACTGCACCAGATAACGTATGGGCACCAATTTCGGAAGCCTTTTCTAAAAGAACTATTCTCAATTCACCGTTTCCTTGTTCATTATCTAATTGTTTTAATTTTATGGCAGTCGCTAAACCAGCGGGACCACCCCCCACTATACAGACATCGGCTTCGTCTATAGCTCTTTCTGATAGCAAAATTTCTTGCTCTTCTTCAGACATTTCTTTAAAAGGGATTTCGTAAATGGGGAGGTTATTTAAATTTGAAGAATTAAAATTTCTCTTTAGTATGCAGGGTCTTATTAAAGAGTTGGTTGATATATATGCATTTTTTGATTTATTATTAATGCTGATATTATTTATAATATTATTATTATTGCTGTATTTTCCAAAATATGACTTTGGAGATGAATTTAAACTTGAAAAGGATCTTTTTGATGATAAAGTTTTGAAGGAAATCAAGCCTAAATTTTTATCCAAAGTTGATTTTGTTAGATGTGCTATCGACATTGGGAAGAAACAGTGAAATTAATATATTTATAGTATTATTTTTTTGATTTTTTGGTTGATTTTTTTTGGTTTTTTTTTGATTTATATACAAGATATATTAAAACGATATCAAAAGTGTGTGTTTTCCCTTAATTTTTTATTATTTAAATTGCATAGTATTTATTAAAGTTCTTTAGAATATATTGACTTGATCTGAGTTGATATAAAATAACGAGATTAAAAAAATTTCATGCTATTACTCATCTGATAAAATATATCCTCAAAACAAAGGTGTATATCAAAGGTTTTGTGTGGAGTAGGGAGCGTGAACCTACAAGTGCCTATGTATTTGTTGTGATTGCACAGGGATAGCACAGGTACAGATCGAGATTCGAACGATGGCGCTGTTGGGATGAGACGAACAAAGGTAGCGGACCAATCCGGATCTATGCATTTCAAATCCCCCACATCAAGTCACGTCAGCACTTACGTAAGCATCCATGGCTGTGGTCTTATCTGGCGCTCGCCAGGACAATAGAAACTGTTGCTTGGCACTGCCTGGCTGAGCGCTGAACAGGGCCCACGACCGATATCAGACAACCCGCAGCACAGAGACCCCGTTGTTTTAAAGGACCCGCTGGTCACAAAGAGTACTTCAAAAGACGCGGACGAGTCGTGTCTTGATGCATAAGCTGCATGGTGCGCAGTATCCTAAGTAGGAGAAACTCACTTTCCGTATTAGGCATGGTGTGGAATTTGCTTTCATTCATCTTCTTCTCTTCATTCATCTTCATTTGTTTTTTCCCTCTATTTTCTTTCTTTAATTTAATAAAAACGTTTTTTGTCATATTTTATCCAAAGAATACTCTTTGAAATCTGTATATTAGTTGATGAGGAAGTAAAAGGGACGTTTGAGTAGACTTTTCCTTTTAAATTCATAGTGCCCCAACTGTTGTCCACTCCTTAATTGAAATTTTGAATTTTAGAAAAAGCAATATAAATAACAATATAAGGTCATCTATTAGTGTTTAATTATATTTTTGTGTTTCTTTTTTTGTCTCAGTTTTTGTTGGTCTTCTATTTCTTGCTCTTATCTTTTAATCCTTTAATAATTAATAATAATCTAATATTTTATTATAACATAGTACAATGGGATTATTTACAGGAACTAATGTTAAGCCAGTGTTATTAACATTGGATAATATTGATACACAATTTAATTCTCCAATTAATCAAAATAGAAATAGTAATAGTAATATCAATAATCATCATCACCAAAACATGGATTTTGACACATTAAGTAACATGTCATTCTCATCACCATTTCCTCTGCCATTTAATAATCATACTAAAAACCAGTCAAGTAAGAGTTCATTGGCAAATTCGTTGACAAGTTTATTAACAATATCAAAACAACCTACGTATTCAGATTTAAAAATTGTTTCGAATAATTTAGGTGGAGAACAAGAAAGAAATATAGTATTAGAAGAGCAAATAATTTTACTATCAGAAAAGGCAGCAGCTGCTTATGATAAGATAGCAGATTTAGAACATCAAAATAAAATAATTAGCAATAAAAATAGTGAATTATTGAATAGAATAAAATTATTGGAATTGAATATGAATAATAATATGAACATGAACATGAACATGAACATGAACATGGATATGGATATGGATAATAATAACAATAATAATAAATACTCATTTCCTTTGAATTTATCGCAGTCAAGCGCCTCATCCATTTCTTCATTAGAAACTGAATCACCATTTTCATCAGTCTCGTCATCGGTTTCTTCGTCTATTGCCAATACTAATATAACAGACATGTCGCCAACTGGCTCAACTCATTCTTCGATTCCAATGTCTATTAATAATTTAAATCAAAACCAAAACCAAAACCAAAATAAATTTTTAATTAATCATAAAAATATCAATGGCAATGTTAATATAAACAAAATGATGACTATTTCTACACAAACGGATTTAATTGCAAACGACGTGGATGTAGTTAAATCAATAGGCACTCAAACCGACAGTGAAAACAATAATAAAGCAAAGATGATATCAATGGGCATTCAAACATTGAAACCTGTAAAAAAAATGACAACAATCAGCACACAAACTGATGATAATCAGAAACAGAAGAGTAAATTTGTCTCTAAGGCAATTCAGACAATGAATGCTAAACCCCAAATGCAATCTCTAGCTACCCAAACCACGTCTTCTCGGATGATATCTTGCTCTGCTCAAACTGACTCAATACCTGAGATCATCCAAACTCAATACAGTGAACATGGTGACCAAGTTAGCGATTACAACAAGAGAAAAATGAGCATAATCGAAAATCTAAAAGTAGAGCAGCTAGAAAGAAAGCTTCGGAACAAGACCAGCGAAACCAAGCAGCTATTGGTCGAGAGGGAGAAATACCACAGCAAGATCCAGGTTGAAAGAGAGAAAAACCACATCATAAAGGAGTACTACAAAACGTTGGTGAAGGACTTGAAGAGCGAGTTGCAGTATAGCCAGAGCACTGAACAGAGCTTGCGAAAGAACTTGGAGATGGTGAGCACTAACATGTACAGCATCAGCTCGTCGCAGAGCAGCATGCGCCAGTTCTACAGTCTATATAGTTCCAACAAGGTGTAGCCATTAGTTGCGTATTTTCTATCTGGTAATTGTGCCTCTATTATGTCTCTATTATGTCTCCATTAAGTCTCTCCTTTATGTCTCTATCGCATCCGTAGCTTATCGCCTTATCTTATCGGCCCGGACCGCGCCTTCCGGAGGCAAATCCGCGGTCTTCGTCTGGAGCAGCTTTTCCTTCTTCTTCTCCTTCTCCTTCTCCAACAGCTGTTCGCCACCAAAACCACGCCCCAGCTCTACCCCCTACTGCTTCCACCATCCTCTGCTGCCCCTGCTGTCTCTGCTCCTTCTTCCTCTCAGCACTGCTGTCTCTTTTCGGTTTTCCAGCAACACCAACTGTTTCCATATCCAACAAGCAAACTCTCAGATACACAATATTATTTTCCTATGGCTCCTCAGTGGATTCCCCAAAACCTACAAAAACGTCTATTGCGTTACATTCTTGAACAGCTCTCATTATTCTCCGAAATAGACCTCAAGAATCTTGATGTCTCGCTAGGCACCATAAACAGCCAGATAGTGATCCAGGATATCCAAATTGATCCGGAGAAATTCAAAATCCCTGGTTTCTTTCTAAGAGATGGCAAATTCGAGAGATTAGACCTAAAGTTAACTGTCAGTGGTGGTGTGAACATTAATGCTAATGGCTTGAATCTAACATTGGCTCTATCCAACAATTTAAATCTCAATGATTCCTCGACTAATTCAATATTCTCCTTGGCTCAAAGCACCGCAGATTTGGCTAATAGTGTCATGCTAGCATCCGATAATGACGACTATTTTAATGATCCAAATGACTCAACTGATTTAAATGATTTAAACAACTCCAACGAATCTAATTCCAACGATTCTTCGGATAACGATACCTCTAATAATAATAATACAAACTCTACCTCCATTCCGAATGATAAACCACAAAAAAATAATTCCACTTTCAATACCTATGTAACAAAAGCTGTAGAATTAGCCTTGTCGAGATTACAATTTAATTGTTCAAATATATATATCAAACTAATCGATCAACTATTCACTTTGGCTTTAAATATAGACCAAATCTCTTTCATAACTATTAATGGAATAAGAAAGATCAGCTTCAAAGGCCTAAAAGTCTCGATATTAAACCCTCAAAATATTAATAAAGGTCTAGAATATAATAATAATAATAATAACACTCACTCTAATGACACCGACACTGATAATGATACCAATAGTATCAAAAGTTCTAACTCAAATTCATATTCCGATAGCAATATTAACGACAATGATAATAACGATGACGACGAGTTTGAATCTGATTCAGATATCGAAAATCAAATGTCTGCCTCATCTTTCCTAATCCCTCATGATAATCAACAAATTAACTCTTTAATGGAAACCATGTATCTTTCAACAAACGAAACCGAAACTGACTCCATCTATTTAAGTGCTAATAGTGATGTTTTAAATTCAAATTTTAATAAAAGGTCCTCTTTTATTAACAACAAAAGTTTTATTCATAATAATCCTAACAATCTTAATAACACAAACAATAAAATCTATCCAAATAGTATCAATCAAAACAGAGAACCACTTACGAACGATAATCATCCTTCTTACCCAATTTTATTGCACATAAATGACATCGACCTTCAATTTGAAGGTTTATCAACCGTTTCCAACTTATCCCTAATAATTGATAAATTCAATATTGCATTGTCTCCCTTACCTCAGTCTTTAGATTACATTTTCAATTCTCTAGCAAGAATTTCAAGATCAATTAATAAAAAAAAAATATCTTCAAATCTCAACTCAAATAACTATCTAAGAAATAATACTAGAATCAATTCAAGAAAATCTTCTTTGAATTCAATGAGAAACCCAATTAATACTGATAATAATTTGTCATCAATCAATGAACTGACCTATTATCCTAATAATCTTAATAATCTTAATAATCTTAATAATCTTAATAATCTTAATTTGGATAATAATAATAAACATAACAGTGATGATGATGATGACGATGATGATGATGATGACGACAATGACGATTTAAATTTTTTTTCAAAATTGGCCATCAACCAATTTGTAATCAACTTTGAATCTGCTTTAAAAGATAATGGTGATTTTGCTTTACCTGAAACATTACGTTTAGTTTTAAATAATATCAATATTAATAGAAAGTCTCAAAATGGTCTAATCTATGGTGGTGTCTCAAAATTAAACTTATTAAATAACAAAAATGACATTTTAATCGAATTCAAAAATGATGACACTAATTCTAACGATATCAACAATAATCCAATCAATAGCAATTCACTCAATAACAAAAATCAACGTATAAACAATCAAAAAGACGAAATTCGCTTTGAAATTTTTAAAAATAAATTTAATAAAATATCAGAAACCACTGTATTATGCTCAAAACCAATCTTTATGAATTTCAATTCTAATAATTTTAAAATAATTACTGATTATATCAAAAAATTTCAACCTGCTATTCAAATGTTTTCTAAAATAAAATTTCAATCTTTTACCTCATCTTCACAAATTAAAATTAATACCTCAAATTTGAATCCAATGTCCTATCAAAATACTCAAAGATTAAAATCCTCAAATTTATCAAAATCAATGTCTTCATCTTATTATTTTAATTCAAATTATAACGCCATAAAGGATAGAGATCTATTCATTCTTCAAACAGGTCTAGTTCAATTGAATTTATCTATCGACATATCCACTATGATAAATTTCACTATACTTCCAATATCTTTTAATTCTAATACTGGAAAGTTATTGATAAATAAAGTCTTGGTCACCACTCAAGATTTTAAAAATGGTCCAAATCCTGAATATGAAGAATTACTCTCAATAACTGGCTTTGAATTGATAAATTTGGTTAAAGAGCATCAAGTAAAAGTTTATGACAGTAACTATAAAGAAACGCTACTGTCTACATCATTAATCACTACAATTAAAGATGTAAAAATTAACCATAATTTGAAAAACCTTTTGCAACTAACCAATAAAACTAAATCCTTTATGGATATAATTATTGGAAATAATAATCCTTCCAATGACGTTCCTGTCCCAAAACAAAATAAAGATAAAAAATTTAAACATGACGGTAAAAGAAAGGTTAGAATGAGCAACACAGTATTGATTCATGGAACTCAATCTCTCTATTGCCATCTAGAAATTCAAAATATTAATCTTTCATTGGAAAATCCAAACATCATAGATTTTGATAACTTATCTGATATCACACTGGTAGATAAATTTGGCTCAATTACTGGTGAAATCTCAAAACTTAAAGTAAATTGTTTTAAAGATAACTCATTTCAAGTTATCCTAAATGATATATCTTTCAATAGGAAATTTAGAAATAAAAGAGGTATTAATAAAACTGAAAATTTTGTTGAAATGGCAAATCCTGAAAATAGGGGCTTCCCGTTAGTAATCTTAAAGTTGAAAGATAATAATGTAAGAGCATTTTTGTCTAATTTAAAAGTGGAATATTTTACCTCCTGGCTTGCTATATTAAACAAAAATAATGCAGATGAATCATTGGAATCTGAAAAGGATCTAGTTCCATCCACAGCAAGAGCTCAATCAGATATCAAAATTAAGATATGTGATTGCGCCATTGGTTTAAATCCATTGAGACTTCCTTGCAAGGGTTTGTTATTGATCCACAAAGGTGATGCTGAAGTCTTGGTGGGTTCTGATATATTTTCAAAATTCACATTTCGTTCTTTATCTTTACTATTGATTGACGATGTATTTAATATCTTAGATGCTACTGAGAGTAGAACCTCTCGACAATGGGCACTAGCAAATAAAAACATACCTTATAATAATCTTTCTTCATTACCTACATGGTCACAATCTGCATGGTTTTTATCAAGAGGATTCGCATTGATTGGCTCTATAAATTTATTAGGAGGCTCATTTATGGTGAATGATATCAATAAGTTGATCAAAATGAACGACAAAACCAAAGCAATTACTGACCTCAAGATTAATGTTGAAGTTTTAAGATTAGAATTATGTGCTGATAGTTTCCAAACCTTATCCGCTTTGTTGGTAGATTTGAAAGACCAGGTTAATTTAACAATGGAACAAAAATACAAATTTAGTTATAAGAACCCAATTGATGTTTTTGACGGTGTTGAACCAAAAGCATTTACGTTTTCAAAGGATTTAAATGAAGCATTAAAGAATAATATAGAATTTGATGAGAAAAATTCTATGTTTGGTCAAAGATCTATGGATCTCTCAAGTTCCTTGGGATTTGTAGATAGTTATTACGGTTCAGGATCTGGATCTGGATCTGCGAGCAATCTTGCTTCTACTATTACAAACGGAAGTTTTGATAATCAGGATTTTTTGGGACAAGAGAATAAAAGATCGAACATCAAATCATTTGTTTCTGATTCCTCTGAAAGTGAATCTAATTTTTCAATTGACGACGAACATTTTGACAGCAAAACCATATTAGATTCCAGTGAAGGAAATATTTCATTTCTGCCTTTTAAATTATATTTAAATGTGCTTAAAGGAGATGTATTGCTATATGATGGTTATGATTGGAAAGAAACAAGAACAACAATAAAAAAAGTGGTAAGAAATGTTGAAAAAGCAGCAAGTGCGGCGGAAATATTAAGAGCTAATCTTCGGAACAGCAAATCAGTTCGATTTGATCCGGTGGAAGAAAGACAATTAACTTTTACTAGAAGGGATTCCTTGGGGGAATACGGGTTTGCTGATAGAATCAATGAAGATGGTGATATAGATGACAATGAAGAAAACGAAGATGTTGTTGGTCACACAATTTTTGATTCTATTCATATATCGTTGCCAGTTGGAAGAGATCCTTCACATCTAACTCGAAGTATAAACTACAATATTAATATGAATGACACTAATTCTATAATTTCAAATGACAGCACTATCACAAGAAATCTGTCCCCAAGAAAGATTGCTTCCAGTATTCGAAAATCACAAAAGAAATTAAGACTTCGACGTTCAAAATACCATAAAGTGAGCTTGGAATTAAATGAAGTTGAAGTTGATATGACGGTATTTTCTTCAGGTAATGCTATTGTTCTGCCATCATCGAACGTGTACAAGTATCGAACTGAAGAAGACGACGACTCAACAATTTTGTTTATTATGGATTTAAAAGTTCGTGATTTTGAAATTGTAGACCACATTCCTACATCCACTTGGAATAAATTTGCTGTATATATGAGAGAAGCTGGTGATCGAGAAGTTGGAGTCAATATGATTAGATTTCAAATTGCGTCAGTTCGTCCTGTACCCTATTTAGAGGCAACTGAAATGATTATGAAATGCCATACATTGCCTCTTAAATTGCATGTGGACCAAGATACTTTAGATTTTGTTACCAGGTTTTTCGGTTTTAAAGATAATCGATTTATTATTAAGATTCCATATGATGAAGTTCCTTTCATTCAAAAATTTACCATCAACTCTGTGCACGTCAAATTAGATTACAAACCTAAGAAGATAGATTATGCTGGAATCACATCAGGTAAAACCACTGAGTTTATGAATTTTTTTATATTAGAAGGTGCTGATATAACTTTAAAAAAAGTTGTTGTTTATGGTGTTGGTGGCTTTACTAAATTGGGTGATCTATTGAATGACTTGTGGATGCCTGATGTAAAAGCTACGCAGATTAAAGGTATTCTTAACGGGTTAGCTCCATCAGTCATGAGACTAGGAACCGGGATGAAAGATTTAGTTGTGATTCCTATCAACGAATATCGTAAAGATGGAAGAGTTATAAGAAGTTTACAAAAAGGAGCGTTTACATTTATTAAAACAACCACGAATGAATTATTGAAAATTGGAGTAAAGGTTGCGGGTGGAACTCAAACATTGCTTGAAAATGCAGAAGAAGCTTTTGGAGGATCTGGATCATCAGCTAGAATAGCATTCAATCAACAGGACGAACGTTTTAGACACAACAGGACGAAATATCAGAGGAGAAAAAACAATACGACCCAAGACAATATGAACTCTTCTTTGATCGGTAAAAGCTCTCTTTCAGTGGGTTCACTAGAGCCAATTGGTGGTCGCTCTGTATACAGACAGACGTTGGAAACATTTCCCGAAGATGATTTCGATGAGGATTATTACTATAAAAAGGTATCATTTGGCAGTAAAGCTAACAAGTCAGTCATAAACCCAAGAAGAAATTACATGTACAACAATGTGTTTTCAGATTCAGAAGATGATTCGGAAGGTGAAATTCTTGAAGAATCCAGCGATGAACAACAGAAGATCATCAGTTTGTACGCTGATCAGCCTGTGGATGCAAAAGAAGGTATACAGCTAGCGTATGACAGTCTTGGAAAGAACTGGATTGTTGCAAGAAAAGCTGTGATAGATGCTGGAAATGAAGCCTCGCAAAGTGGAGGAGTACAAAGTGCAGCAGTCGCTATTGCAAAAGCTGCGCCAGTGGTGTTGATACGACCAATAATTGGAGCCACAGAAGCTCTATCGAAGGCTCTTCTTGGTGTGACAAACCAGCTTGATCCTCAGCAACGATTGAACTCAGAAGAAAAATACAAGCACTGACAGGTTTGTTCCAGAAATGTTTTCTCTGCAAATATTCTATATTCTAATGGCCGAATTTTAGTTTTTCATGGTTTTGCTATCATTGTACGATTAATTTTTTCTTGTTTTATTTAGTTTAGTGTTATTTTGGTATTTAGTTCTGGTTTTTGTTGGAAATAGTTTTTGTTTCTTTTATTTCTTCTGCTTCTTCTGCTTCTTTTGCTTCTTCTTCTTCTTCTACGCTGGTTTTGGCTAAAAATAGCCGGCCGTGGTTCGACTCCCGACCGCGGTCTCAGCGTCTACGTTTTGCCCACGAGAAGAGTTTGGAACAGAGCTGGGAATTTGTGATGGTTCTTCTCCACCACCAAATCCTTCGTGCTCCTGCTTCCTATGCTGATTTAGCTGCTTGCAGTTAGTCCTCTTTGTTCTTCTTTACTAATTGGCTTGTTTCCTTTGACCCAGGCTTGTCACACTCAGTATGGCTTTCTTCCAGACCCTAAAGAACAAAGCCGCCGAATCGCTCTTCAACAAGATATCAAGCTACAAACCTTCGAAGCTAGAGCTATTCAGAGATGAATTCAAATTACCTTTAGATGAATCAATTGTTGAGGAGTCGAATGTCGAAATATCGTTGTATTCTCCTTACTCTTCCGAAGCTCCAACCCAGAGCCCAAACAATAATCCAGGCCAACCCGAGACTCCTCAAAATAGCGATTACCAAGATAACGATGATTCGATATCTATTTATTTTGCAGGCAAATTGTTTTTAACTCAGCATTTTTTGGTATTCAAGGACACTTACGATGAAAAAGTTTGTTCTTTTGTTCTTCATCTAAACACTATCAAAAAATTTAAAGAGAAACAGTTGAATCAGTCATTTTTGTTTGGTTTGACTATTCAAACCTACTCTAATTTGACTTTGACCATTCAATTTATTGGAATTAGATCTAATTCAGAGAGATTTGCTTTTAATTTTAAAAAATTGTTGAAAAAAAATTTATCAAATTTGAAATTATTAAAACCCTTTTTACTGACTCTCTACTCAGAGTATTTATTAGCGAAAAATCTAATTGGAACTGATCCAGAAACCGCGGCCTCATTGGTTCCTCCACAAGGTGGTTTGGGTCTAATCTTCAAGTATCCTGGAAATCCAAAAGTTCTTAGGGATAAATCTAAGATGAGATTGTGGTTCAATTACTTGAAATCAAATGGTAAAAACCTAACTCTTACCAAACAAAATCTATTCTACCGTTTGATAAGAATTGGTTTGCCCAACAGAATAAGGGGCGAAATCTGGGAACTATGTTGTGGTTCAATGTATTTAAGATATCAAAATCAAACTCTATACCAAGACATTCTCAATGAAAATAGTGGCAAAAATTCTCAAGCAATAGAAGAAATCGAAAAGGACTTGAATAGGTCTTTACCTGAATATCCTGCCTATCAAAACGAAGAAGGTATTCATCGATTAAGAAACGTTTTAACTGCCTATTCATGGAAAAATCCAGAAGTTGGTTATTGTCAAGCAATGAATATAGTTGTAGCCGCTTTATTAATTTATATGTCAGAAGAGCAAGCTTTTTGGTGTTTAAGTGTTTTGTGTGACAAATATTGTCCGGGCTATTACTCAAAAACAATGTACGGAACATTGTTAGACCAAAAAGTTTTTGAAGCATTGGTTGAAAAGACAATGCCCATATTATGGGAACATATCATTAGAAACGATATTCAACTATCAATTGTATCTTTACCTTGGTTTTTATCCTTATTTCTCTCTTCAATGCCTTTAGTCTTTGCATTCAGAATCATTGACGTCTTTTTCCTCCAGGGTCCAAAAACATTATTCCAAGTAGCTTTAGCCATTTTAAAAATCAATGGAGAAGAATTACTAAGTACGACCGATGACGGTACTTTTATTTCAATACTCAAAAACTATTTTAGTATATTAGATCAATCTGCGCATCCAAATGCTAAAAATGAAAATTATAGAAACATAACAAAATTTCAGGAATTATTAGTCGTTGCCTTTAAAGAATTTTTTGTTATAACTGATGATATGATTATGGAATATCGTTATAAACATAAAGATAAAGTATTCCAAGATATTGAGAGTTTTGTCAAAAGAACTCAAATTAGAAACTTGCCAAGAACTCCCAATCTTTCTTCCGAAGATATTTCAAATATATATGATAGATATTATCAGATTATTCAACAAAATTTGGACAATCTTAACAATGGAATTTATAATAGTAACCCCATCAAGGATACTAATTTTGGTTCTTCTTCTTTAATGGATTTTAAAAAATTCCAATTGTTCATGTCTCAAACATGCTATTGGGTTAATATAACTGATAGTGAACTTATAAATAACCTCCAATTTATCAAAAATCAAGAGAGCTTTTTATCAAGATTATTTTTAAAGTTTGCTAAAGATAGAAACGGAAGCTTAAGTTTAAATGAATTAATAAGGGTGATTAATAGATTGGTTTGTAGAGATTTAATGAAATCTCTTGAAAATTTTTTCAAACTATATGATACTCAAAATACTGGTTTTATTGACAAAGATGGTATTTTGCAAATGTCTGAAGGTTTATTATACTTGACTACAAAATTATCTGAAGGTTTATTATTTGATAAAATAACAGAAAAAAAAATCCAAAATGCTTATGACAAAAAATTTAACTCATTGTTAACTTTAAGAGAAAAAGAAATGAAATCAAAAAAACATACCTTAATTGAAGAATTTAAACAAGAAGGCTACAGTCAAGAAGAAATTGAAAAAAAGATCAATGAAATATTCTCTAATACTCAAGCCAAAGTATTACCAGAGGAAATTATTATTGACAAAAAAATTTATCAACATGAGCAGATGGAAAGGTATTTATTAGCCGCTAGTAATTTTATTCAAAGAGCATTTGAATATGCTCAGCCAGTAGAACCTATTGAAAAAAATTTGCTTCAAATCGACGATCTGAATAATGATTTGTATTTTCTGAAATCAGATGATGAAAGTTTTGATTATGATGATAAGAGTGCTTTAACTCTTAAGGCAAATAAAGCATTAAACGATAAACCTTTAATAATGGATTTGGCCACTTTTCGTATGGTCATATTAGCTGATGAAACATATGAACTATTTTTCACAAATACCTTACCAGATTCTATTCAAGTCAAGGGATTCCATAGCTCCAATGATAATAGAGATAATAGAAAGTTGAGGGATATGCTAGATAGTTTGTTTGCAGATGGTAGGAGAATGGCAAATGAAGTGCGTAAACGTATTGACAATAATGTTGGAAATGGAGGTTCTCCATCTGATAATGCCAGTATTACCAGTGGAAGAAGTTCGAGAAGAGCAACAATTAACTCTAGCATCAATTATGAAGAAGAAGACGATGATTTTGCAATCAACAACAACGATGTTCATGATCAAGATTTACTTCTTGGAGCTGAAATAAAAGTTTTAAATGATATACCAACCAGTAGCTTGACATCAAACGAAACAAAAAACATTGTAAGAGATAAAGAGCTAGACCAGGAAATTAAAATTGGTATGAATATGGGATTAAATGGAGGTTCTTCAAAGTCTGAAACGAATCTTGTGAAAAAATTTATGAACTTGGACATTGGACACTAGTCTTTTTCCCCCTTTTTTTTTATAATTTTTATTATTTTATCTGATTAATTGATTTTTTTAATTTTGTTTACATTTTTCAAGTTTTTTTGTTATGTTTTCATTTTTGATTCTGGAAGAATCTTTATCTTTTCCCTCTTTTTTTTTCAATTTTATATCTAGTTGTTTTTAGTTTAGAGAAATTTATGGATTTTACCTTTTATCATCAAAAGTTTTCTTAACGGGTTTTTCTTTACTCAAAACTTGTTCAAATTTTGTCCAAATTTTGTTTCAATAACAAATTGCAGATAGTAAAAAAGAAACAAATTTCCAGTGTTGGTTTCCAGTAAAGAAATGATCACATTTAACTTTGAGTTGGCTAGAGTCTACTTGTTTTTTAATAAAACCCGAAACCATAAACCAGTAATAAGTGGGTTTTAATCTGGTATTTGATTAAATGTTGAAAGAGACAATAGCGAATTAATTTTGGGGAATATTTCAATTCCAATGAATTTTTCGATGAAGATTGATCGAATAACTCGCTAAGGTTTCAAGATTGGAATTATCGCTCAATAATTAAATATTTTTTGAAGCTATGAATCATGGTTTAAAGGTGACCACACAGTATCTAACTTAGTTTGTTTTATTTTGCTTTTACTGATGTTCATCAAACAAGATTCTTATTAACAAGAAGTTTGCACCACTAAAGATAAAATTTATTTGATCAAGTTTTGTGTTTGAACTTAGAGGGATAGAGTCAAAAACAAAAAAGGTATGAAAATATAGAAATATATCAATATAAAAATACAAAAATATAAAAAAAACTTACAAAAAACCACAATTTTCAATTTTTTTGATAACATCTTGTTTTTAAATAGCTCTTAGAAATAACGAAGGCTAAATTTAAACAAAATAATAAGCAAAATGAAGGACCATATACTTTATCTTTTTTTTTGTGAATATCTCGTTTAAGCATCGATGGTATTCTATTGGGTTTATTGTTACTATTATTACTAGTGTATTTTGTTTTATCTGATGATCAACTTTGTTTAAGTAATCAAAGGAATTGATTTTTTATAATTGGATTATTATTAAAAGAAGTTGAATTTTGAATAACTTCTAATAAGAAAATGGACTTGGTATATGGTATATTGATAATAGAATGGTTGTTTACCACTTGAGGCCTACTTGAAGAAATTTTTTAAGAAAAAAAATTGAATACTAGGAATATAATATAATATAATATAATATAATATAATACAATGATATAATGATATAATGATAGAGTAATCAAGAAAAAATGTACACAAAGTCCACAGAATAAGAAAAAGATTTTGGAATTATTTACGAAAGATTAATTAATTAATTAATTAAATGAATGAATGAATGAATGAGTGAATGAATGAAATGAAATAAAGATTTTCGAATTGTTTTAAATATTTAAGTTATTTAGATTATTCAAATTGTTTAAATTATTTCAAATAATTTAAACAATTTGAATAATTTGAGTTGGGATAATTCAATGTTATCAAAAGGATATTGAAACCATAAAGATATTTGAATATTGAGTAGAATAATATATAAAATAATATTATTTAAATTTTGAATTAATATAAAAAAATAGTTTGAAAATGGTTTTGAAATTTCAAAAATTGCAATAAATTAAGAGAATTTGAAATAATTGAAAACTTTGACAAAATTTAGCTAAAATTTAATCAAAACTTAACAAAAACTTAGTATGAATCTAAGGAAAACAAGTAAATACTAAATGAAATTAATTGAAATTAAGAAAAAATAAAAACTATAGAAGAAAATTTCAGGCTTCTATATAATAAAAAAATACGGCTAAAAATATTGGATATAAACAATTACCAAATCATATTTTTTAGGATTTGTTAATACATTTGGTTGATTATAGAAATTTTGATTGAAAATCGTATTCCTTTTCTTTTTTTTTTGTTCGACATTTAGGTTATATGAAAAATTTGAAATATAAAAATATAAGGATATTGAAATCAAATTGCCTTTATTTAAATGTTTTGTTGTTATTAGAATTGTTTTAATCATGATATCAATATATCAAAATTTTTGTAATTTTCTAAAACTTGGAAAAACTGGGAAAAAAAGTGAGAAAAATTGGATGAATTGTTAAGATTCTACGAGAAGGTACAAAAACAATAAGATTTGAAGATATGAAAGTTGCGAAAGAAAAAAAAAAAAAAATGAAACAAGTTAAGAAATAAAATTGTGATAAAACAAGATAAAATAATATTGATTAAATAATTTATGAACACAACTATTGGTAAGAATAATTATTTAGATATTGATTGGAGGTTTTTGGTTTGATTGGAATTGGTTTTATATAGAAACTGGAGATTTGGAAATGAGAGCTAAGAAAAGAAAAAGATGAATAAGATATTTGTTTTTGAAAACATTTTAAGATTAAAATGAAGACAAAAAGGTTCAAAGAGTACAGCCAAATTTCATAATTTTAGGAAAGATAATAAAAATGGGTTAAAATAAGTTGAGCAATTAAATACGAGGTAGCTAAATGTTATTGGAGAAAGTTGAAAAAATGGAGACATCATTGAAGATGGGACGGAAACAAAAAGAGTAGTTAAGTTGTGAATATAGTTGGTTGTAACTATTTATTGACATATCCAAAGACCAATCAGAAAGAGAAGGAAAAAAGAAAGTTGTAGAAACCAATGATGGAGAATGAGCCAACAGCAGAAGAGGGAATTGGAGGAAGATGGAGAGGTACAAACAATAGTTGTGTGTATTCTTGCCCTTTTGCTGCCGGGAGTTGTATGGAAGCTGAGCCTGCTTCATCTCAGGCAGCAAAAGTAGCATCGAGGCAGGCTCCGAGCCAAGTCCAAAAGATGGTGTCTCTGCGGTCACTGGTGAATCGGACAAAAAGGACAATAGAAACAAGACAACAGTGCGCGTGTGCATGCAGTTCAGCGCAGCTTGTGCCGGTGATATGCTTGTTTTGCTTTGTGACTGCATCTGCACTGTGATTGGTCGGAGATGCGCGACGGCGATGGAGGCATTTTGCTTGAGTGGACAGCTGGGGGGTGCTGGAGATGCTGGAGGTGTTTCTGGTGCTGGAGGTGTTGGAGGCGCTGAAGGCGCTGGAAATAGTGCAATTTACAAGCGAGTTTGATTGGCACATTACTAAAGTGATTTTTTCAAATACAATGAGTGCTAGCTTTTTTTAGCATGTTCATTGAAATTAGCAGACAGCTTAGCAGTGGAACTGGGATAATTGGGGTTGTGTATTATTACTAATCTTATTACAATTACTGTAATTGTCACTGTTAGTATTTTTTGTACTAACTAAGGGACTTGCAAAAAAACATTGTCAATTGCAAATCTTTTTCAATAATTATAATTATTACACGTAAAATTAGCTGCAAGACTAAGCTAATTGATACTGGCAAGAAAATGTATCGAATTACCTAATTGTTAAATTGGCATTTAAACACTGTTTGTCAGGACCAATCTTAAACGAGTCTGAAAAAAGGCTTTTAAGAAGAATTTAAGAAAGGATTTTCAAGTAGATCTCTAATTTATCTCTAATTTATCAAACAAAGAATCAAATGGATAAGTAAATTTTTTTACAAAAATTTATAACGATCTCAGTTTTATTGAATAACTGTTAAGAACTCCTTCAGAAGTAGTTGGAACAAGTACTCGATAGTCGGTAATGAAATTGAACAATTGAATACAGGAGTTATTCGAAATTGGGTTTTATTTCAAGTGAAGGAAAAACTGATCAATGAAGAAAAATAGTGAATAATAGAGATTATTAAAGAATAAAACTTAGCAAAAGGTTAGAGAAAAAAAAATATTTTAATAAGTTAAAAAAACCTAATCTAGTAACTTTAAATCTCCTCAGAACTGGAAAAAAATAAATTATCTTAAAATCGGCTATAATATATTGAGTTGAATTAGGGAAAATCAAGATTTATCAAGATTTATCGATAAAAACGGGATTTTTTCAGGATTTTCAGGAAATTGACTTTTTTTATGATCACAAGTTGAATCGAAACGACAATTTTTGAAGATTGATTTGGATTTCAGAATACAATTTGAAACAATTGGTCACTTGTGAAGGGAAATACAGCTCTTTGATTAATATGGTAAAAACAAAAAAATTGAGCTCTTTTAGATAATTTGGAACAGATTTAATGCGGATTGTGGTTGTAATTAGTTTTTAATAATATTTATTATTACTCATTATTACTTATTATTTATTGTGTAATATTTCTATAAGTATATGGTAAGATTATATGTTTGATTATTGATGTTCATTGGACCGAAGATTTTGAATATTTTTCAACCAGAATTTGTTTCACATTTGGCAGGTAAGGTCCGGATAGCAAGGAAAAACAAAAATAAAATAGTGGATAAATTGGAATGTGAAAAAATTGGCGAGAATTGGCAAATAGAGATAAAAAGCTGGAATTCATATGAAAAATACATGGAAATTTTATGGAAAATGAAATGTTGAAGAAAATGAAATCCGGATAAGAAAGTTAAAGAGGTGTCTCGCTGCCCTCCTAAGCTTCAATTATTTTAGAAAAGACCGCGCAGGCTTCGAGACATCTTGCATATTCTGCATGGAAGTTGAGCTAAATAGTGCTGTGTTGTAGCTCAAAACTCAAAACTTTCTTTGTGCTTAGCTAGAACATTTCATTTCGGTTTCTTGCAGAAAAAGAAAATTATTCGCGTACAAAAAATTAGGGATCTTTTATGTGCCACCACAAGGACAGACAATTCAACAAAAAACTTGGTTGAATACCTAATATCAGCAACAACAGACTTCGCTTTGATATGTTATCAATCTGCTTTTCCACTGAAAGATAACCTGAAGAATCGAAATTCGCTCAACAAATATTGTCACCTATTGTATTAGCACTGCTCAAGGTTCAAATGATAAACAAGTAATTGCAGCAAAATTGCAGCTTAGGTTATGATTTTAGGTAAGATTACACTTCTAAAAATAAAAGCAGGAATCGAATAAATCAATTTATAATTCCGTTTTCTATATTGAAATTCTGAGAGGAATGACTTGGTTAGGAGTGTATCTAGATCTGTGAGTACTGGGGCATTGTTGGAAATTGATAAATTGCTTTTTTTATCTCAAATCTATCTAATTTCTCTTCTTTTTTTATCTTTATCTATCTTTATTTCATGTTGTTAGCTAGCTGATAGTGGAAATAGGCAGAAGGAACACTCATCTGCTTGGCTACGGTAATCAGAGAGGAAATTTGTGTGGAACGATTACAGTTTGTTTGCAATCTCGAACAGATCTCGATATAATAACTTCGATAAAATAATGTTTGCGAAATGTTGCAAAGAAAGCCTAAATTTTGGAAAATGACTCTGATAGTTTTTGTGAGGAACGGATAGGTCGATGAAGGAATTTAAATTTTCAGATTGAATGTATAATGTATTGCTGCTTTTGATAGTTTAGGAAATAGTTGGCTACAGGTAAATTATGATAAATTAGCCAATCGACAGTCCAATCAGGTAGCCACTTCTGTGTTAAAGCATGTAGTTGTTTAAGCAGCTAATCAGCTGTATGCTTGGAAGTATTTTAAAGATAGTCAACAATAAATTAGCAAATAATTAGCAAGTTATGAGCAAATAATTAGCGTTGGATGAGCAAATACAGGGCAATTGAGGAGCAATTAACCTGGAAACACCCGCACAGGTATTTGATATATTGGAAATTATCCATTGATTAACCATTCTGAACATAATTCTGAAATAACAGCTAGGGAAAATAGGTTTTATTCTAACCATACTCGAACAGTGAATAAATCCGAGGATTTGAGTCAATTATTCTGAGCATCAAGATTTAATTACAGTTCTTCATTTCAGTTCTTTTGGCTGCATTCGATGTTTGAAAAAATGATATCTGAAAATGTTTCGACTTATTCTTTTTTTCTTTTTTTTCCTTTTTTCACTTGTTTACAATTGTCTACAATTGTCTTTATACCTGGTGTGAAATTTGTGAAACTAGGTAAAGAATTATTTTTCAAAATGTCTAGTTGTAGCCAGATTCGTATCGATATTAACTTCAGGTGGAAAATTTAAATAATATTTTATGATTTCATTATTTTATTATTTTATTATTTCATTATTCTATTACAATATTTAAATAATATTTATGCAGAAACATCAATTTTAATTATCCTCAAAAAGTTTTCATAATCTAAATATTCACAATTATTATAAGACTCGAATGGCAAATTAATTACATTTGGTTAACTCTGTTTAAATTCTTCACAGAAACCTTTGAAACAAAAAAACAAAAAAACAAAAAAAACAAACTAAAACAAAGAAAATTAAAGGAAAAAAGAACAAAAAGCTACATTATAAATAATATCCAATAACTAGAGGCTAAAGACCATAATAAGAAAACAGAATAGATATTTCCTCAGTTCGGCAATAACAATTGCTATTAAGATCTCTCGTTTGCAATAAGTTTCACCAATCAAAAGCCAATTCCTCTCGCTAAACCTTAGCTGTGATCAATTGACACTCATTCAATTGTTATCTTTTATTACCATCTGTCCAGAAAGCAGTCGGACCAATAAAAGTGGTCAAAGAATGAAGAAACGCTAATTTAGACCAACAAAGAAAAGTACTGCCTGTGTTCCAAACCAGTAATATCATCTGATAATGGTCTGCTTGAACACCGCGCCTGCAATCACCTCCACTTATGTAATCACCCTTAGTTCCGATTACCTAAGACAGCCTAATCTCAACTACAACATGCATGTCAGCTGCACGCTCTACAGAAGCCACAGAAATGGATTACTCCGCTAAAACCTCTCCTGCTTTTGCTGAACGCTAATTTTTCCCAGTTTTCTTTTCCTGCTTTCCTCCACAAATACAACAACCCTATTAATTTCCACCCAAATGTCTGGTTCATGCTCTTCCACATCACTCACCATTCTATCTTATACTGTATCCATTTTGTATCTCACTATTTCTGTTTCCCAGCATCTCAGTATCTCAGTACCGCTATAGCTTTGTATGTAGCTTTCAACTACAACACTTTACAACACTTACCTGTTTAAGCAATTTCGGGTGGATCCAGAGAATAAAAACAGCATCCTATTGCTTACCACAAGACCTTCTCAGTACCGTATAACCATGATAATGCAAACTACAAATCATCGAAATACCATTGAAATATCACTGCTGCACCGCTACAACGACAAGAGTCTTTCCAAAAAGATTGGTTTTTAGCCTGTTTTTGTAATTTCTAAACTCTTATCCTGTCAATTTTTCAATCTGAATACACAGAGGACCTTACTCATAATAATCAAAACATACTAAAATATTTCAATTTATTGAATTTCCAATACAATTCAAATCCAACGTAATGTAGTTTCTAGCTCAGTTTCAAAAAATACGATTCATCTTGTTGTTATTTCATATCTCGCTTGAAACTATTTGAGTTTATTTTTTTAACTTTAATTTGAACTCTGAACTGCAAGCTAATCGAAGCATAAACTTTATCAGCGATGATTCACAGCACGATGTTAAATTTTGAATTACAAAACTTAATATAAATGGTTGTTGTTCTTACTTTAGCAGACTCTAGATTTTTCGCTGTCCTGTCACCTTCTAACAATTTCAAAATACATGGTTGTCTTTGGAGTTGCGATTGAATATTACACAAGCTACTACCACAGTCAGCTGACACCTCGTGACTTCTTCCTTTATACTGCGTTGGACTCAGAGTATGTAGGTTGTTGTTCTTAATACTCTAGATGTTGAAGTCTTAAAAAGAGTTCTGCTAATTTAGCTGCCGAATCTTGATTGACAGATAAATTGTATGTGTATATATAGGTGTGGTGGAGTATACTGTAACAAAATTTAATAGTCCCTTTTCTCAACGATAATTTGTCAATAAAAAACTGCCCAGAAAGAATCTCTCAGCGGAATGCGAGTTCCGCAGATTCTAAGCAGTGTGTGTACAAAACAGTAGCATATGCATGCATATTACTGATTATTGAGTTTTTCTTTGCTGAGCACCGATGTTTTCATCAACAGACATTTGAAAGTGAACAGTTGGATATTTCTATGATATTTGCTTACCTGGATTCTTTAATTTGGATATGAAACACAGTTTTCGGTTTCCACTTGCAAAACAGGAATTTTCGTTAGCAGGACTTTTATCAAAATTCCAAATTAAAAGTTTTAAATTTTTTAACTTTAATTTCATCCAAATTTTAATTTCAAAACTCCAATTTGAAAATTCAACAATCGAAAAATATATTCCTTTTTATCTGACAGAGTTTACAATAAACTATCTTTCTTTTAATCTTAATCTTAATTGGAATTGGGATTGGGATTAAAACTAGAATTTTAAATCGGTTATTTAGTTTCAATCTTTGTTTCCTTCCAACTCATTTCATTATCTTAATCTCTTTTGTTCTTTTCAACTTGGCTTTATTATCTTTATTTATTTTAATATAAATTAATCAAAATTTCCCAGGGCAATATATTAATGAAGCCTGTAATTCTTACAATCTCCTATTCCTATTATTATCATCGAAATAATATTAACAATAAAAATAGCTGCAGCAAAATTATCATTAGCACCAATTACTTTTCCTCTTCCTATCTCTATTCTCTTCTCCAAGTTCCAAACACCAGCTACAACTCAATTCACTTTACTTCTTTTTATTCCTTTCCATTTTATCTTATCTCATTTAACCTCACTTCATTCAGCTTCTAATTCCTAAATTCCATCTTTTTCTTATCCCATATCTACAACTATTAGCACCATTGCATAACCCTTACTTTATCTCTCTCTTTTTTGGCTATTATTCCCCCAAACCAATGTCTCTGTATAACCTTTCCTCAAGCATTCCAATGCCTGTCCCACCAAACCCTTTGCATCTCTCAAATCAGTCATTTGCCGACCAACAGTTTTTAATCAACAACCTTCAATTTTTCAATGCCCAAAATTTAAACCTCCCTCCAGTTTCTCCTGTCTCTCACCAAACTTCAAACATCGTCAACTCCTATAATATTAACCATGGCCAGTCAAATGATTACTCAAACCAAATCAGTCTAACACCAAGTTACAACCATCCTAACACTTGTTCATCTTATTCAACTGCTGCAACTCCAGCTTCTAGTCTTACAAATTCAAGCTCTCCAGTTTCCTTCAATGAATCAACTCCTCCTCAAACACCAATTGATTCCGATTCATTCCAACAAATTTCTCTTCAACCTTATGACAGTACTACTACTATTACCAGTAATAACAACAACAACAACAATAATAATTTTAATACACTTTCAAACTCAAATCAACAAAACGATCTCCGTTATAAATTTCATTCAACAAATCAATTTCAAAACCAATTTCAAAACCAATTACAAAGCCAATTACAAAACCAGTTAATATTACCTTCGTCATCAGACCAATCCAATTTATTAACTGAATCTTATCCAAACTCTTCTTCAACTTTATTAAACTCTTCAACTTCTTTGAACTCTTCAACTTTCACTTCTCCTTCTCCTTCGGCTTCTAATTATACATATATTTCCAGTTCTGATTCTTTTGAAAATTCAAAATCCAATTCAGTACCATATGTGGTGAACTCAAACGATTTTTCATCAACGTCTCCTTGCTATCCAATCCCAGCTTCATCTATTTTATCCGATTCTTTTATGTATTCTGATAAAGTTGCAACTTCTCCAATCCGATATGACTATCCATTAAACAATAGCAGCAGTAATAACGATAGTAACAATAGAAATAACAGTAATAATTTTACTAATAATGACACAAATAATAACTTGGGAAATCCAAATTATTATCAACAGAAATTAAACAAAAATCTACCTTTGATTACTAGAAAACCAACTAAAATGCAAAAACTAATTCAACCAGCAACATCTTTAAATTATAACTTCAACTATAATTATATTACCAATAACACTACCAATAATATTACTACTAATATTAATAATAATGTAAATAATGTTACTAATAATATTACTAATAATGCCGATAATAACGCTGATAGTAACGCTACTGGTGTTAATAAAAGCGTTATTGAAAATCAGATGCTAAAAACTGAAGAAGTTAATCTACCTGTTTCACCAGTTATTTTCTCAGATTCCAAAACTGTTAGCAGAATTAATAACAAGGATACTGAAACTAAAAAAAATAGAAATACCAAACCAAAACTCAATTCTGTTTTCAAAATTTCTAAACCTTCTCAGGTTAATAAAAGTTACAGCAATATTAAAACTGAGAAAAAGCAACAAATCAGCACAAAAAACCCCATTCCTCCTTTGGAGGCTCTCAAAAGACAAAATACCCAACCAGGTCCAATTCCTGCATCCGACCCCAAAGTCACAATAGAAAAGTTAACTGGCGATGAGATAATAGAATTCGAATATACCAAAGCCAAAAAAAGAAAAATCTTTAAGATAAGATGTCCTGCTCATTTAGGCGAAAAGTATATGGAAATATTGGAGAATTATCATAAAAGAAAAGCCTTGAGACATAAACGCGATTCGATGTTCAATTCTTCAAGTGTGTCGTTTTGCATCAACGCTTTTGATTCTTCAAATAGACAAACTAATTTCAGATTTATTGATACCAAAGAATTCAATTTGGAATTGGAATTTGTTAAAAATCAGGACGAAATCCTCAAAAAGTTATCAAAGCAGTTTATAGATAATAATGCCATCTATCCAAATGCCATGGGTTCGGATGAGGAATACAAAGGTAACAGAGGCCAATATGAAAGATTTTGCAACATAATAGGATTGAAACTTTCGTACTTGAACACTGAGCTTCGTGGAAAAAAGGGACTCCTCCAAAGAGCTGTTGATACATGGAAGAACACCAGAAAGAACGAATGTTTTCAAAGCAGAAGAGTTCGCAGACAAATTAAATCTGCTTCCAAAAGCTCTCCAATTGCCAAAGCCTTCCAAAAATAGGCCCTATGTCTGTTCTACTGATTAAAATACTCATGATCACTTCTTCACCACCATTTATACTTTTGCTTCATCCACTATGCTGCCAATTTATCAATGACAGAAGACAGATTAAAGCAGCCCGATAAATTGAATACGCTCTTCAGTTTTGCTCTTCACCCCAACACTTGATGAATATTTGTTGCTCTCACACTCTACTCACACCACATCCAACTGCTAGCTGTGTTATATACATTTGCACTGATTATTACCTGATTCTGAAACTGGCCAACATCCTGCACTGTCTTTAGACGTGCTGAAAACCAGCGTATTGCAAGGGAAATCTAAAAATTGCTTTTTCAACCATGGACATGTACTCTAATAAACATTTTTACTTTTCACTTAGTGCTAAACTCAAACTAAATTCAACTTACTTTTAATGGCTTTGGTATCCAAGCCACAGACGTCGGGGCCCTCCGTAAACCCCGCAAAGCATCCGAGCCTGTGCAGACGGAACAGCGCACATCCGAAACACTCCGTAGTTACGCTCGAACTCCCGTTTTCGAACACACACTTTTGTTCGCTAAACACTTTCAGACAGACGCGTCACGTGCCAGATCATACCAATTGAAGGCGATTCGACTGGACGAAAACCTGCCTTTTTCAGCCAGAGTTTTTGGCTGACAATGTGATTGTGATGCTTAAGACGTTTACTCCTTCACCACAGGCAGTTTTCCGAATCCACAGGATACTAAGGCCTTTGTCTTGCAGTTCAAAGACATGCTTTGGTCTTGCTATCTTGAATGCTTCCTGTCAAAAGTCGTGCTTTTCAAACCAGCCGAAACATACAGCTTTGTGTTTGAGCAAGGTTGGTAGCAGAAAAAAAAGTACTTATGATCTCGCTTCCTCGACGCCAGCAGCTAGAAATCTTTTTCCTGAACAAATGAAGGTTCTTTTTATCAAAAGACTTGAAAAAACCTTGATTGGATTGGATACCCTAATAGCTCGGAAATCTCTAGACACTTCTGTGCCTCTGAAAAAAACTCTAGAAACGTTTAATGGTGCTGTTTTGAATAATTATCCATTGGGACCCTTGCTTTTTTTGCTTCAAACCTCTTATTTTTCAAAAAATCCACACAGTGGTTTAATGATACAAGAGCTATATAACGATTTACTACTAAATGATTTGGAAAAGAACTTTGCTAATAAAGAGTTTTTAAAAAAGACTCATTTCGATTTATTGTCGATATATTTGTCAATTGGATTCAATGATTCTGCTTGTTTGTTTTTCTACATCTCATCTAAATTACTTTTGAAAAGAAATTTTAAAAGAATTGAATATTTTCTTGTAAATTTTGTTAAATTCAATTCTACTGCTGATTTACCCAGTCTTCAAAGTTTAATTCATGCTCTTCTTACCCACACAAATCTTCAAATTCCCAAATATGATCCTAATGACAAAAGTTCTGAAAAAAAAAATGTTTTAAATCTAATCAATTTTATCTTTTCATTAGATGATTCAAATCTCAAAATGAAAATACTCGTCAATTTTTTAATAAATCTATCAATCATTGAACATAAAATGGAAATAGGGTCTGGCTTAGCCTTTCTTTTTTTAGATTCGATTGGAAAAGAGTTTATATTAAATCTCACCATCAAAAAGCTAATTGATTCTTTGTTAATTTATAATCCGATTTATCAGGAAATTCAAATTGATCTAATTTTAAAATTACTTGAAGCCTTTGATATTGAATATTCAAATCTGATACAATTACTATTGTTTGAAAAGGTTTTCAATTCAGAGTTTAATAGTAGTTCCACTTCTCCATCTGAAAAAATACACTTTCAAAATTCACCAATAATGATACCTTTCATGTCCAATAACTTATTTTTGTTCTCCTTTGCAAAATCTAAAAAAAATTTATCCTCGGACCCTAATAATCTAAAATTCATAAATATGAAAAATATTTTACTATCTTATTCAAATAAATTAATTCAAACAAATATTGGACTTAATAATATTTCCGCTGTTATCTCTATTTTCAAAATGATTCAAGATGATTTTTTCTTAAAAAAATATCACGAAGAATCCGATATTAATTTACTCCAATCAGTGGTTAGATATTTGGATAAAAATAAATATCATTCATTCTCTAAAATAATTGTTAAATCTATCCCACTCAGACTATATCAAAACACCAAAGTAGTCCTTCTTGTTTTAAACCATGCTGCGTCTCTTGCTGATGTTGAATTGTTTAAAAAAATGATGGATTTTTTATCTAAATCTGGAATTTCACCTGAATCGCATCGTTTGGTTTTATTCTATATTATTCAATTGTATATTAAAACAAATAATCAACTTGGTGTTACAAAGGCATTTAAAACTATAATAAATCAATTTACTAATTTAAATAGAAATGAATTTAATTTGCTAGTTGAGTTTTTATTAAAGAGTGGAGAAGTTAATAAAGCTATTGAGTTATGTAATAAATATAAACCATCTATGACACTGTCGGGGTTCAATCGGATACTACATTATCTAATTAAAAACAAAAAAGTTATTCAGTTTGAAAGCTTTATCCACAAGCAGTTTCAAAAAATTATCGACGACACATTTTACAAAGATGGAAAATCCGTAATAGAATTTTTAGATTATATTTCAATTACCTATCTTGGATTTTTAATCAAAAATTACAAGCTAAAATACATAAAACAAATTTTTATTAACTCTGAAAGACTAAAACAGAAAGTGGTAGTAGATGACACATTAATACCCGAATACTATCTGTATAGTTCTCCGGTTTTTTCTAAAGCGAAAGAAACATCTCATTCAGAAGAAAACGATAATATTTTCTTTGATAGTTTCTATCCAAAAGCATACATAAATTCATTTGAAACCGGGTCTGATAACTTTATGAAACTAAAATTTAATCCTAGTGAGGATGAATTATCAAAAATTTCAATATATTTAACAGATAAATCAAGAATTATAGCATTAAGATCGATTGCTACTAACGCAATTGAAAACGATGATGTTTCAACGTTGGAATGGGTTTTGCATGAACGACTTAGATTTGATGGGTCCACAAAGGAAAAAGTGTTTGGTAGTTACGAAAGAAGATTATCGGTACTTAAAAGAAATAAAAAAAGAGCATTAAAAGAAATAAAAAGCTGATAATACATGTTAGGATTCTAAATAATTGGCATTACTGTATTATATATATATAGATTTTCTAAAATAACTTGAAAATAAAGGGTATGTATAACATCATTTTTTTCTTTTAAAAAACCAACCAGTATTATTTTATCAAATCGATTAAATATGAGAAAAACAGCCTGTATATAATTTCTTAAATTTAATTATTTCTTGTACATTTATAAATGATATATTTTCTTCGTTGATCATATCCTTATTAATGAAAAATTTATTAATAATTATAAAAAAAAGGTGAAACATGGAAAAACGATAATATCTGACCGAACTTTGGGGGGTTTCTTTGCAATATAACAATAAAAAACCTCTAGTATTTTTTGATAGAAACTTACATTATCGTGCAACAAACATCATTATTATTACCATTGCTATTTCTCATTTTGTTGTAGCCTTGAAGGAAAGGATTTTTTTCTTCAGGCAAAGAACCCCATGAGCTTATCATATAGTCTGTTGTATTTTGGCAGTAATCAACCAATCCTAAGCACGAATTAGAAACTGGTATCAACTCCTTTTTTAATGTGTTTTTTAATTCTTCATTTTTCTGATTTTTCCTTTGGTATTTTATAGTTAAAAGTTTGTACTGCAAAAGAGGGTTGGGAGAAGAAGCTGGAGTAGCAGAAGTATTTACTTGTAAATTTGGCTTGTTTTCACGATCCATGAGTAGATGTTATTTGGCTTGATGATTTCAAAATGGTTGGTAAAGATTTGAAGGATATATAAGAGAAAGAGGACGATAAAAGAAAGCAAAAAGAATGAAAGCAACAAAAAGTAACTTTTGATTAGAACTTTAATTTCAAGACAAAAACGCATAAAAACGCACACAGAAAAAAGCTATCAACCTAATGGGAGAAAACGCGCAAATTTACATATAAGACGTATAAATCCCCTTCCAAAAAGGAATATTATAAGTCACAAAACAGAGACAAAGCTCAAATTGGAAACTACATAATTCTATCAGGTTTCACCCTTCGAGAGCCCATTTCGGGCTAACCATTTTTTGATGTTGTTGACGCTAAGCTGCTGTTTTTTGTGGCTATTGTCAAAGCTGAGGTCGATTGCATCTCCATCACTGAAACCACCGAATTTGCTTTTTGTTTTGGCCCGCGAAAGCTCATGAACAGCTTCACAGACTGCAATGTAATGATATGTCTTTTTGAGGTCTTCGTAAGCAATGTCAGCAAGCATCTTTTTCTTTGTCATATCTTCTCTAACACAAAAATAATAAAACATTTCTTTACCATTTCCAATTTTTGGAATGGAAACCATTAAGTCATTTAAAATGTGTTGAAACTTGTCTTTGAAAGTTTTATATTTCAGTGAGGAAGAAGAACCACTTGAGATACATTCAGGATTTTTGCAAAACGAGTTTCCACATCCTTTTGTCAACTGAAGAACATACCTTCTTTCAAAACTATTCTTGATTTTTCTCAAGTGTGGGTCATCTAGCGTTGAGTATGAAGGGCCAAAACAGACATCGCATAATTGGAGATCATTATTATTTAGTCTTTTTTCATTGATCAGAATAAGATTAATGCAGTTTTTATTAAGACATTTTTTAATGACATTTGATTTAATTTTTTCTATTGTTTTAATATCATGTAACTTCATATGAGAAAGATAATTTAGTTGTTTTATGTATTTAAAACAAGTAAAACATTGAATTGTCTTAGAGCCACAGACTGATAATTCATGATGAGAAAGATTGAAAGCAATGTCTTCATAAGTGGATTTATCTCTTGGTAAAATTAAATGGCAAAACTTGCATTCATGTAATGCTGAGGGACATGCAATAGCTTTATGATATGATAAAAACAAAAGATTGTCAAAATCCTTTGAACAACCCAGGCATTTATGATTTTGATGAAAAATGTGGTCATGTTTTTGTAAAGAGAATTCCGAGTAGGTTAATGGTAGATTAGACAATTTAAAATTTTTAATATCAAATAAGTAATTTGATAAAAATTGTATTGAATCAAACAAAAAGGGAGATAATGGAGAAAAAAAATTGGAGGGAATTTCAGCTTTAAAAAATTCCAAATTTGAATTTTGAAAAAAAGTGTTTCCTAAAATTTTGAACTCATTTAAGAAATTAGTACATTTATCACAATGCCAATGATTAGGTTTTTTTTGTTTTTTACTTATTATTTCGGGACAGTTTGGATTAGGACACTTGATATTATTTCTAAAACAAAAGGTTTCATGGATAGCTATGTTTCTCTTGGGAATTTGCTTTCCACAATTGGAGCAAATTGCATCATCAGTGTCTATATTTATATTATTCTGGATAGTCTCTGAATAATCAGAGGTATTTTCTAGGAATCTAAATGAGATATTTATGTTAGAATGATTTATTATTAGTGATTGATCCCAAATTGAAGGAAAAATATAGAGAGAGTCTTTGCCTACAAGCAAAGTATCATTCAAGTCAATTTTAATAAATTTGTAATATAAATTAGTTGATTGGTTGAAGATTATAGAGGACAAAAGTGATGACCAAATAAAACGATTTTTTGAGACGAATTTGTCATTTGAAATAAAGAAATCTAGATTATTTAATAATTGATCGATTTGAGATTTATCGTAATTTAGATTCAAGTCATTTTTAATTGAATATAATAGATAGAACGATTTTAGGTTTTTAAAATTTTTTTTCATTGATGTTATGTCAAACTGGTATAATCTTTGCAAAGAGATACTTTGAATTGATAAAGAATTTAAAGGCAAATTTATTGGTGAATTGAAATCATCAATTTTCTTAATAGGAAGTTCATTAGTAGGAATAATTTTATCAATCTTTTGATTAGAAGTATTGTCATTATTATTATTATTATTATTATTATCAGTAGCAATAGTATTCTTGAATTGAAGATCAAATATCAAATTTGTATCGATTATACAAATTGTATCACTTGGTGAAGTGTCAGTTATTTTAAAAACTAGTAACCTGTTGAGATTATTATCGTAAATTTTCAAACTCTCATTTTTGGTCAATGTTGTATAGTACTTCATTAAATTTGCCTCAAGAAAATACTTGATGGAGCTGATGTTAATTGGATTAGCCTGGTCATTATCGTTCTCTTCAGCATCATCATCTTGATAGGAAACCGCTAGAGAGGAGCCCTTGGGCACATCAGTAACAGGAGAAACAGATACTCTCTGAGACCCATTTATATGTAGTCTTTCTTGAATGATGCCAGGCAAATAAACAACGTCATCTGGAGCAGAAAACTCTCGAACACCAACAAATGTCGAGTACTGTGATTGAGCAACAGAGACAGTGATTTTGAAGATGAGAGGCGAGGAAGCAGCAGTGCTGTTGTTGCTGTGAAGATGGCTGCCATAAAGATTTTTGGTGAGCAAAGAGTTCAACACTGAATCGCTCAATATCACTTTATCAGAGTAGTAAGGCAAAGACTCGTTTGGCTCACAAAGTAACTGGAAATCAGCCATCGTTGAAGAAGCAAAACCTGGGAGAGAAGCAGTGTCTTCTACTACACTTTGAGAAATAAATACTAAGATTGCAAGAGCTGGCCAAAAGGTGGCAATATTACTGGTTTTGTTGAGCAGATTTGTCAGCAAATGAGCTGAACCTCTGCGAAACCGCTGCTCGGTCAGGAAAAGAAGCAGAAGCAGCAGAAGCAGCTCAGAGGCCCACAACACAAGACTATCTAAGGCTTTTCGACAACTACATACTGGTGGTCGTTCAGTGGATTGGAAGTCAACTCCATGGGCCCCCAGGAGCTCGACACCTCGCCCTTCTCAGCATCGACGCTGTTGCTGATGGAGGAAATGCTGCTCATCAACTCGTCGAAGTTCAATGGCACTGGGTTGTTGTCGAGTATCCTCGAGCTGCTGGAAAGTCTGATTTGCTCGCTGATCGAGCTCAGGTCTCCTCCACATCCAACCAAAGAGCTCGTAGGCAAAGAATGGAGACTGTTAACAAACTTGATCTGGTTGTTCAACTCGTTTAGTAGTGACTGTTGGTCTTGCTCGTCCTGAGGAAGCTTCAAGTTCGATAGCCTCAAGAGATACTTCAATTCATCAGTGGTGACCAACTTTTCCTCGCTGGAAGCATCTCCAACTGTTTTGTCACTCAGCACAAAATCCTTTGGGTTCCAACTTGGTGCTGCTAAAAATTTTTTAATCTCTTCCAACGACTTGAAGGGTTTGCCAACAGAAGCGACGTTGGTGGAGTTGTATCGAATAAAACAGCGCGAAATAGGTCTAAGCAACATTCTATTTATTCTTATTTACTCAGCTGGATTGTTTGTGATTGAGTTTTTGCTCTTTATTAAATCTCTATCAGAGTGGGTTGTGATTGGTTTAGTTTCTTTCTCAAGTTTCGGAGAAAACTGAAATCTACAGCCAGAAGTTAAAGTTCTACAATATAACTTTTATTGAAAAAACCCATAAACTCAACTATGGATAACTAATTAAAGTAAAACAGTCGACAAGAAAAGAAAAGTTACACTAAAATTACACTGAATAAAAAAAACAAAAAAAACATATAATGGAAATCAATAAAGTTCAATGAAGTATCAAAACACTTGATTCAATCATAGAATTTTTATGGTGTAAAGAAAAAAAACAGAATGGATGAATTTCAGAATTCAACCAATAAAGATGAAGATAAAAAGTACTAAAACAAAGAAAAGACACAAGTAAAACAACTAGCATAGAATAATTTAGCCAAAGAAAAAAAAATAGAAAAATAAAAAGTTGAAAATGAATGATGGTATAAGTATTGAAAATTAATTTCTCTTGAGGCCTTAAAAACTATTTCAAGCTTTCTTCAAATTTCTGAACATTTGGAGAAGCTGGAACAAGTTTAACCTTTGGTCTATCACTATCTTCATTGTAATTTTTGCTCACGCCATTTTCAAACTGATAAATCTTTGATATGGTTGCCTGTAAATCGGTTTCGAAAATATCAACTTTAGAATCAGTACTTACTAAAGTTGTAGTTGATCTTCCGGGATCTAAAGTTGGAATCTTCCTTTTCAAATGAAGATGCGTATTAGAATTGTTTGGATTTAAACTTGAGGTCGATTTGTCGATCGAGGCTTGAGAATTGGAACTTTTATTAATTGAAAGCAGCTTTTCATTTGATTGAGTACCATTTAAATTTAATTTTAAATCAATTTTACTTTTACTTCCATCTAATTTCCCTAATTTATATTGGATATTAGGATCTTTTATTTCATTGTTATGATCATGATCATAATCATTTGTTGATTTTGGTGTAATAAATTCGTCACTATCATTGATGCTTAAGCTATTATTAATTGTGTTATTGGATATGATATTTGTTAAAGAAGGATCTATTGAAGGAGAGGTTAAAACACTTTCTCTATTATAGTTTATTGGTGGAGAATAATCAATAAAAGTAGAAGAGTCGTGATTAATATTATTCGTGTTATTATTCGTGTTGTTATTCGTGTTGCTATTTGTGTTGTTATTTGTATTAAAATTAAAATTATTAGGATTATTAAGGTTATTAAGATTATGATTTGATTCCAATTGATCTTTATTGAAAATTTTATTATCAATATAATTCCCATCTATTTCCCAAATACCTATTCTGCTCCAAAACATTTTAGAACGGATTCTACAACATTCAACCCAGGCTTTTTTTATGAATAAATCATTTTTAGATAAATTTTTTCCATATACACCATTTTTAATTGATCTGAAAAAGGCAAATAGCTCGCACACTGCTCTAACTCTAAAAAGACAATAATGACAAAGAGGAAATTTATTTGTTGAGGATTCCAAGTTGGGATTAATAGAACTATTGTTATTATTATTATTGTTATTAAACTCTTGTTTTGATAAAGATTTTTTCCTTGATTTATTTTGAATTCTTAGCATATGAAGTCTTGAATGTTCTAGGATATCAGACCTCAATTCACCACATAATGCACAAGGATTAAAGAGAGCTACTGGAGGAGAATTCGAAGGAAAATGGTACAATTTTTGAAGTTTATCATTATTAATTTTGTTATTATTGTTATTATTATTATTATTGGTAGTAGTAGTAGTAGTAGTAGTAGAAGTAGTAGTGGTGGTGGTAGTAGTATTAGTATTAGTATTAGTATTATTAGCATTTGATAGTTTCCAGGTTTCATTAATAGCGGAGATTGGCTCAATAATCACTTTTCCATTTATTAAAGAATTTAATAAAGGTTTTTTTTGTAACCAAGATACACCTGGGGCTGAGTCTAATTTTAAGGTTGGGTCAATATCATCATTGTAAATTTTTTTATAAAATTTTGAGTCTTTTAAATGAGAAGAAAAAGAGGAAGAATTTGAAGATGAGAGTGGTAAAGATTGTGATGGGGAATTTGAATAAGATGTTGGAGAATTTTTCTTATTATTATTATTATTATTATTATTATTGTTGTTGTTGCTGTTGTTGCTGGTCAAACTATTGTATTTATTTGCTAAGATTGCAGTATAACTTAAAGATTTTTTATTACTAAATGAGTTTGAAGGTGAATGTGAAGATGAGTGAGAATGAGAATGAGAATGAGAATTTGAAGGGGGAGGAGACGATATAAATACATTATTGATATTATTATTAACATTATTAATATCATTTTGATTATTCAAATCGTCTATTGATTGAATAAAAGTTACGAAAAGATTAAATAAAGATAAATCATAACGAATTGATTGTACAGTTGGGGAATATAATAAGTTTGATAAATTTGTATTAAAGTACTCATTTGAATTCATTGAAGAATGAGATTTTGATTGAGATAAAGAATTTGATATTGAGATATTACTAATGATATGAGAATTTGTCTTGGGGGTTGAAACTGAAGATTGTAAAGAAGATTGAGATTGTATTGGGATTGAGGTTGAAAAGGTATCAGGAGAATTTGTATTGTTTGTGAAATTGGTTAAAGTAGGAGAATATCTAATTGGGGATTGTAGCTGGTATTGGTATTGATACTGACTGTTATTATTGTTATTGTTATTATTATCTTCTAGTTTTTGTAGCACTAATTTTAAATTTTTCAATTGATCAGAATAGTTTGATAACAACGAATCCTTTTCATTAATTTCATTGATTAAATTGATGTTTTTCCTTTTGTAAGATTCAGTTTCACTTTTAGCATCCGACACCATTTTGTTTGCTTCAGAGAATAATTGAGTGGATAATTCATCAACTTCTTTACTCAAGTTTTTAACTTCCAAATCCGAAGCATTTTTCAAATTTGATAATTTAACGTTTTCAGATTTTAATTCAGTATTTTCTTTTGATATTAATTGATGTTGCTTCAAGAGGAATTGGTAATCGTTCTGTAAATTAGATAAGGATAAGTTTTTTTTTCTTTCGTTTTCGAATTTTTTAGTGACCAAAAAAAGCTGTTCTTCCAATTCAGACTGTTTACCAATAGCAGTGATCAACTGAGCAGATAAATCGCCTACTTTAGCAGAGATTCGTTTCTCTTCTTCATTGTCCATGTTGAAATGCAGCAGATAAGCGAAATTGGTGGTGCAGACAAAGGACAGTGGGAAGCATGCAACGAGAACAGCGGCAGAAGAAGCAGCAGAAGCAAAAAAAAGGAAGGATTAAATAGCAGCACGAGAAGTTCTGTAGCAGTCTGAAAGCAGTTTCTTGTGCGAGAAAGAGAGACCCAGAAGAAGATCAAGACGAGGAAGCAGAAGAAGCAAAGATCAGATCACAGATCAAGATCAAGATCAAGTCAAAGCCAAACAGAGTTGAAACCGCACAGGCATCCAGACGAAGCGCGCTTCGGTGCGCCCGTTTCGGCGCGCCGTCAAAACCGCTTTTTGTCCGCAGCGCTGTTCCGCAGCACTGGGTCGTTTCAGCAGAGAGCGCAGGGGCTCGGCGCACGCGGGACTCGGACCCCTTAATTGCTACAGCCACCGCGCTCAGAGCGTGTTCTCGAACATTTGGATCCGGCTCTGCAAGTTTTTGCCGGAAGATGCAGATGCCACGCGGATATTTGCAGCACCCAGCAGCGTGGTATCTGAACCCTTCTCAAACATGGCGAATCTGCTGGATAAGCTGCTTTTCTTCAACACAATGGGCGACACTTTCGTGATGGTGGAGTTCGCAGAGTGGACAGAGCCAGATGTGTCCTCTGGGCCACTGCCTGATGTTTCCCGCAAGTTGTTGGTGATCACCACGTTCCTGTTCAAGTTGTTGTTCAAGTTTGACGTTTCGATTCTGAGCCCAAAGCTTTTGTTTTTGTTCAACGACTGCCCTGAAACCATCAAAGGTGTTAATGTTGCTGAAGTTGAAGCAGTTGCTTGCCTGTTGTATGTCTCACTTTCACTTTCACTTTCATCTTCGTTGCCCATCTTTATACCCTCTTTGTTCATTTTATTAATTGACGAGTTCGAATAATCATCATAAATATCTGACATATCCAAATCACTATCAGTATTATTGATATCCATATCAAATCTAAAATCGTTAATCTCTTTTTCAATGTTCTCAATTCCATTGAGATTTTCATTTAATTTTTCGTTTAATTTTTCATTTTTCATTTCTTTTTTATTATCATTATTTCCATTATTTTGATTTGGGTTTTGAGTTTTATTTTCAATATGAATATTATTATTATTATTATTATCATCATTATCATTATCATTATCATTATCATTATCATTATCATTATCATTATCATTATCATTATTCTCAACAGTTTTAACTTTATTAAAAGCAGTTTGGTTATTAATAGTCTCACCATCTGAAAGACTACTGGCTGTTGTATCATTCGATAAAGGTGATGATTTATTAGTAGTACTTCTTGAATCACTCTCCACTGATTCGCTTTTACTTGTACTATTACTATTACAGTCATTACTAATGACATTATTCTCATTGATCTTATTAAGTTCAGCTCTAGTATCACTAACACTAACTGGTGCATAACTTGTACTCGTTAAACTTGTACTTCTATTCACTCGAACATTATTAAAATTATTCTTCATATTATTACTCTTGATAATACTATTCTTATTATTCCCAATAATGTTAAACTCATTGCTTTCATTTTTGTTTTCTATTAATGATGATTGTTTATTAAAATAAACCAATCTACTCTTTAGCATTCCATTAGGATTATTGTTAATATTGATTTTATTGCCAATATTGCCAATATTGTTATTAAGACTATTGTTATTCATATTATTATGGTGATGATGATATTGATTAGACTGCGATCTAGATCTTGTCTTAACCAAACTTAATGACTTGCTACTATTAATACTATTGCTCATATTACTTTGTTGAGTAAAATGTCTAGAATAATTATATTTCCCCTCAATTTGAGAATCTGAAAACTCTTTATTATCAATTATATGAACCTCATCATTAAATTTAAATCCAGTTCTTGCCCAAAATAATTTCAATCGGATTCTACAACATTTAATCCATGCTTTCTTTTGACTTATTTTAGTAGATTTATCATTACAATCAAATCTATCATTATAATATTCGAATTTATCATCATCATACTCATTGTTATTAATGTTATCAATACTAACATTTAATAAATCCTTTCCCCATTTATTAGTTGATAAATTTTGATTTAAAGACCTTAAAAATTCAAACAACTCAATTATAGTCTCAACTTTATATTTACAAAGATTACAAATAGCATATTTATAAACACTATTGGATATATTATATGTTAAGTTAATAGTTCTTTGATAATTTATGTTTTTATGATTTCTTGATTCACCACAAAGTGAACAATCTTTACCAAAATTTCTAGGAGTTAATGGAGGATCCGAATCCTTTTGAATATTATTTAGATTGTTATCATTATGGTTATCAATCGTTATAGAGATCATTGGTTCAAATTTAATTATACCTTGAAATATCGAATTAAATAAAGATTTCTTTTGAATCCATGATACTCCTGGTGCAATATCTAATCTTAACGTTGGATCAATGTCATCAGCTAGTAGTCTTTTATAAAATTTTGAGTATAATATTATATTATTAGTTATACTGATATCGAGACTGTTTTTAATATTTCCTTGATTGCTATCATTAAATTCTTTTAATAATAATTTAAAATAATTGAATAATTTTAAATCATATCTTAGTGCATTAATCGAAGGTGAAAATAATAAATTTGCCAAAAATGGGTTATCATAAGAATCTTTAATACTTTTGTTATCATTATAACTATTTTTATAGCTGTGATTGTGATTGTGATTATAATTATAATTATGGTTATGGTTATGATTATAATTAAGATTAGAGTTATTATTTATTGGATCATTACCTTGATTTGGTTGCTTGAGATTATGCAAGATTTTTTTCAAATCTTGTAATTGTTCTTTATAGATATTTAGTAATTTATTCTTCTCATCAATTTCATTATTTAGTGAAAAAATTTTACTTTTCAAATTCAAATTAATTGATTCTAAATCTATAATTTTTTCATTTAAATCATTTGATAAATTTTGTTCATTGATTAATGCACCCAGTATTTCAGATTGTTCATCAACAACTGTCATTAATTTTAAAGATAGCTCATTTATCTTTTCCACTAATATATTATATTCTTCATTAGTTCTATAGTTATTGTTATTGTTATTGTTATTATTATTGCTTTGAGAATTAAATTTGGTTTTTTTTGAGGAAGAAGATGATGATGAAAAAAAGCTCATCATTTTATTACTGGTGTATGATATAATTTGGTATAATCTAGTACAATTTGGAATAATTTGGGATAATTTGGTATTTATATGATAAATTTAGAGGAAACTAATTCAATCTTTAAATCAAATCTAAATTAAAAGAATGAGTAATTAAATTTGAAATTAAGCTGGATTCTTATAGCAAACTCAAAATAAATTTAAAAAACGAATTAAGATGAATGAGATATTGAAATGAGTAGGATATTGAAGTATTAAAACACTATGAGTTTGTACAGGTGGTTGAATAATACGTCTAACAATAAATTTTGAATTGTGACTTGATTGTGAAAAAAAAAAAATCTAAAAAAACTGTAATTTTTGATTCAAACTAATAAGAAATTTTGAAAATTCCAAATCCAATTAATAATTATTATTTAACGATTAATAGTCAAATTAACCTGTTATAGGAATGCGAAATCTTTATCTATTGTTCTTGATATAATTGGAACCAAACACTGTTTCGAAAGTAGCAGACTGAGAGATTTATTAGAGAAAAAAGGATGGCTAATAAGGATCGAGTAACTGGTCAATTATCAAAATGTCATAGAGTGCGTAGTGCCAGAAGTGGCTCAGGTCTAAATAGCAGTAACGTGTTTCGGTTTCAGATAGTAGAAAAAAACACAGGACAATTCAATCAGCAAAAGAAAACAACAGATAGTGGAGCAGTTGCTGAACAAACACAGTAAAGAGCAGACACAGCAGCAGTCAAAATGGAAGAAGAAACAGAAGGAAAGGAAGAAGAAAAGGCAACAAAGACCCCAATAGCAAGAGAACAACAGACGATAACTGGTCGTTGCAACAGGAAGAAAAGGAGAAACAAGTCCACTGCAGCGGATCTATTGTTCAGCATGCATGGCACTGTTGATGTGCGTACATTTGCATTAGGACCGTGTATATGGTAATGGGCTGTTGATATTTAGCCGAGGAGGTTCAAAAACAAAAGCATATCAGCTGACCCGACTTGAGCTAATAGCAGTCACCTGACTGCTGCGGATCAGGTTTTTCCATACCAAGCACGAGAACAATAGTGAGAACAAGAGAGGTTTCTCGGTTTCTGCGGGATCTGCGGACTGACGTGTTTTAGTAGGCGAGTGTGTGATCGAAGCGGATTTACGGCCGCGAAAATGGTGCTGATCGGTGGGTTTTGGGAATGTTTACAGACCGACGGGAATTTCTTTCAGATGAGTGAATATTGGATTTATAAGATGTATTGGAAAGATGTATCAAACGAATGAGTAGTGAGTTTATAGTCGCAGATCGGTAGAAAATTAAGATGAAATGTGATCTATAAAGAGTGAATGGATTCAAAAAAGGTATTAAAAGAAATATCGATGAGAGAGAAGAGGAAGAAAAAATATCAAGATAAAAATATTGTATAGATTCGTAAGGGCAACGGAGCCTGCTAATTGATGCTAAGAAGTAATCATGATCAGTAAATAGAATCTAATCATTTTTATGCAAATTAGTTAAAAAAAGGGAGACAAATAGTAAAATTAGAGAAAAGATTAGAGAATCATATGATGAAAAAAAACATATCATAAAGTTGTGATATAAAAAAAATACAAAAAAAATACTAGAATTTGAATTTAAATTTTTGAATTTAAAATTTGATATTTAGACTTGGGTTGGCAAATTCAATCATAATCATAATTGCAATCACAATGGTATTATACCGATACTTGTATTTGTATTGTTGTGGTGAGGGAATTGAAGTTTAAATTAGATTAAGGATAAGCTGGAAGTAAAAAATCAAGATAAAATAAAATAGAATAAGATCAGGGATTTATTTGTTTTTGTTATTGTAATTATGATTTGAATCTGCGTGCTTTAGATAAAAAAATTAGATAGGTAAAATCGGATTATTTCTAATTTGATTCCCTGAAATATTAGAAATATTTTGAACGGAATCTTCAGGAATAAAAGGCAAATAAAATTGGTCAATAGAGGATTGTTGCCTTGGGTGGAAAATGTTAGTATTTTGGTTGTTATTAATGTTGTAAATATTTTTTTTAAGTTTATTCATCGAAGCGTTATTATTATGATTAATAATATTGCTATTTAGCATTGGAATTGAGATTGAAAAAGGGAAATTGTTTTGAGATGAATTGAAGAATTGGGATGGAGATTGGAGAATTGGAGAATTAGAAATGGAGGCCGGTGTTAATGGAGGAACGTTATTAATATCAGTTGAACCTAAAGATGAATTATAAGAATGTCTTGGAGTCTCAAAACTGTTAATGTTATTTATATTGTTATTGTTATTGTTGTTGTTATTATTATTACTATTATCAATATCGTTATTCAGATTTGGATTATAGCCGTATTCAATTGCATCCATGAGATCAATTGAATTAAAAAATCTTTTGTTAATGTTAGTATTGATGGTATCATTAATATTATCGTTAATTTTGTTAAAATTGAAGGTTTCCGTGTCATTATTTAAATTATTTGAGTTATTTGATAAAATAAGGGGAGACTGAATTAATTTTTTGGTTAATTTTGAGATTTGATTTAAATTGTTTTCGGCATTTTCAATGTTATTAATATTGGCGATATTATCGATATTATCGGTATTGTCAATGACATCAATGATCTCGTCATCGTTTTTCTTTAGTTTTAATTTGTTGATGTGATTTTTTTTATTAATTGATTTAATGTTGGTTTTAATGAAAAGAAGATATAGATTTTTGGATAAGGAATATATTGATAATAGTAATAAAGAAAATAAGATGAAGTTTAGGATTAAAGTTGAAAACAGATTTAAATTAATATTAAAGGTATTATTATTACCATTATCGTCGACTAATTGATTATTGTTTTGAACGTTTTGGTCATTTTGAGTTTTTTTATCATCTGGTTTAGTATAGTAAGGGTTGTTATAAGTATTTTCAATTATTTGATCATCGTCGATAAAATGTTTGCTTCTTTTATTTTTTGTATTGGTATTTATATTGATGTTGTTTTTATTGTTGTTGTTGTTGGTGGTGCTTTGATCATCATCATCGTCATTAGCAAAAATATAATTAAAATAGCCCAAGCCCTTTTCAGTTACAGAATAAAATTTTTTAGCATCAATACCTTTTAAAGGTGGAGGTAATACTAGAGATTTTATTTTAGTATCATAATAAGCATGTTCTCTTAACAAAGCAGGATCATAAGGAAGTGGAATCATTTTGAGTTTAAATAGTTAAAAAAAAGAAAGGAAGAAAAAGAAAAAGAAGGAAGAAAGAAAGAAAGAAAGAAAGAGATGAGATAATATATGAGATGAGGATATTATAATGAAGTTAAGAATATTTGAATTTCTGAGTGCACGAATGTAAAAGTGTATGATGTATGTGTATGAATTATGATGTGAGAAATGAGAAAGATAAAAATATATAAAAAATAGAGATGGAAATGAAATTAATGGGAATTTATTGAAATGATGAATGAAACTGAATATAAAAATATGGAATTAAAAATGATGATTGATTTTGTTAATTGCAAATTTTGCAAATTTTGCAATTTTGCAATTTTGCGATTTTGAATTCTGAATATTTGGTTCTAATTTTTTAAATTAATTTTTGATTTTTTGATTACTTTGATTTTTGTTTTATCTCTTAATTGCCCAGCGCTTAAATTTCCGAATTAAAGTTTGTTTTAATTGCTAAAAAAATGTTGTTTTATAAGTTTGAAAAGAGATTGAAGGTATTAATAAGTTATAACCAATAGACAAAACTGACGATCAAAAGTAAATTGGGAGAAATTATCATATAAATAGTAAGTGGTGAATAATAAATAATAAATAATGAATTATAAAAAGAACCTTAAATGAACTCAAAAAATCAGTCTTAAAACCAATGAAAGGGCGCTACAGAGTTTGAAGGATTAATTTTGTTGTTGTGCTGCTCAGTGGAGGTGAGAAAAGAGAATATAAAACAATTGGGTGGTGAGAAATACGAAAGGAGTAGAGTAAAGTCGAATCGAGTAAGAATATCAGAGAGGATTGGACAGGTTAAGTTGAGGTGGTGCTGATGATGAAATTGATGTGTTTTAAAGTGATTCTGGAGGACTGAGAAAGAAATAGACGAGGCCAATGAAGAAAGGCGAGGTAAAGGAAAGAACGAGGCTCTTATATATGGAGGTTAATATATCGTGGTTTCTGGATTGGGAAGAACAAAGAAAAGAAAATGAAAACAAAAGAAAAGAAGGGAGAAGAGCCAATAAATAGCAAAGAGACAGCACCAACACCTCCAGCACTTTCTTCACTTTCTATGAGCAACAGAATCTGAAATTCAAACCGCTCTGCTTTTCCTTCACATCAGCGTCGGTTTGGGTCTGAAATTTAAAAATAGGCACCCACCACGCACAGCCCGTTATCCGCTCGTTCTCTCACGCTGGATTTGGCTGGCTTTGCGTGCTCCGGGCAACCCCAAGTCTGGGCACAGGCAGCTGGTGCAGTTGCACAGACAACGGCCGCAGAAGCTGCTTCAAACGCAGGCAGACGCGCTAGTATGCTCAGCGCGTTGTAGGTTTAGCGCTGGCAAAGTGCGTTCAATGCGTGTTGAATGCGTGCTTCTTACCAGATAATTCACCTTTGTGTTTTTGCGCTTGTACCGCTGCGTTCCGCACCGTCGCCATCGAAAGCACCACGACAGTGGAACAGCCGTGCTTCTCGTTCTCCACGACCCTCTCGAGCATATCTAGAAAGTCCCAAGCAATAATATGGCCTCTGTGTTGAACTCTTTCTAGCGCCATTGCAATGCGACACAGTATAGAACAATGTCGATAGTATCGATCAGTATATAGTATAGCTGGAGTTTTGCTTCTCAGACCATCAACCACGAGCCCGCCGATGCATCTGAGGCACAACTATCCTTTCTCTGCTCATATGCTCCTCTGATGTCACTGGCTCCGCTGCTATTATTAACTCCCACCACTTCCAGCTGCTTCTCCTGGATGGCCTCTTTGTGTTCCTTGTGCTGCTTGTACTTGACTCTCCTGCTATTTTTGGCGAGAATCAAGTTCCTCGCGTAATCCAACTCGCCGTAGATAATGCCAATGGCGGTTTCCACCCCGTTTTCCTTGCGTATCTTTTCCCCAATCGCTCTGGCCTTTTCGATGATTCTCTTGCTGGTGGTGACTTCCCTGATGGCCCTGCCCAACGTCCTGGAATTCAACTTCTTCAAGCTCACTCCCACTCCGATGTCCTCCACCCGGTTGCCGTAGAAGAACTGATCTCCGAAAAAAGGCTTCACCACCGTCGGCAAACCCGCCCGCAACGAGGCTCCCGTGGTCCCTGAACCGCCATGATGAACTGCTGCATCCACCTGGAAAAACAACCAGTCATGGGGTACAGACCCAGAGCTGTAGATGCATGCCGGCAATGCTTCCTCTTCTTCTCCCTCTCCTTCGCCGTCTTCTTCCTCTTTGCGCTCATCCCCAGCCGTGCCGCTGTTTCTTCCTGACCATCCTTTGTTCAATATGCATCGCACGTCCGAGTCGACAACTGCTTCAACAATTGCCCTAGTCAACTCCCTTGGATCATTCACAACTATTGATCCGAATCCAATATAAACAAGCTTTTTCTTATCTCTTCGCGCCTTATTAATGAACTTCTTCAACTTTTCTGTTGGTATATAATCCGTTCCCTCATTCAAAAACCAATATCCTGTCACTTTAACCCAGTCCGAAAAATCAACTGGTGATGGGAAAACTGTTGGTGAAATGTTATACAAAAACGGCACTTTATTCTGCTGCATCAACTCCAAATTTGTCCTTTCAAGCCCCAATCTTTCTTTTCTCCATCTATTAACTTGCCCTGAAATCCCCTTCCAAAAAACTGTTTCAAATATAATATGTGTTAAATAGTTATAACTGCCCCCCATTTTTTGTTCTGGCACAATAAACGCATGAGGATAGGCCCGAGTTCTCGTCCATGGCATTGTAAACGCTCTGAAATATGGTATACATAATGCTTCTGCAATATGAATTCCTGCCATTGCTGATGGCGACTCAATTAAAACATCCGTTCCTTGACACGCTTCCCATGACGATTCTAACAACTCATTAATCCAATTACTAAACAATGCTTTTCCATCTTTAATAAAACTAACACTGATTCCTCCATGGTCTCCCATAAATGACATCAATTTGGTTGGATCTCCTGAAACCTCTCGAAATTCTATCCCATTTGATAAAACAACCTTTTCAAATTCTTTATGTGTAGCAATTCGCACCTTATGGCCCTCCTTAAGCAATCCCCTGCCTAATGCCAAATATGGTTGCACATCTCCTCTAGACCCTATCGTTAATAATGTAAAATGCATATTTTTATTAGGTTTCAATTTCTCTTTAAATTTCTTGTCTTCGATAATTATCGGTAGATCAAACCCAGTCTCCTCGTTCAATTTGTTCTCAAAACATTTGATTCTGGCTGCTTCTGCTTGATTATTAACTGATTCGGCCAATTTAATATCTTCTTCTTCTTTACCGCCTTTTCCGATTTTATTATCAATCACTTTATAACTACTATTATTATTACTATTATTATTATTATTATTATTATTATTATTATTATTATTATTATTATTATTACTATTATTATTAATAATAAAACTATAATTATTGAATCGATAATTGTAATTCTTCAATAAATCAATTTGTTTCAACAACAACGTTTCGCAATCATCTCGACTCTCTGAAGAGCTAAATTCAAAAAATAATTCCTCATGCGCATGAATAACAATAACTAACCCACTGTATCCGATTCCAAATCGAAATCCCTTTTCTTTATAGCATGTTTCAATGTCATTGAATGGTAATATCATCTTGGTATTGGTCCCTGGAATTAAACTTCGAAAACATATCTCGTTTGACCCCAAGTATATCTTACCGTAAAGAGGGATATTTCTTTGAAAATGTGCATAATATGTAGAAATTAGTTTTTCGCCTTCTGGTAATGAAAAGTGACTTTGAAATCTTCTAATGCTATTTTTCCTTTCAATTTCTGAAGCAACAAAATATTCGTCTTCAAGTCCTCTTTCAAGAGAATTTTTTTCTTCATAATGGGATGGTTCTGCTGTCCACATTCCACTCACATTTGATAAAGTATTCAACACAAACATGTTCTTAACAAGATTCTTGGGATTAATAATCTGCAAGGCTTTTGTACCTGTATTTCCTAAAAATCGATTTTTATGAGTTAATAAATCATCATTCTCATTGCTACTCTCAACCTCATTAACATCACTATCTTCATATCCACTATTAAGAATCTCAGAGATTTCATTTCTATTATCCCTATTACAGATATCGTTATCTGAATCAATATCAATACTAATATTAAAACCTAATGCCCTCTGCCTTCTGTTTATGCTTACTAAGCTTTGAATTTTTTCTTCAACTGGTATAATTTGCCTTGAAGATGATAAAATTGATGATAAATTTTTAGATCTGATTAAATCGTCAATTGTAGAATTAGAAAGAATAACAGGTGAACTTTCTGTAGAACCACTACTTAATTCACTATTATTATTATTATTATTATTAACAGAATCATTATCATGATGTTTTCTAGGTGATTTTAAAAACGATTTTAATTTTGAATTATCGGCATTCGTTTCGTTCTTACTCGTTGACCGACCTAATAATCCATTGAATGATTTAGATCTTGATTTGGATCTTGAATGCGATCGAAGTTTAGCTGGTGATAAAAATTTATGAAGAGATTTTCTTTTTTCATTCAGGGCAGAACTGGATTCAGCTGATGAAGAATCATTGATGAATTTTTTGGGAGATAGTTGAGCAAAATCAGAAAATTCAGAAACCTTTGGAGTTTTATCAATTGTTAGAGCATCGCTTTTTAATGAGAATGCTTTTCTTAAATCAATTTTAGTTTGAGGAAAAGTATTTGGTGATTTAACATCATTTAAATTTGACATTGAGTGATTTGAATCTGAAGATAAATACAATGAGGTGCTATCATAAATCTTACTAACATTATTTTTTCTTTTCGTCAATTCTTTTAAACTATCAAGCAGCTGGGGGTTTGAGTAATTTGAAGAATTTCCCAACAAATTAGGTAAATTGTTTAAAGAAAGTGCTTGGTTTATACAATTTATTACATTATGACCATTATGAAAAAACATAAAAAAGTAATCATCAACAGCAAAAGTTTTTGAATTTTCTAATACTTTCAATCTAATAGTTTCTGAATCTTCAAAAATGGAAGTTTCTTCTAAATCAATTAAATTAGAAATTGGTAATTTAACAGTTACAATATCTCCTTTATTTCTGGCTGTGAAAATTTGTTTTTTCAAAGCAGCTACCCATTGTCTTGCTGAGTACAGATTGTCAGCTTTAAATTTATAAGTTTTTGTTTCAGTAAAAATTCTAAACCAACAAGGTTTTTGGTCATCTTCGATACTTTCATTACTTTGTTTACAAACCAGCGGCGTGGGTCTTGTTTTATTTTCTGGAGATAATAGTGATGAGGATGAGGATGAGGATGATGCTGAAGAAAAGGAATCCTTTATTAAAGAAAGAGAGCTTTTCTTTTTAGAATCTTCACGAGAAGAAGGAATGCTACTACTGATCAGTTTTGTATTAAAAAATTTGATATCATTATTTAATTTAGAAGTTGTTGTTAATTTTGAGTTTAGATTGGAAATGGAAATGGAAGTGGAAGTGGAAGTGGTACCGGAATTGGAAATAGTGGGTAAGTGGGAATTTAAACTCAAGAGTTTCGACTTTGGTGCATTTGGAATAATTTCAACTCTTATTGCATATCTTAGATCGATTGTTAGAAGAGGGAAATATAGATCAGAAGAGTTATTGAAAGTTGAAAAGGTTGAATTTTTTAAAACACACCAATATCTATTGTTTGAAGAAATTGGGTTTTGAGAAATTAATTTTAATTTTAATTTTGAATTATAGTTTCTCTTTGTGGATAAATTACCATCAAATATAGTGGAATCTTTAGTTAATTTTGGTAAATAAGCAAAAAACAAAATGAAAGATTTAGTTATATATAAATGGCCTTGTAAAAGCACATCGCGTAATAGCCAACAAGAGAAATCATCAAGAAATTCATCATCTGGATCAATGTTGAAGGTTGATGCTAATTTGGATGACAAAGATAAGGCCTTTGATAATTTCTTTTCATTAACATTTTGAAAACCTTCTTTGATGCTATTTTCATCCTTTATCGAAAGAAATTTTGATACAAGAGATTTTTGAAAAAAAGTTAAAGAATCAAAATTATTATGATTATTGTTATTATTGACATTGTTATTGTTATTGTTATTGTCATCTTTGTCGATAGAGAAAATGTGATCAAAATTTTGCTCGTTAAATTTATCACTATTATCTAAAGAAGTTTTGGTTGAGTTTGATTGAGTTTGAGTAATTGTTTTTAAAGTGTCATTGCTTAACGTCTTAACAAATTTAAGTCTATCAACCGATGTGTTGAAATAATCTGTATTATTATCATTGGAAAATTGACTATTTTTAATAAATTTGTAGTTCTCATCGATGCCGTTGTTGTCAACATTTTCGTGATGGTTATTTTTATTGATATCATTATTGATATCATTATTGTATTCATGATCGATAACCTCATCTTCATCCAGTTCTTCGGGAATATTTTGGTTTACATCGTTATTACAACTCTTTGATAAACTATCAAAACCTGCATACATGCTAGCAGTTGTTAGCATTGCGATGATTGATTTTGCCATGTTTCCAGCTGAAGGCTTTCCATAATCTTCATTATTGATGATAAAATTAGAGTTCGGATTGATACCATTATTGTTATTAGTTGTAGTGGTGGTAGTATTGTTATCATTATTAGTGGTGGCAATACTATTTACAATGTCTGGAGTATTTTTATTGTGAGGATTGTTGAGGTTATTTTTTTGGTGAACAACTAAGGATGAATTATCATGAGGATCAGTTGAAAAAGAAAAGGGTTTGAAATTTCTTAGGGCATTTATTGAGTCCATGATTGAGTTGTTTGGGGAGTATATATATGGATTAGAAATAAGGATATTTCGGTAGCTTCAAATCTATTAATTTCTATTATTCTATACTAGTTGATTGTTTTATTTTTTTTTAGATTATATTCAGTTTTAAATTCCAAATTCCAATATTTAATGCTTAATCTGTAGTTTTCAATATTTGGTTTGTTTCTATATTCTGGTTGCTGGTGTTGATCAAATAAGTAAAAGAAAAGAGCTTATTTTGCTTAATTTTGGATCATCTAATGTTGGACAATGTTTTGGTCCAGGGCAGATGCTATATGGAGTCTACTATATAGAAGCTATTGAATAGAGTCTATTATTCAGTAAATCGTATCTAGTAGAGTATATAATGAACTATGTTGGCTCTTTTGTGGATATTTCTATGAAGTTGAAGTGGTAGAATATAATCTGGAGAGGAACATCGGATACTCAAAAAGCGGTTTAATCGTCTTTCCTTTTATCTTGTTATCTTGCCTCTTCAACAGTTCGAATACCACGGGGAACGGGAGAGAAAAACAACCGAGTTGTGTGATCGGAGTGGGCAGTGTCCTGATTCGACGGGGATTATACAAAGACAAAAAGGGATGGGTGTTATAAAGAGAAAGAAAAAACGAGAGAGAGGCAACACGAAAGAAAGAGCTATTGGTGCGAGGAAAAGATGCTGGACAAAAGATCTATTGGCTGTCGTAGTGGTGTGTGCTGTTGTAGTGGTCGATAAACAAGTTTCTGATGTTCTTGAGAAACAACACAATGTTTCTTGATTTGTTAAGCACCAAGAGGATATCGGCTAGCTCGTTCTCAGGCAATGCTGGGGAGGTCTGCACAATCTTATAGGAATTGTTGATGTCGTTGGATAGATCTAATACAACAGCAAAGTTTTGGTCCAAATCATTTTCAATTAGGTTAAAGAAGATGAAGCTTATTATGTCATTGTCAGTGCTATTGATTTTCAAACCTAAAAAGGATTGGTAGTAATTCAACAAAGTTAGATCAAGGGAGCTATTTTTTTTATGATTTTGGTTCAAATCGTTTAGTTTTGATTTAATTGAGTCGATTTCCTTATTTAGTTTGTTGATTTCATTCAACTGTTGTTGTTTTTGGGAGTTTAAATAGCTTTCTTTTTCTTTCAACTCACTGACTTTATTGTTCAAGTTGTTATAAGTTTGTCGATCAGATTCGTTTGATTTGAGCAAGTCTAGTTGTTTTCTCTTCAATTCGTTTGACCTGGCTAACAACGTTGAATTCAAGCTATTGAGCTGGTTGAACTTGACCAAATAGCTGTCTTTTATTTGCAAGGGTCTGTTCTTGTATTGCTGTATCTTTAGTTTAAAGTCGTTTTGAAATTGAATGCATTTCTCCTCGAGGGACTTGGTGGATAAGATTCCTGAGTCGACGAGGCTGCTAGGCCCATTCAAATTCGAAGCGCCAAAGGCTATGCTGCTGTTTCCATTTTCCATTGTTTTTCTGCTCCTGTGCTGCTTCCAGTGCTGTTTCTGCTGCTTCTGCTGACCAAAAAAAAAGTAAACAAGCCCGCGGATGTGCACGTGCGTGTTACCTCCAGAAGCGGGAGATGAGGCTTTTTTCTTTGTGATCATTTTTGCATTTTTCTTTTTTTGAGTTTTTCCTTTTTCAGCAAAGGATCATTGCTATGTTCATGGAAGTGGATGATGGGCACATTATTAATCAGAAATTCCATTTAAATAGAGACATTTACTCAAATAGAGGGCTAATTCTCATGTTTATACTATATTTCTTTATTCTTCTTTCCTCTTTTTTATTCTACTTTCTGTTATTTGCCAATTTATTTTTGTTCGTTCTTTTTTTGTGTGTTAATAACAACGTATCCAGGTGTCTCCAATGTTAACTGATCAGAAATATTTCAATGTCAATGAATTCAACGGGAATAGCAATGCAAATGATGTAGAGGTTCACTCCAGCGATGAGTCTTCATCTATACTATCCAATATCTATACATACAATGCTACTGCTGCCACTACTAATAATCACCTTAATAATAAGAAATCACCTTCAGTTCGATTGTTAACGTTTAATTTATGGGGGTTGAAATATATATCCAAACACCGAGAAGAAAGGATTAAAGCATTTGCAGACCGAATTTATAATAACGATAAGGATAAATATGATATAATAGCATTGCAAGAAATATGGGTTGAAAACGACTGGAAATATATTAAATATAAACTTGAGACCATTTTCCCTTATTCAAGATTTTTTTATTCGGGAATCGTATCCGGTCCTGGATTGGCTATATTATCTAGAATACCAATTGATTCAACGTTTCTTTATAGGTTTCCCATAAATGGAAGACCATCAGCATTTTTTAGGGGTGACTGGTATGTTGGTAAAAGTATCTCAATTACATTATTGAAAAGCCATTCACAGAATTCGTATCCTATAGCCATATTGAATTCCCACATGCATGCACCATATTCATTAACTGGAGATGCAGCCTATGATTGTCATCGAGCATGCCAGGCTTGGGATTTTTCTAAATTTGCGAGATCATTAAGTAAAATTGGATACGCAGTGATTGTAGTTGGGGATTTGAATTCAAGGCCGGGCTCCTTACCACACAAGTTCTTGACAGAAGAAGGTAAACTACAAGATAGCTGGGAGATATTAAATATGAAAAAGAAAAATTTGCCAATTTCGTTGGAAGAGATTAAAAATCTATCACCCAATTTGCAGATAACAGTTGGAGGAACAACATGTGATTCAGTATTAAATACTTATAGAAGTTATTTACCACCAGATAGAGCATGTAGATTAGATTATGCATTGGTTAATAATCGAATTGAGCCAATTAATGCTGAAGTCCAATTCACTGAAGAGATTCCAAATATTGGAAGTTATTCTGATCATTTCGCATATTATGTTGAATTTAATGTCAAAAATGTTGCCAATAATAATAATAATAATAATAATTTTCAATTTGAAAATTCAAATGAATCTCAAATTTCTATATCCAAAGAGAAGAATAACGTTTATGACCGAGTTCAAAACTATAAAGAGTTTAAATTATTGATTAAAGATTATCAAGAAAAAACTAATAAAACGAAACAGTTTTATTGGAGAATTTGTCATGTTATTGCATCCAGCATCGCAATTATTTTCTTTCATTTCATTATACCTGCTGCTAGCGAAATGTCTAGTTTTTTGTCCTTTTTGATATTGTTCGTAAGCACGGGGTTAACTGTGTCAATTATGGCGAATGCAATGATACTATTTTTCTTCTTACCAAGCGAATACAGAGCGTTGGAAGAAGTTAAGCAAGAGGTGATTGATCAGGAGAGAAGTTTAAGTGAACATATTAAAGAATTATTAACTACGGATTATCATTGATGACGAAAAAAAAACTGTGAATTATTACCAAATTTATCTATTTGCTGATCCTATTTCTTGATAATTTGAGTCTCTTTTATGTTTTTCATTCTCATTTTTGTTTTTCTTTGTTTTTTTTTTGTTTTTCTTGTTTTTTTTTGTTTTTTTTTGTTTTTTTTGTCTGTTTGTTTTGTTTCTAAATTTGGCTCAAGCACATTACCGGACCACAGCAGCCAGCATAATCGCTAATCACTAATAACTAATTATCAATAACTAATCACTATTTAATCACTATTTTTTTTCATTTCTGTTCTTTTTCCTGCTGGATGGAACTGCTGATGGTGGTTGTTGTGCGAGCATTAATACTTAATAATAGATTTTTCTACTAAATATATCTGGCAATTGGGCGCTGGGACCCAGCGTAGTGGATAGAATGCGATCGCATTACTTTTATGTGCACATGCATACACCCACACCGCTGACAGCCAATCGGTGTTCACCAATTGGTAAGTGCCGCGCGGAGCAACGCAGTATGCAGACCGTTAACGCGTGCTGCGGGCTTCTAATTAAAGAATACGAGAGTGTGCATCACCACGTGTGTACACGCACTGAACACGCGCTTGTACGTATGTATCTGTGTCTGTTTGCGTGTGTGTCGTCATTTTGTCTTGGCCAGCCAATCAGCGGCGGTCTGTGCTGCAGGAGCCCTATCTATTAATACGACAGCTTGAAATGAAAAACTTTGCGTTTTGTCTCTTCAGAAAAGATTTTGTTTTCTCTGTAGTTTTTTTGATCACAACGCTTCGTAATCTTTTGTACCCTGTAGTGCTTTATTTATAATCGAGCACTTATCTTCACTCGCTTTGTTCTTTCTTTTCTTGCTGTTTCTGCTTCCATTGTTCGCTCTTCTTTTGCTGCTTCTGCTTCTATTGTTTCTCTCTTCTCTCGCAAGTCTCCGGTCCCAATCGGTCTCACATTAAGCTATTCTCAACAAGCCTTTTTGCAGCATTCCTAATCCAGTCTCATCAAAACACTCTCCTACAGCGTTGCTAGTTCCTCTCTCGCTTTACTAGCTCTATCTCTCGCTCGCTTTCCTGCCTTTTTTATCTGTTGTATCTTACCTTGTTCATTCTGCTGGCTTAGTCTGGCTCTTATATTTCGCACTTTTCCCTTTTTTTTCCTCTTGTTCTATCCTTTTTTTTTGCCCAAGGAAAAACTCTCCAAAACTCTCCAAAACTGATTTCTGAGTCACTGACAAAATCACTTATTCTGCGTATTTATCGATCTGAATCCTCAATAATCAACTCCTTTCAATCTAATTATTAAAAACCTCAATTACAGGCCCATTAGTTGATAAAACAGTAAATCCGAATTCAAAACCATAAAACCAATCCAATCAATTCAATCAATCCAAAATCAAAATGATTCCTCTTCCAGAAGACCCAGTTTTAATTAAAGAACATGCTTATTATGATTCTAAAAATTTACTCAACGTATTACCAAAGGCTTTCACTCCTGAATTCGAGCCAATCTCAAAAAACGGCTTAGGCCATTTCAATTATTTATTTTATTATAGTAATAATAATGGTCCTGATGTATTAAACCCTTCAAGTAACTCACACCATTTACTCCCTATTTTAAAAATCCTATTCTTTTCATCTATCTTCTTAATCTTTATCTCTTTTACTATTTATAAGTTAATTAATAACAGATCAATCTCATTTTTAAAATTAAAATCCTCCTTTAAATCTAAAAAACCTTCAAATCTTTTTTTATTAAATAAAAACGCCAAAAAGAATTATTATAATAAAAGCACCACCAATACTGTCAACAACAAATCAATCTTAAAGACTCCCTTTCAATCAAGATTTTATGAATCCTTTAATGAATTCGATAATAATAGTGATAACGATAACGATAACATAAATTACTCGGAAAATTTCACTGAGAACTATAACCAAAACAAATTTCGTCTCAACAACATCTTATCTCTCAATTCACCTTCTAATATCTCTTCAAATTTAGATCTAGAAAAAGATATATCTCTAGACTACCCCCCTTATATCTCTTCTCATCCAATCTCAACCTCTTCAAGAATCCCTTCCTTATCTCAATCAAAAACTAATATCGATGTCGATGTCGATGTTGATGTCGATGTCGATATCGAAAACCAATTCCAAAATGATACCAATTCTATTAATGACCTACATGACTTACCTTCTTTAACTAACACTCCCATCAAATACTCTTTTAAATCAAACCACAACCCTTCATCAAGTATTTCCTCGGATTTCATTTCAAATGACTTAATCACACCAAGAAACTCTGTCTTATTCTTAAACAATATTCAAAATTTTCTTCCTTCATCTGATCCTAAAAATTTCAACTTATCAAACATTTCAAACATTTCCAATATTTCAAACATTTCTAACATTTCTAACAACGATGATATTTCAAATTTAATTAGAGATTATTAATCTTTTTTGTTTTTCTTAATTACAATCTTTATTAAACCATTTTTTTTTTCCTTTTTTTTTTGATAAAAAAATTTTAATCCTAATCATGGATATATACATATCCATATAGTGCTATCATATACGAAATCCTCTTTTTATATAGTTTATTTTATATTGATTATTTTTTTTTCTTTCTTGTAATAGTCATTTTTATCATTCTCATTCTCGTTCACATTTTCATTTTCATTCTCATTTTCACCTTCAAACTTATATCCTTCTTTTTTAAATACCTTTTTTTGGTTTATTTCCCCATTTTTATTAAAAGGTTTTTATTATCACTATCCATTATTCATTTTCCATCATTATTTTTCAAATATCGGTAAGAGAGTATTTGGTTGGCAATTTCAATTAAAAATACTATAATTAAAAACAACATGATTACAAATAATATAAATATAAATTTTTATCACCACCCTTTTTTTTTTTTGTTTTTATCTTTTTCCTTCTTCTTATTGGCCTTGGTTATTTTCTCAACAAATATACTTCAGTCTTCAATCTTAATAAATTATAAATTCACCTCATCTTTTTTTCTACACTTTATTGTATTCTTGTATTGTATTTTTCTAGTTTTGTAGTCTTTTTTAACTTTCTTATTAAAACTAGTGTTTGCATTCACTTCAACGTTAATATTAACGATAACTCCAGATTTTCATAAACTTAATCTTCTTTCCCATTAATTTGTAAAAACTAACTTAATTAGCAATAACAATACAAGTCCAATAAAATATACACAAAAACTCAAATTCAAAACCTAAACATTACATACTAAAAATTTATCATTGATAATTCAAAAATTTAACAAAAAAATTAAAACAAAATAAAACTATTACTCGTAAATGAGAAAAAAAAAGAAAAAAAAAATGTTTTTGTCTTAAAGAAAAAAAAATTAACATTGAAAATTCATCTAATTTACATGAAATATTTTATTTAAATACCTCTTTAATTGAGCTCATTTCTTAAATATTCTACTGCCTCATTATATGCTTTTTCCGTCTCTGATACCAATGTCCAAAAATTACCATAAAACCTGAAAAAACTAGATAAAAGTCTTAACCTATTTGAAACATTTGAAGTAATCGAATATTTTTGTAAAATTTCACAAACTTTAGTTTTCACAACTATAGTGTGAATTTTTTCATATTTATTTTCATTCTCATTTTCCGTATTCTCATCTTTATCATCTTTATTATCATTGTCATCTTTATTATCTTTACCATTTTCGTCATCTTCGTCATCTTTATTGTCTTTGTTATTTTTATCATCTTTACCATCTTTATTATCCAAACAGTTCTTTTTAACAAAAAAATCTAATTTTACTCTATCTTCGCTTAAATTACTTTGATCTTTGCTCTTCTCAAATTTAATAAATTTTGATAAAACATAAATTGAAATATGAATATCAAATGAATTGCAAACAGGTACTCCAAAAAATATTGGATATTGCAACCAAGCATCTGGATTTGGTGGAAGAGATGGAGCACATGCGGATGATAAAGTATTCAATTTAGGAAATGCATTCAAATACCATGGTCTTTTTCTATTATTGGTATTTAATTTTGGTGATAATTCAATCGCAGGTTCTAAACTAGTTGGTCCAACAATTGCTGGCAATATATCTTCCGATGTTTGGTCATCATCATAAATCCCTTGACCTAATTCAATTAGCTCAGTCACTTCAAATGCAGCTTCGATACATTTTATATATGAACTGAGTTCCTTTTTTGTCAATTCTCTCGCTGCTTTATGTGAAACCTTAAGAATATCAAAACTTTTTAATCTATCCACAAAATTTAATCTTTTGATTCCATCTCTGCTAGAGTTTTGAGGCGGTCTCATTATTAATAATTTATGACAAATCATTGAGTGGGCAAGAATTATTGTAGTCCAAATACTTGACATTATTAATATAATTGTTGCTCTTATTACTAACAATTTTTTTTTCTCTAAAGAAATAAAATATAAATTTGGGCAAACTTTTTTAATTAATTGAATTCTTGAATCAATTAGCATTAAATTTGATGCAGTTAAATTATCCTGAGAAAGTTGATCCAAAGTATCTGATAAATTTTTAACTGCAATTATAACTAAATGGGAATCTACTATACCCAATTTATCAATATCGACATCGTCATCAGTTAATACATAGTTTAATCTATTTTCAACATCTTTATAGCGTAAAAAAGAAGGAAGGCTTCCTGAATCAATAATTAAACTGCCGATGCTATCAGTCAAAGCCATTAGGTTTGTTTGATGCAAGTCATCACTCAAAGGAAATGGTAATTCATTGGGAAAATCCAAAACATTTCGATGATCAAGACTATAAGGATAACCGCTATTGGCTCTTAAAAATACATTTAATTTCCAAACACCCCAAAAGGTTCTAATCATATCCTCTCTATCACAGATATCTCTTGAAGAAGTAATAGATAAAATCTTATTAAAATCATTAGAAGTAAGTAAAGAGTAATATTTCAAAATACAGGTGTTGTTAATGATTGAGGCAGCACGTTCAGAACCATCCATACTGGAAGTAACATAACTTTCAGGGACTAAAGAGCCTGATAAAATGGCCAATGCCTTTATGGAGCATTCTATTGGTAATAAACTCCAATATTTTTCGGCTAGTCTATACCAATGTTTGGGAGATCTCAAATCATCTTTTATTACATTTAATGGACTGCTATATCTACAACTTGAGGCAAACATTGAGTGCAATAGAGAAGCCATTTCCTTGATAGATAATTGAGAAATAAACCTTGCTTTGGGAGGCAAAATTGGTCTAGCAGGATGTAAATATCTATAGTAAAGGTCTATTAATACACAAACAGTTTTCCAATCTGGCAAGTCAAATATTTGTAGTTCCTGTTCTGATATAGCATTCATTTCATAAATAGATTTCAACTCTAATGGTTTTGAATATTTTTCGCTTGGTAATTTAATATTATTAATATCATTAGTGATATTAGTGTTATTAATGTTGTTGGTATTGATATTTCTAATTTTTTTCTGATTTTTGTTTGAGTATTTTTTCTTTTTTGTTTTCTGTATTAGCTCTGGATTTTTAGTAGCCATGGCAATCAATTTAGAAGTTGAGGGACTCACATGTTTATAGATTGCATTATCATTTGAGCTGTTCATTATTTGTTCAATGTTATTTTTTTTGGGGTCAGGGTCAGTTGAAGTTAAAGGATAGTTTGGTTTTAATTTTTTACCATTTAAATTATCAGGGGGTGAATTTGGAGTGATTGAAGAAGATCTCTTTGATGGTTTCAGCTCTAAGATTTTATTGTTGGATTGGTTTTGGTTGAGAATAGAAATATCCGAGTTCATATCAATGTCATTATCGTCATCGTTATTGTCATCGTTACCTTCATCGTTATCGTCATCAGGTTTTTGATCAATGGTGTTTTCATTGTTATCAGTATCATTAATATTGCTAGTTGAGTCATTATTGTTATTATCAAGACTGAGATCAATGTTGGTATCAGCATCACTAATCTCTTCAATGTATTGAGAGTTGTCGTCGTAGGGATTTAGGTTTTTGTATTGATTTGAGTAAGAAAGAGACAGATCATTTCTGGAAGATTTATTTTCAATTTTAGAAATTCTTTGATTATTCTTTGAAAAAGGGATTTTGTCTGAGTTTGTGTTTATGATATTACTGATGCTGTTGTTATTTAAAGTTGGGTATGTTTTGTCTAAAGAGGAGGAATCAGATCTTTGATTGTTTTTATAGTTATCATAGTAGTAAGCGTTTTGGTAGGAAAGATTTTCCAAAGAGTTGTATTGGTAAGGATTTTGAGAAGGAAGAGGGATTTGTTGGTTTTGTAAGCGGGATGAGCAAGACGGGTTATCGGTATCTAAATTTTGAGCAAAAGCCGAAGAGAGAGGAGGAGGATGAGGATGAGGATGAGATGTGGGAGAGTCAATATTGTGATTTTTGTTAGGATTGTGATTATTGTTGTTGTTATAAATGTCAGACAAAGTGCTATTGTTGCTGTGGTCAGTGGTGGTAATGTTGGTATTAGCGCCGGTATTAGGAATTGAGTTGCTAACAGTGTTGTTATTATTTTCAATTTCAGCAATTCTTTGATTTTGAATTTGGTTTTGGTTTTGATCTTGAATTTGATTTTGAATTTGAATTTGGTTTTGATTTAAATTCAAAGTAGAAGTGGAATTTGAATGAGAGCGAAATGATTTTGAAGGAGGATAATTAATTGGGGGTAATTGAACAGGAGAATTTTCGTAGTAAAAATTGGGATGGGAGGATAAAGAAGAAGGAGGAGGAGGGTGATGAAGGTGAGGAAGAGGAGGACCGTGGTGGTGAAAAAAAGGATGCTGATGACCTCTTGGGCCACCAAGTTGAGGTGGTGGAGGTGGAGGTGGAGGAGGGCCAAAGTTATGACCAAAAGGAGGACCAAAAGAGCCAGGACCGAAAGGAGGCATGCTGTTGTAATAAGAATGGGAAGAATGAGATCTTGAACTTGATCTTGATCTTGGCCTTGATCTTGATCTGGAGCGATGATGGTAAGGGTGGTGTGGATGAGGGTGATGTGGATGGGGATGAGGATAGGGAGGAGGTCTTGAGTTGTAATGTTGTTGGAAGTGTTGCTGTTGCTGTTGCTGGAGTTGTTGGAATTGGTGCTGCTGGTCTTGATCTTGTTGCAGCAGCTGTTTGAATTGGGGTTTTATGAAATTATAACCCGAGCTTGAGATGTTGGATATACTTGGAGGAAGCAGAGCATTGTCGGAGACTGGGATATTAATTGGGGATAGTAAAGTTGTTGAACGCATGTAAGGAGAAGTTTTATTTGACAAAGGGATATTGTATAGTGAGGAGGATTGGACAGAGGAGGTATTGTTGAGGTTGTTTAAAGAAGCCGAAAAGATGTTTTTGTTCAGGTTGGCGGTAGCGCTGTGGGCGTTTGTGTTTGAGTTGTCGATTGAGCTGGACAAGATGGAGGAGGATTGCTGGGAGTAGAGATCAAGGCCATTGTTTAGTATAACATTCGAGTTGTTAGGCGGCGGAGGAGGCTGCGAGGAAGTGTTGTTGGTGATTTTTGTGTTATCATTGTTGGAATTGGATGAAATCTGTAGATTTTTGTTGTTTGAAGAAATTTTGGATAGGTTGTTGATGATAGCCAAATTTAAGGAGTTTTTTTTCTTTCTCTTGCCACCTCTCTTGCCTTTTTCAAAGGTGCAATTTTTAGGATTGAATTTGCAATTTGAACAAGTTGGGCGCTTAATGGAGTCGTCAATTTTCTTGATGTCAGGAGAGAGAGATTGGATTAAAATGTCGTAGCTGTCGCATTTGATTTTTTTATTTCGACAAGGAATACAGGCGTATTTGGATACATGTCTTTTTATGTTCTTTTTGTTGGCATTGCTGTTGTTATCGCTGGTGTTTTTATTGCTACCGTTATTGTTGCTATTTTTGTCGGCGGCAGCTGGCGTAGGAGTGGGAGTGGGAGTAGGAGTGGGAGTGGGAGTGGGAGTGGGAGTGGGAGTGGGAGTGGGAGTAGAAGCAGCAGGAGCAGGAGCAGCTGTAGGGGTGGTGGTGTTGTCGGCAGTGGAGGTAGTGTTGTGTGGAGGCAAGGAACCAGCTAAAATGTCGCTGCTGTGGCCAGAGGAAATAGTGGTCATCGCGTCGGTAGCGCCATGGAGGACCGGGGAAGAAGCAGTTGGATGGGAGGGAGAAGAAGCAGCTTGGGCGCTGGCGTCGTTCTCGGTGTCGGCGGAGGAGTCCATGGTGCTGGCAAGGAGGCAGAGGCGGCAGAGGCAGCAGAAGAAGAGCAGCGCGGGACCACGGCGGTGGGCGTGCCGGGTAGCCCTTCGTCCGCTATATAATCCTGTGTCGGCGGCGCTGCTGGCGCTGCTGCTTATGCCTCCATGGCTGCTTCTTACAACGACGACGACGACAGCATTTACCTCCAGGAATCTGACGAGGAGCCCTTTGAGTACGACGACGACGACGACGACGATGACGCTGGTGAGAGCGAGTTCCTCAGGCACGACTCTGTTGGCGACTGTGATCCTGGTTCTGCTGCCAATCCCACCCCATCTCCAGCTGCCACTGGTCCTTCAAAGAGTCTAAGCGCCTATCCTGCCAACAATCCAATTGATCCAATCGACTTCCAGGTCGACATCTTGATCAAGGCCAACCAGGACACAGACTCCTCTCTCAACTACATCGACCATACTGGCTACAAATCCTTCACTCTAAACTCCTTCATCTACACTGTTCTCTTCAACGCAATCGACGACATCAAAAGCATACTCAACATCCCCTTCAACCAGGCCCTACTCTTGCTAGTCTATTTCAATTGGAACACAGACTCTCTCCTAGATAATTACTACAATCTTGACATCATCAAAAACAGATCCTTCATCTTAAATCTCAGGCTAAACTTTACTTCACTTCACAACAACAAAATATCACTCCTAAAAGATTCAAAATTCTGCTCCATTTGCTGCAATTATCAATCGAAATTCTACTTTTTACCATGTAACCACAACTACTTTTGCATAAATTGTCTCAGAAAATACATCAAAAATAAAATCCTAGACAACCTATTCATAATAAACTGCCCTGAACTAAACTGCCCCTACTTATTTAAACTATCTGATCTTAATAACCTATTTCTCATGTACAATCTCACTGACATCAACCTACATACCGATGATAACGACTTTATCAACAAAAACTCATTCAAAAAATTGCACAACAACACAGATTCCGATATCGATAACGACGACAACAACAGAAAACTTTTGTCCACAAAGTATGACCCTCTCGATGATAAACTCGAATACAAATACTACTTCAAACTACTCAAAAAACAAAGAAACAAAGCTCAAAAGCAAAGAAACCAAGTTGGCAGAGTTTTCATATCTGACGACGAAGACGAAGACGAAGACGAAGATGACGATGACGACGACGACGACGATGACGACGATGGCAATGATGATCACAAAAATGACGACGATGACGACAACGATATTAACAATAAAAGAAAAAAAAAAATAAAACACAAAAAATTCCCAATAGAATCAATAAACTACTGTCTACACAACCCTTCAAAAATTAAAGACCCTAATGACGACTTCAAATATATCCAAAAATTCAACTCCTACTTTACTTCGTCAAACTCCACTGATCATTTGAATCTAGTCACCCTACTATATCTACAAAAAATAGCTAAATCTTACATCCAACTTAAAAAGGACTACTCCTACTGTCCAGCCCCAGACTGCAATTCTGTCATCCAAAACATAAACCCAAATCTCACTCACGATCACTCCCTATTCTCCTTCTCTTCTGCTTTACTCAGCTCAATTGACTCAAAAACTATCCAAAACTTAAACATAGACCTTCCCATCTTCACCTGCTACAACAACCACAACTACTGTTTCAATTGCCGTCTAGAATCTCACTTTCCTTGCCCTTGCTACATATCAAAACTATGGGTAAACAAATGCAAAGACGACTCTGAAACTGCAAACTGGATCAATGTCAACACAAAAGAGTGCCCCAAATGTATCTCCTCCATAGAAAAAAATGGCGGCTGTAATCACATGACTTGCTACAAATGCTTCCACCAATTCTGTTGGATATGTCTAGGCCCCTGGGCTTCCCATGGAAGCTCCTACTACCAATGCAACCGTTACAATGAAGATGATTCGAAAGGTGCAAGAGACAAGAAAGAAATTTCAAAAAAATTATTGAAAAAATATATCCACTTTTTTGACCGTTTTCAAACTCATGAAATTTCCATAAAACAAGATTTCAAAATCTTTAAAACAATGGAAAAAACTATAAACAACTTGCAAATTAAAACTGGCAATTCCTACATCGATTTCGACTTTCTAAAGGATTCAATCCAAATTTTAATTCAAGCAAGAAATGTCCTAAAATGGTCCTATTGTTTATCTTATTACCTAACCCCAGAATCAAATGGCTTTTTAATTTACGAACAAAATCAATCCGTTTTCATGAACTCAATTGAAGACTTGAGCAAGCTATTTGAAATTAAAGAGTATAAACAAATTTTAAAACGAAAATCAAACTTTATCGAAAACACCCGTTTTGTATCTGATCGTCAAAAGAAATTAATCGAAGTCGTTCAAGATGGTTTAAAAACAAACTTTTTATCTTTCAAAGATATCAATACACCTTCAGGTGATTCATCAAATACAAAAACTAAAACTAAAGCTTAACCAGAAATTTTATCATTTCCATAAAAAACTAAAATCCTTCAACCTAGTTTTCACCATTACTGTTTTCCTAAAAAAACAATACATGACTATACAAGAAGATATCAAATGTAATCAAAAACAATACGTAACATTTAAGAAATATAACTAAAGAAATATAATATTAAAGAGATTAATTACTTCAAATAGTTAAAAAAAAGTCAAAAAAAAAAGTCAAAAAGGATAATAAGATAAGATAAGATAAGGTAAGATAAGATAAGGTAAGATAAGATAAGGTAAAATAAGTTAATATAAAATAAAATAAAATAAAATAAAATAAAATTAGAGTAGTATAAAATAAAGTAAAAAAATTCAATAAATCAAATGTATATATAGAAAAAAAGAATCAGTCAAGAATAAAAAAAAGACCGTTTTCTTAATTTTAAGAATATACCATTTATACCAATAGATGTGATTCAAGATGAACGTCAGAATCAAAATCTATGGTTTTTAAATCAAAAGATTTATTGAATACATCAACTATAAGATAAGTAGTAAAAGTTGATCGATTAATTTTTGAAATTGAATTATTCGGTATCAAAGAAGAAGCTGAGAAGGATCTCTGAGATGAACAGCTTGATGCTTGAGCCGAAAAGATATTCATGGCTTCTAAGTATAAACAAGGAAGGAATTTTTCTTGATTTTGCCAAAATCCAGCCAAGTCGACTTCAGAGGACGCATCCTGAGCATTATAAAATACCTCATCTTCGAATCCCAAAGATTCGATTTCACAGTCATTGTGCTCTTTACCATATTTTTCACCAAGATCATTCAAATCTCCATTAACTGTGTTTGAATTATTTAAATTTGGTTTGGGGACTTTTATAGATTCATTTTGTTTTTGAAGTTGTAATTGACGGTATATTAATAACTCATTAACATTATTTCCAGATTCATTTGTATTATTAAGTCTTTGGTTTAAGATTTCCTCAATATCATAATCACCTGCTCCCAAGTTGCTATTTGTTGAACTATTTTCATCGGGTTTTTTATTTTGATAATATTTTGCAATTTTTTCATTAAGATATTTTTCAGCGTCAACTGTTTGTGTTTCAGACAAAAATTGTTTATATCTAGGATCTAAATAAGTGGCGATGATATGAGCGACGGAGTTATTTATTGTACTTTTATATTTTAAATAGTTGTATCTCATAGACTCGATTTTTGTATTAATATTAGGTATTCCCAAGGGAATGTTTTGATCTGTTTTTAGCATTTCAATCAAAGTATCAATTGAATTGAAAAATGGAATGACGGCAGATAAAGTAGGGGTCTTTGATTTTGAAAACCTGAAAACAAGTTTTTCAAAGTTACTTAAAAACTTAACTAAAACTTGAATGATGTTAAACTCATCTGTCGATAAACTTAAATCGTGGTTTGACTGATTTAAGAATTGGTTGATTGATTGTTTTATGTTTAAAATTGATCTCAAGACCAAGACATTTGAATTCCAATGAGTCTTTACATCTTTTAGTTGAGGTGAAGTAATACCATTTTTGACTGCAAATTTAACTAAAGTGGACTCTTCTAATTTTAAATTTTGAATAAAAGAAGTTAAGGCTCTTGATTTTTCGATCAATTGGTTGATGTTTTGATCCAAAGATAAATTCAAGACATTGAAGAGATTTAGAGGCTGCGTAATCTGTTGAGATTCATTCTCTACTCTTTCATTTAGAAAGCTGTTAATTATGATATGGATGATATGGGCAATAGAGGGGATAATTTCGATTGTTGAAGTTGGAAAACCGCCATGAAGATCTTTGATTAATTGGTTTAAAGAATCAATCATTGAAGTGTTTTCAACCAAGTTATCAGTCGTGATGTATGAGATTTTATCAGTGATATTAAAACGGGTTGCAACTGAAAAGATGTAATTTGCTAAATAATTGTCGTCTTCGTTTTTGATATCTGAGATATCAAGAATAAGATCGATGATTTGGTTTGATAGGATGAAATGAGCAGTTATAGATAGATTAACATCATTGTTATTCGTTGACCAACGATCTAAAGTCAAGGATAATTTCCGGTCATATTTGTTGAAAAAAGTAGGCAAATAATCAATAATTTTTTTGTAGAGACTTGTGGTGACATTGTAAATTTCTTTAGCTTGGGGGGTGTTTGAGATAGATCTAACACCTTTAATTTCTAGCAATAGGGATTTGAAGGAAGGAGAGTTAACAACATTAAAGGGGATATGATTTTGAACCAAAAATAAAGAAATCTTCTTTTGTAGGTTTTCCTTTAAAGAAGGTTCGATTTTTTTAGTTATCCCAGCATATTTGACCAAAGCAGTGTGTTTTGAAGAGCTCAAGATTGAATTTGAGTTGGTGTTGGAAATAACAGCGATAGCGTTGTTGAGATTGTTTTGGCTGATGGCAGTGGGTGAAAGAGTGGATGAATTTAGAACAGGGTTTGTGTTGGGGATAGAATTTGGGTTACTGGAAGCCGAATTAGTAGTATTAGGGGTGGTTGTCTTAAGAGTGGTTATAAGATTTCTTGTAGGTGTGGAAGTGGTTGAGACAGAGGGAGGTTGAGAAGATTGGAAATCGATATCATGCTCTTTTTTGAGATGGGATTTCAAGAGATAAGTGTTTCCCTTTGCGGATTCAGGTATTTGGATGATATAGTTGCATAGGAGGCATTGTTTGGTGTTTCGATCATTTTTGTCTCGCTCAAACCACTCGTGGATCTTTCCCTTGTTGATTCTCTTCTTTGCAGAGGGAGCAGGATTGAACTTTTGCAATTGAGTTTGCTGGGCCTGGGATTGTGGTTGTTGTTGCTGTTGGTGAGGCTGGTGGTGAAGTGTAGGCTTTAAATAGTGAGGAACGCCAGTTTCTCTGTAGTTGATGTCGTGGTTGCGCTTGAGATGGGCCTTCAAGAAGTATGTGTTCCCCTTTGCACTCTCAGGGATGGTGACAGTTTCACTGCAAATAATGCAGGTTCTGTTGTTGGGATTGTCTTCGTGTCTTTCATACCAGTCGTGGATGGTGTCTTTGTATCTTTTAGCAGGGGGATTGGGCTTGTTGATTTTTCTGGGCCTGATATCGTCAGCCTGGAAGGTGGTGTCGAAGTTGTTCAAGTCCACAATCAAGCTGGAGGCGTCTTCGTTCATGGCAAAGAGGTGGAGATGGGGCGTGGTTCTGTGGGTGTTTCTGCTGGCACTGTTCAGCTGCTGCTGCTGCTTCTACTTCTGCTTCTGCTTCTTCTGTTGCTTCTTCGCTTCGTGAAACAACGAGCAGGTTACGTGTTGTTTTTACGGGCGGTCGCCGCGCACGGACACTTTTGCGCTTTGTTCGGGGCGTTTTCATTGGCCCGTCCGCCCCGTGAGCCGGTGCGGCGTCCGCGGACGGTTCCGTGGCGCGTGCTGCTGCGGCTGCGGCTGGTGCTGCTTTTGCTGCCGGTGCGAACCGGAAATCGGGCTGGATTGGCCCCAGAGGCCTCGTAGAGAGAGCTCGGTGAGGAAAGATAAGCTAATTAGTCGTCCGAATCCCGTTCAGTTGGAGTCGAACATCTTCAACTGGATGTGCTGCTGCTGCTGCTTTTCCGACTCGCCATCGTCTGAGCTGCTGTTGTCCCTATCGTTGACATCAAACTTGACCAACTTCTCGGTTTCTTGTCGTTGTTCTGCCGACAACACCTCATTTACCACTATTTTAAATGTCTCGGAATTCATTGTCACCAACTCTATCAACTTGTTGTGGAAATACACTCTCAACGACTTTGAACTGATCTTCGAATTCTTGTCAAACCAGCAAAACAACGGAATTATAATCGAGTAAATTGAGATCAATTTACTCTCAACATTTTTCTTATTTTCCTCGTTTTTACTGTTGTTCAATGTTTTGGCCAACAAAACAAACATCTCAATTATTAACCTTGGCTCTTCAATTTTACCTCCCTCGTCTTCCAATAAAATTTCAAGAAGTGTTGGTAATAACCGTTTAACAACTATTCCTGCTGATCCACCATTCTCCTTAACCGATGAAATGATTAATGACTTTATCGACTGAATAGCAAAGGCTAATGTCTCCTTCCCTAATATCCATTCACTCAACGTCTTGACCATTAATTTGCTATTCTCCTCATTAATTTCAAAATATTTAGAGCATGTCGTTATCAAAACCATCAACGTCAAAAACGAATTCTTATCGTCCCCGATTAGTCCACTTAAAACATTATAAAAATCGGATATAATAGAATAGCATCCATCATTAATCAATCCAATCAAAAGTGTTTTCAATGTTGGCAAAATTATCGGAATAATCTCATTTCTTTGCTTCAATTTTCTGGAATAAATTGTTGTCAAAATATATAATAAACACGAAATCAAATCAATTCGAATCAATTTAGGAAATTTATTAATCATCATGCTTATTGAATTAAATGAATTCTTTAAAATTAATAATTTATCATGACTTAATTCAATTTGTCTTTCTTCTTCTCCTTCTTGCTCTCCTTCTTTTCTCTCGTCATTGGATATAAATGGTAGGATACTCCCAATGGAAATCATAACAATTCTTAACAACTCAAACAATTTATCAATATCAGAATTGAAATCCTCAGTATTTTCCTTTCCATTAAAATAACTTGAAAATAGTCCACTAACAAGATCAACTATTATAATCTTCTCTTTATCTTCACTAACTAAAATTAATCGATTAAATAGATCAATTGTCTCAGAAAATATCAAATCTTGAAATATAACATGAGACGATATCTTTGAATGTAATAACTTATTCAATGCAATCAATATCCTAATATGGTTATTAGACTTACTTGTAGTAGAAAGTAATGACTTGGAATATAAATAACTAGATGGCTTTATTAATAGCTCAATACATTGTGCATATAATATAAAGAAAAAATTACCAATATCATTTTTCAACAACTCAAATATAAATTCCTCTTTCTCTTCAATTATACATCCAATTACATCCACAAAATTTATCCAACATGACTCATATAAAAATAATTCAACCCGTTTATCTGAGATTTCTTCAAATCCACCACCATATTTTAATGTTGCAAATTCTCTTAATGATAAAATCCACATTGGAACTAAAATATCATAATGTTCATTGATTAATCTATTAAGTTCATTACTTCCTACCTCATCTGGTTCATTACTTTTATTATATTCTTTAAAATCTTTGCCACTATTAAAATTATTGGCGCATATTTTCAATTCTGCCCAAGCATTTAATATGAAAAGCTTCATTCTTTTTTTACCTTGATTTGTTAATACTTGAACATCTCCAATCTTCATATCGCCGTGGCCTGAAAACTCTTCCAAAGAATTAACTAATATATTCAAAATTCTTTCTAATTTTGATAATGATGAAATTCCAGACCCAATAAATTTTGCGCACACATTTATCGCTTCACTTGCAAGAATAGTAGAACTATCTTGACTAAAAGCAGGTGTCAAAGCAGATATTATCTGTGCTTGTTGTTGTTCTAATAATGGAATAGTTGGATATAACGGATCCATAATATTCGAATAAATTGTAATTATATCTCCTAAAAGATTAATACCAATTATTCTTAATTCTATAACAGATGAGGTTGATGCGCCAAATGATATCTTAATTAAATCAGAAATCTTTTTTGCAAGATCGTTAAATAGACCTGGATTTGTTTTAATAAACGTTAGTAAATATCTTAACAACTCTAATACAAATGCCTTAAATCTCCAATCGATTGGATCATATTCAACTGTTGTTTCATTTAAACTTTCAAAGGAAGCTCTACTCTGTCTTCTAGATCCTCTTCTACCATTAGAATGTCTGTCTTCCTCAGCATCATTGTTTTTTTGTTTGGAATTATTATCCTCACTCTCACTTTCTTCAGCAGCATTAGCCATAGATTGAACTTCTTCATCTTTTATCTCAACTTTAATTTCTTTTTTATCATACTTGGTCAAAATTGATTTATAACTGCTGAAAATTTCATTATACAACTTCCCCTTCTCAATTTTAAACAAACTACTCAATAGAACAAACCAATTGGCACTTAAAGACGATTCCATCCACATCTTAAATAATTCGAGTAATTTTGAAAAACTTGCTTTCATATCAACACATATCCATAATAATCTTTTAACCTCAGGTGCAAGCACTTCATCTATATCTAACATTTTGATTAATTCAAAATAGCAAGATATCGTTAAAGAAAGATTTTGATAACTAGTTGTTATTAAAAAAATCTCATTATTCTCCTCAGCTAGATTCCAAAATGGAATCGAGATTGATAGAGATATTGTTCCTATAGACATATAGTACAAATTATTTTTCAAATGGAATTTTAATAATTCTTTGAAAAAACTTAACTCGAATATTTTAAATCCTTTCTCTGGTGAAACTATAGAATTTTCAAATATTAATAAATTCAGAATTGCACTTATTAATTCCCTTTGAACTGTTAAATCGTTTTCCAAAAATAATGAGCTCATAATGAGATTCCTCAAAATAATCTTACTATCATATTGAAGTTCAATGATTCCAGGTCCTATGCTTAATATTAAAGAACGTAAAAGCCTTGAAATAACTTGCCTCGAATTAAATTTAATACTCAAATTAAATGTTGATAAAGAAGAAGTATTCAAATTATATGAATCGTCAATGTATATTCTCTCTAAAATTTGAAGTATCCTGATACACAAACCATTTGGAATTGTTGAACGAGAATCTAAAACTGTCACCAAACAATCCAATGCCCAAAAGTTTACTACTGGATGCGAATCAATAACCAATGTTAAGAGTAGATCCATTATTTGATTGAAATTTGCTGAAGAATGCTTATAAATTGATGACAATATCAATAAATTGGTTGATCTTGAATAAGGTTCGTTTTTATCCACAATGTTCTTTACAAAAATCTGAACTTGCTCAGAAATTAAGTTCTTATCAGATGCTAGAGATGTCACTAAACCAATTGAATCAGATTTGAGTTGAACAAGATACTTTTCTTTAACGTCAATTCTAGAAAGCATCTCCATTAGTGTGATAAAAATTTGCCCGTCAAGTTTCATATTATTTTTTTGAAATCTCAGTAATATTCCATGAATTGTGATAAATGAATTGATCACTATTGCTTTATAACGCAAGAATAAAGATTTCTTAGAAAGAATATTGGATCTAAGCTGTTCTAGCAAAGATTGCTGAATTTGACTTGGTAAAGATGAGAAAAATAAAATAAATACTTCAATTGATAAATCAATAAGTTGGGTTGTCAAACCTGAAGAATACTTATCAACACCTGAATAAGAATCATCATAAATTAACAAAAAGGGGTCATGAAATGATTGAGGAGAAAAAGGTCTAAATAATATATTATTTTCAAATGTATCTATCCATGTCAGATCAGAAAAATGACTTTTAACAAAATTTGATTCTATTGAATCTGGAGGAATAGAAATGTGATCAATATCATCGTATTTAGAATCTTCAAACAATAAATAATCAGCTTTGGATTTCATGTTGGTACTATTATTCACCAACTCAGCGAAATCATCGGAAGTTAAGGGTTTTTCACTGTCTTTTTTATTTAAAGGAAATTTAACTGATAAATCTGGAATTCTACTGAAATAATATTTGCTTGTCAAACCATAGAAAACTCCATCATTTGCTAACAATAGATCATTATTATCAAGATTATCTTGGATTTCATGTTTGGTAGAAATATTATTTGGATCAGTTTTACTTTTAACAGAATTAGATCTTGCTAAATTACTATTTTTGTTGGGTATTAAAAACTCTATGTTAGAATGATTATAGATTTCAGGGTTGGAAAAATTACTTAAAGCTGAAATTAAGATATTTGAATTAACATCGTTTTTAATGAAACTCGCCAACGCCAAGTAACATTGATAGATTCTTATTTTATTAAGCAGAATTGTATCCAGATTTATAGTTGAATTAATAAATGAAAGAGTTTGATTTAAAGAAGAAGTTGAAGAATTACGTCTTAGAGAGAGTTTAAATTTATTTAAACTTGTTTCAAAACTAGTGATAAAATTCAAGGATTTTGTTAATAAAAATTGAACTTGTTTGGATAGCTCAGGTGTTAAAACAAAATTTCTCAAAAAATTTAATAGACAAGTTAAACTTAAGTTTCTTAGCATTAAATTTTGAAAACTTTGTTTAAAAAAAGCATAATCTAAATTTTCACTTGAAGTATAATTTTGAATCAAAATATTTTTCCAAAATATAAAAAATTGAGATAAATTAATCTTTAAGAAATTTGAATCAAAATTCATTAAACCTATGAGCAAAGTCCAACTTGCAAAATTTTTAATATATTCATTTTCATTCTGTATCTCTGAAGCCTTATTAATTGTAGAGCCATTTGAAATTGTGGAAGATAAAGATAGTCTTGTTGAGTAATTTGATTTCAATTGAGTTGTTGCCAAAGTTAGAATCCTTGTGATTATTTCTGGAGAGGCATAGTCTTTATTAATATATTTGGCCGTAGCAGATAAAAATAAAGACCAACCTTGAACTCTGTCAATATCTAAAGTTACAGAAAAATCTTGTTCACCGGAGTTTATTTTTGAGATTTTGATAGGGGATATATTTGATTTTTTAAATTCAGTTTGTAAGTGTTTGAAACATTTGTTAAAGAATTCATTTTGAAAAGCTGGAAAGTTTGTAATAAATTTGCATGCTAATTCGATTGCATTTGAGCGAATTCTATAATCTGAATCTACTATTAATAAACGGATAATTTTGACTAAATGCTGTTGCTGATCTAATTGGATTGCAGAGGACAAATCAGAGACTAGGTAATTTAACAATTGCAATAAGAAAAAGATTGTCAATGGGTTTCTCAAGTTAAGTGAAGAATTTGAATTTTTAGAATTTGCATCAGAGATGGATAGATTTTTTATTGATAAAAATTCGTCGGATAACATTCTTTTCAATATGAGATCTTTATTAAATTCTGATAAATTTTTGAAAACGTAATCATTGAAGAAAAATCTAAAAATATCAAACATTTTTGAAATATTCAAGTCTCTTTTTATTCTAGCATTGTTTAATACAATTTTATCGATACTGATTATTAAAGTTTTGAGATTATTAAATAAGAAATTATTATTTTCTGCATTAGATAAAGAGAAAAAATGGATTATTGATTTAAAAATTGAAATTCTCATTATTTGAAGATCATGAAAGTCTTTATCGTAATAATTTTGGGAATTATTAGAGGAGGCTGAATTGGAGTTTGTTGGAGAAGAGGAGGAGGAAGGGGAAGAGGAAGACAAGGATAACGAATTTAAATTAAGTAAGAAAAAATTGCCCAAGTAATAATTTAAAACTTGGCTTAAAGAGGATATATTATTTTTCTTAAAATTTACAAATAATAATTGAGCTAGAGATTTCGAGGCAGAATCTCTTATTGATCTGTGAATTGAGGTTAAACCTAAGATGTAATAGCTGTTAAAATTATTAATTAAATGTGATATGAAATGATTTGTGGATTTATCCTTTGAATCTATATCATTGAAAATTATGTCATTAGAGGATTTTAAGATATTATTAGTTGGGTTAGTATTATTAAGGAATTTTTTTTCAGTGGAGATCAAAATAGGTAAAATTTCATAGGAGTAGGCAATCGATAAAATTGGCAAATTATTTTGTAAATTTGAATTGTTGAATAAATTTGTATTATTTGGGATTAGATTAATTAGGGACTTGACTAGTTTTAACAATTTTGAGTGCAAATCATTTGGGATGAAAGAGGTAGATATGTTTTGATTTGAAGATAAAGAGGATTTAACAACTATTGATAATAAAGTCAAAGATTCGTTTAAGATTGATATGGAAAGATATAGTAAAGATTTGGGGTTATTTATAATTTTTTTGATAGTTTTATAAAGGTAGGACAATAATAGAGGGATAAAAGAAGTTAGGTCAGATTTTCCAAATTGGGTGAAGATGTTGATCAAGATATTTGTTGATAATTTTTTGTAAAAGGAATTGATTAGATTTGAGCTGGATTTAAATAAATATGAGTTTTTCTTGTATAATAGGGCTTTTTCATCAGTTAGTATATTGATGAACTTGTTAGTTGTGTCAAACAACACTGGGCCAGTCGAGGGATTGAACTTATTTGACGATATCAAGATCAAGCAAAGCAAGTAATTCTTTGAGATTGATTTAATAATTTGGAGTGATACATTTGATTCGAACAATGAATAGTGTTCCAAAATCAACAAGTGATCAATTAGAAGATTTAGCTGGTTAAAAATGTAGGAAGGATCTATAATTTGATCAGCAGCCTCCTTGGTTGGCTGGGGAAGCTGGTGGTTGTTCAAACAGATCTTTAGCTTCGACAAGTAGATGAAGATCTTGATGTTGTAGGTGAATAGGTCGTGCTGGATGTTTTTGTTCTCTGGCTTGAGCGAGAGCTTGAGCACTTCAAAGTCAAAGGAATCCTTGGGGACCCCCAAAACAGAGCTTCTGTTCATTCTAAAGCTTCTGTCTGGAAGAAACGAGACTATCTTTTCAGCAACAGTTGAGCTCTCCTGGTCTTGAGCAATGTGGTGATGGCGATAATGATAATCTGTTCAGAACTGCTCCAAAAGAACCAGATCAGCACCATAGCGAACGCCAGGGCCACCCAGCTGCGGTGTACGCCGAACAGTACATTTCGAGGGCACCTGCCGCGGCACACGTGTTGCCCAACAAAAACTCAGGACACATGTCCCAAGTGGGGCCGGATTGGGAAACTGCCTCTTTGAGCGCGTGGTCCTGGCGGGTCCTGACTCAGGGCTGCTTCGGTTGCTCCGTCAGCCTAAGAGCTGATTTTTCTGGAGACAAACCCAACATTCTTGCTCCTATTCATTTTGCAGTCAATCGCCATTTATATATCGTTGTAAATTCTCTAGTCTGGAGTGCATTGTGCTCGTCTCGTTATTTAAATAGTTCCATAGAACCACTCAGAACCACTCAGAACCATTCAGAATCATTCAATATTTTTCAGAATCGTTCAGAGCTGTATTCTGCTATATACTTTTATATATTATATACTATATATAAGTAAAACTTGAATAAATATATTGTCAAAGAGGTTTTTTTAAGGTCCCAAAGTAATTCTTAGTTTTACTTTTAATTTTTGTTAACTGGCCATTTTAAAAAAAAAAAAAAGATGAGTTTTATGAATTTTTCTAGTGCTAATAGTTTCAACAATTTGAACAACTTTACCAATTTCAATACACTTAACAAGTTCAACTTGAACCAAAAAAAGAAAAATAGCAAAGATTTGCTAATTTTTGAGAATATTAATAGCATCAACACTAACAACCCAGATTACAAATCCCTACTAAATGATCATTATAAATTATTCTCTTCATATTCACTAACTCCTTTCAATAACAATAACACTTCTTATTTATTAAAGACGAATCAAAATCAATTGTTGCAAATTCAAAATATCGAAGATCCTGACGATTTAATTAATATTTTCAGCTCCTTTTCAATCAACAATAATAGCAGCAGTAATAAATCAAATCAAAATAACGGATTTAATCAAAATTACACTGTCAATGGAAATCTATCATCACTAAACCATATCAAAACTATTTTAAATTCTTATACAAACTATTTGTTTGATCACAAAAGAACCTTTGATGAATTTTTTGCCACATTAAGAAAGGATAAATCAATCTTATTGGAATTTTTAGGTATCGATAATTTTGCTGAATTTTACAACATCTTTGATAGGTCAAATAATATTAGAAGTCAACAAAATGATTTCTATGATTTTGTATTTGAAAATTTAAATAACAAGGAGTTATATCAATTATACTTACTATTCAAAAAAAAATTGGTCAATTTATTCTTAATCCTATCTATTTTAAAAATTTTACCAATCTTTCAACTTTCTTCAAATAAAATTTTAAACAATATAAACCAAGATGATTTAATTCTACCAATCTCAAAGATTTCCAATTTCAATATCTGGGATAATTCAACTTTTAAAAATAACCAGTCAGTTGTCAATGATTTAATTCCAGATTGCTTTTTAAACTTAATCAAATTGCCATTTGAAAAATTCAATATAATTAATTCTCCTTACATTTATAATTGTCTCGTTCACTATCTTGCATTTCCAGAAGATTTTCCATTTGATAAGGATCAAGATCAAGATCAAAATCAAAATTTATGCTCAGAATTTGTTGGTAATGAAGAAAACTTGAACTTGATTTGGTTTGATAGATTATCTAAACTAAAATTGAATAAACTAATTTACTTAAACGTTTTCAAGAAAATCGATCCATTTTATCAATTTGATAATAAACCATCTAAAAAGAGATTTCAAAAGGAAAAATTAATATACTCTGAAAATAGCAATGTCAATAATATCAATGATGAAATTGAATCCGCCATTAAAGAGAAAATTTTCTTAAATGATTACCATAAGCAAACTTTTGAAAATTACTTGATTAACAACTTGACTTATCACACAGTTAACAACGTGTTTGATTTGCTTGACGTTTTCACTTTTTTTTATGATTTATCAATCGAGGACTATTCATTAAACCAAAATTTCTCATTTGAATTATTACAAGTTTTATTAAAATTTTTCAATTTAAAATTGATTGATTATTATTCAAACCAACCGGCTTTGAAAAAACAATTTTATGAAAATAGTATTCATTTGAATTTCGTTAAAATGCTAAGATATAAGAGCTTTTTCCTTAATTTGAATAATTACAACTTCAATTTCAACGAATTTAAAGGGGAGATTCTATATTTAGAAAGAAATTTCAGTATCAATTACAATACCAATGACGATTTTTTAAATAAAATTGATAAATTCAACAAATTCTTCAACCAAAGCGGAAACGAAAATCATCACGATAACCATAACAATCAGTTGGTGTATAGTAATGAATGTTATAACTACTTGTTATGGAACGGATTCAACGAAAATGACATAATGGCAACTAATTTCTTCAGGTACTTCAGTTACATAGGTTTATCAAGAGATTAAGCTCGAAATATGCCCAATAATATATACCCTAATAATACGTACTTTAATATAATACTTTATTATACCATGCTGTACTATACTGCACCGTTCCACAATATACCTCAAAAACGGGGCAAAAATAAGCTGTCATTCCCAAACAGGAAAGCTCCACACCACTGGCTTCCGTCTTTTTGTCCAGATCAAAACCCAAAAAAGAGCTAAAAATCTGGGGTTGCTCAGAAAAAAAGTGCTATGAGAACAGAAGCAGATGAATATGGAAATACTCCCTGTTTTCTCTTCTCTTTGCTGGCCATCGCAACTGCTTCTTAATAATGAACAATAAAAAGCACATTTCGCCTGTTACCATCTGGCTCTATCGCTCTCTTAAGTCAAAGAAGTTGTTTCATGCCTTTCTCAAAGACAACAAGCAGTTGAAGCTAGCTCTTTTGCAAATACTACACTCTTTTAAGAATGGATTTATCTATGGAGCCAAATTGAGATGTGCTCATTCAATCGTTTTATTGTTTTTATTGTCCAGCACAAGTTCGTTATTCCAGCTTAGAATGAAAATTCAAAAGGTGATAATCAACTCGATAAAGCATGGCGTATCCTTGGGAACCTATGCGATTATTTACAAGTCCATCTTATATTCCCTTAAATACATCAAATCAATATCCGCGAGCAGCAATTTTAACCAATATATAAATAATGCAGATGTTCAAAATATTCATTTTGCTATAAACACGAATCAAAATCAAAATCAAAATCTGAATCAAAGAATCTTGTTTCATAAAAGCACTCCATTTGATACGTTTTTGGCTGGGTTTATCAGTGGTTGTTTAGTTTTTGGTGATATCATTCCAGTTTTTTCTAATTCTATAACATATCAAATAACTTTGTATTGTCTATCAAGAATCTTACTTTCATTGGGCAAATCTGTTGGTGTTCTTTTATCTAAAAATAATTTAATCAATATTCTTTGCAATCTTAAAAAATTTAATGATATAAATAATATCAGTGATATAAATAATATCAGTGATATAAATAATAAGATTACCAGTGCCAATCGTTTATTAAACTATAAAAAAATTCAAAAAATTTCATGGTTTTTAACTTCTGCAATTGTTTGGGGTTTGATTATGACATACCATAAGTTTCAAGCAGACCATTTGAATCCATCTTTATTATCTTCTATGGACTATATTTATAATGATTACCACTGGAGCTCATTTTTTGAGTTTATTTTTGGCAAATAAGAAGTGAGGAATGTAAGGGATTTAAAAGGATTAAAATAACAATAACTATAACCATTAAATTACATTATCAGAATATTATTGGAATATTCGTTTCTTTTAAACAGTTTTCAAAATTAATTTATGAAATTAGCTTAAATACGGTTTCCATGTTATTATACTGGACTCCGCTGCATCGCCAATTTTTTCTTTTTATTATGTATTTATTAATTGCTTATTAATTAATTATTAATCAATTATTAATTGGTATTTATTATTTTTTTTAAATATTAAATTACTTCATTTCCAGATTAAAATATTTGAGACTTTTGATAATAATTACAACGTACAACTAACAGTCATTATGGAATAAACGTAATATACAACTGCCCATATTTTCTTTATACTTATTGGCTGGTTTTAGTCTATGGGCAATTTTTTGTATCTCATGTTTTTTGTGAAAGAGCAAAATCAATAGTTGATGTCTTAAACTTTCAATTTAAAATCCAAAAAGAATTCAAAATCGTATTTCAAAATAACGTTAACAAAATAATAATAAAAATGATAATTATATTTATTTCTATTGTATTTGGGCTACAAACAGCGAATATCGTTGATTAAATTCAATTAATATGCTTAGCCATGATTCATGACTCAGATTCATCAGTTTCTACAACATGATTCCAAAGCTTTTGGGATTTGTTAATTATTGCGACATCCAGCAGCTCCTTAGATATTGGTATTTGTTTTTGGTTAACTGTTTGCCTGAGCCAGTTTTGAATTTTTGTTCATTTGAGTCAATACTATCTCAGTATCTTGTTAGTTTCAACAAAGACTTTTAGTTGTGTGGATTTTGTAGTCGCATTCTGGTGTCTCGAATACTCCCAATCCTATCGAGTTCAAGCCAATCCATTTCCCATGATTATAATTTCTTTTATTCCATTAAGCAGTTTCCAATCAAAGGCTTTCCTCCGAAAAGCGGCGAAACTCGAAATGAGGCTGCAGGTTCTCCGAAGAAAAAACGCTATTTTCGAACGCCACGAGCAATCTCCTGTTGCAGCTCCGGCCTCCAGGACCGACCTGTTTTGCAGCCGGTCACAGCTCCGACGGGCAGCCAGAGTGGTTTCTGTTGCTTGTTCCCTGGTGCTAGGCTTATTTGTTGCAACAGCACTGGGAAAATGAATGACGTTGTGGAGTGTTGGTGCTGGGAAGCAGCTGACTCGGCGATCTCCGTAATCCCAACGGCACTGGTTCCGGCTAGCGTGCGACTTTTTACGAAAGATAGCCGGAGTGGAAAACCGAGAAAAACTAGGAAAAAATTGCGTAACCGACTTTGGATCTCATGTTGAAGAGCTCAAAATAACAGGAGTAAACTGAAGTAAACTGGAACAAACTGGCTCAAAAACTTCGTTTGATAATTAGCAAAATAGCCAAACAGCAAAACATGAACATTATTATTTTGGAAAAAGGTTCTCTGCTTGTGTAATCTTATTTTGCTTTGCTTTTTGGCTGGAAAAGGGAAGCTCACACAGATTATGTATCTGTCTGCTTCAGTGGTTATATCAAAGAATGATCCCAATATTAAGATATTTTCGTTCTTTCATAACAGCTTGATAAATTCTATTTCTCTTCGTTTCTCTTATTTGGATGATTTCAATTTTTGGAAATTTAAAATTGCAAAAAAGCAATTTGAAATATGATCTGAGTACTGGGAATATTTCTAATCGTTAAGATAGTTCCTAGTTCACTACAGACTCAATATATTACAAAACTTGTGCTCTAGCGAATAGTTTATCAAAACACATAATCTTCAATTTCTTAATTTCTTAATTTCTTAGTTTCTTAGTTTCTTCATTTTTTAATTTGATTTCTTCATCTCTTAATCCTTGAATCATTTGATTAATTTAAGTTATTTGCTTTACCAAAAAAGAAATCTTTTTAAAAAAATTGTAACCCAATCCACTTTATCAGCTCTATAGAAAATTAATATAAATACCCAGCTTATCCTCTTCCTCCTTTCTCATTCAAATTCCAATTAAAATTCAAAAGAAAACAACAACAACAACAACAACATATTATCTTATCTCAATTAATAATCAGGTTTAACATCCTTCAAAGTTTCAAAGCTATCATATTCTTTGGTATGTTTATTATTTAATGTTATCTATCCTTTCCAAATCATAAAAAACGTTCTCTAACCATCTATATCTCAGGTCTTTGTCTATTCCTTTATACTATATTGTTTCATTATATTATATCTTACTGTTAATTCTGCTTATTTATTGATTTGTATTATACTTTACGTCTTCAATTAATTCCTTAATTCAATCCTCCCAGTCCCTTATATTATACTATACTTTAAACCTTTCAAACACAATATCCAATTATCCCACCATCCAACAATGCATTACAGAGAAGTTCATTATTACAGAGACAGAATTTGCTGCAAATGCCACAGCCTAACAGACTTTGATTATGGCTACAACAGATACTGTGAAGAATGTGGTCATGATATTTATACTATTTATGTTTTTGAAAACTGTACTCACAACGTTCTCTGTTCCAACTGCGAGTTGCTAAAGCCGTAATTCAAGAAAAACAATCTCTCTTAATCAGATTTAACCAGAAAAATGTTTTTTTATTGCATTCAAAACTCGCCTATCCACTAATTATTCAAACTAAAGGCTTTTGGAAACCTTTTAAGAAAAAAAAAAACAATAAATTAAGTAGTTAAATAGTTTAAGTAGACTAAATAAGTAAGCTCGAAAAAAAAATAATTTATAAAACGAATTTCTTAACAAAAAAAAAATCAAAAACATTACATTAATATCTTATTAGCTCAAACCTTTCATCAATTAACTTTTGCCTTGAAATATAGTTCAATGTCCTCTTAAAATGATTGACTGGTAACTCATCAATATCAACATTCTCCAAATTATTCTTGATAAGTTCTATCAAATCGTTGATGTACTTTGCTGAGATCAAATTTCCATGAATGTAATAGTAAATACACTGGTTCAAGATTTCAATAAACAATTCAATTGAAACTGAGCTCTCAATGCAACTGTCAGAGATTCTTAATGATTTTTGTAAACATTCCATCACCCTTTTATTATTTGTGATACTTGCACTACCAACAGAACCCACATTTGCGCCATTTTCAGTATTTTCACCATTTTCAGTATTAACAGAATCGGACTCTTTTTCCTTTCCTCTTTCTTTCTCCTTACTAGATTTTGAGCTAAAATCGTTTGGCTGGAACCATAAATGAGAAGCAAAATACACTGCTCTACATTGATCTGGTTTCTTTAATAACTTGACTGAATATAGAACGGTTTTAGTGATTAAATTATCATAGTTTTCCTTGTCATAGTCATTTTTACTTTCAACATAAAAATTCTTATAATATAAAATTAGTACGCTAATCAATTCTGTGATTATTTGGTATTGTTGTTTGGAATTAATTAGTTCTTCATAAATTGAAAATATCTTGATGAAAAACTCATTGGTGAATTCATTCATCATGATCTCGTTTGATATATTGGACACTGAGATCAATAATTTCAAAGCCAATTCTAGTGAGCCGAATGAGTATAATTCATTGATATATTTGGTTAGTCCTTTAAAAATATTCTTAATTTCACGCTTGTAGTCATTTATTCTCTTTTCATATTTAGTTATTTTCTTTGAATTTGTATTAGAATCCAAATTTGCAAAAGTTAATTTCTTATTGAGTCTTAGAATTCTGACATTGACTCTTCTAATTATTTTAAGAAAATTAAATATTAATGAGGAATACGTATATTTAATCTTGCTTCCACCTTTAGAAAGATATTTTGATGCTACTAAGAGTAACTTTGAGTTTTCAATTGGATCTTTATTATATATTAGATGCAAAATTTTTGCAACTTTTTCTTGATTGATCAATGCTTCAATAGAAAGATTTGAATCATTATCTTCAAAACGAGAATCCATTAAATTGTCTTCACCAAATAAAAGAGAATTTGAAGTTGAAGAAGATTTCTTTGATTTTTTATTTCTAGATAAGTTTGAATTAACAATACTGCTTAATAAATTGAAAATGCAGTTTACAATATCTTCATTTTGTAGTTGCATCTTGTAATCTAATATTTTATCGAGAAATTGTTGAGATATGAAGGATTGGACTTTTGGAGATTGACTTTCTAATAATTTTGTATAGTTTTTTAAATTCAATAGTAAATCCAAATTGATTGATTTTTGTTCATGAACTTCAAATATGCTGACAAAGTCCACAGGGATTAATAAAATGTTTTTTAGATTTTGTTCTGTAATTGGAGAAGAAGCTTCTCTAGTATCTTTAAATTCGTCAAGTCTTTTCAAAGTGTGTAATAATAAAGTATCAATATTTTTGTAATTTTTTGGATAATAGGTTAAGGACAATTTGCATAATTTCTCCAACAAAGCGGTAATATCGTCGATAGATAGGTCTGGTCTTAATTCATCTAGTTTTTGAATATAGCTATAAAATTTTTGAAACAAATCAAATTGATTTTCTTTTTCTTTTTCTTTTTCAGTGGCATCAACTTGATTATTATCTATTTTTTCTTCTTTTTCTTTTTCTTTTTCTTTTTGATTTTGATTTTGATTTTGATTTTCAGTTATCGTTTCTATTTCAGTTTTCGTTTCTATTTCAGTTTTCGTTTCATTTCCATTTTCTTTTTGGGATTCTTTGTTTTTTAGCTTCTCTTCGTTATCATTTTTATCTTTGATTGTTAACTTTTCCAAGTCAATAACCCCATCTTCTCTATGAATGAAGTTTGCCAATCTATCCATTAGAGAAATAGAAATCTTTTTAAGAGAGACTTGGGGAATTAAATTTAGCGTTGCCTTTAATAGCATATCCAAGGTGAATAAATGGAATTCGTCAGGGAAAACTTGTATGACAACATCGAGTAAATATTCCTGAGCGATCAAGTCTCTGCATTGGATAATTTGTTCAAGAATTCTTGGTAAAATGACATTTTTATAATAAAATTTATCGATTCCATCTAGTTGGGATAGTCTGACTAAATTCGAACCAACTAAAATTTGTAATTCTTGCCTTTCTTTCGTTCTTTTTTGTCTTTCTCTTGAATGACCCTGGTGTTGGAGTCTTACCCATAGTTTATTCATTTCAATGAAATTTGTAATAATGAATTCTGTTGAATCTTCAAGAGAGGTATTTTCAGAAACTTTAGATTTGTCGGGCAATAGGTCTTTTGTCTTTTGAGATAAGTAGTATCGTAAAAACAAACCCCTAATGGGATGCTGAACACCACGACACATTTCAATCATATCTTTCATAATCTCCTTGATGGGGGCATTAAGTATAGACATGTAGACAGTTCCAACAGTGATCATGAGATATAGTCTTGGAACTATATTACCAGCATACTGAACCAATTCGTAGAGATCAGATAGATGGTTGTTTGGATGGTTTTCTTTCAAGTAGTTGGATAGGTATTCTAGTGCATCGTAGATGACGATGTACAATTCATAGTAGTGCTTGGGGGTAAGAGCAGAAGTTCTCAATTCCGACAAAAAGGTAGAGGCGTGTTTCAATGCATCCATCAATTTGCCCTTGGAGTCCAAACACTTCTTCATGAGAAGGGTTTGCTGCTTTATGATGGTTAGCGAGTCGTTCAACATTATACGCTGTTCTTCAGGGGTAGCAGTTCTGGCAGAAGACATGGTGGAGTGTCGATGCTGGGTCCTCTGTGAGGTGTTACTGAGGAGAACAAGGTCTGTGCTTTGGCTCTGTGCAGCCGTTCTTCTTCGTGGGCTCAATTGTGGTGATGGTGCTGGAGAAACTGGCGATGGAGAAGCTTTTGATGGCAAAGATAACAGCTCCAGCTCAACAAACGCTGTTGGTCACCGGCAACCGGAGTTACCCTACACGGAACAGTGTTCGGAAAACTCTCGGGAAGACCGAAAACCGTGTTCGAGAAAAGAGCGAAGAGGAGAAATGTGTATAAAGAATAGATTATATAGACTCTAAAATATTATGTTTTACAGCAGCGTAGGGCTGGGTGATGGTGGTGGTGGTGGGGGGGGGGCAGTAATTGCAACTCCAGGCCTATTCGGTCTCGTAGCTCTCCCAGTTAGCAATGATGGATCTGATCTTCTCCGAGCGAGTTAGCTCGTAGACTTCTTCAAAGTACTCTTTGGTTATCTCAAATGGTTTGGCAGTCAAGTTGGGGATATACTTGCCAATCAAGTTGGTTGGCTTGATAGCTGACTTGGGCACTTTCTTCTCAAGGAATCTTTGGAAGGGCTTGACACCACTTCTGAGGTACGACGAGTGGAATGGAACCGAGATACCTTTCAATGGAATACAAGCAAATCCTCTTTCAAGCGAAATAGGTTGGGGCTTTTCCAATGTCTTTTTGGACACCTCTTCAACAATCTCACTCAAGTGTCCAGCAACTTCTTCCAATGACATTATTTCTTGCAACTTTTCAATATCAATTTTTTGCAATTTGAAGACATTAAGAACATTGGTTAATGCATCCAATCCTCTCAAATCACCAGCAGCAACATACTGTTGATTCTCCACATTGTAATTGACAATTTCCAATAGCCACTGCGTTTGTTTTGCAATGTGTTCAACAACAAATCTTAAAGCAGCATCTGTAAATGTCGTTGATACTCTTGATGGGTTCACAGCAATCATACCATAGTTGGATCTTCCCTTCTCATCTCTTGGGACTGCAACTTGCATTGTCATACCTCTGTAAAATACAACCTCAACAAGGGACTCAATTGGCATAACATCTCCCAAAGAAGCTAAAGCAGAATATTCACCTAATGAATGACCAGCAAACATACAGTCTTGAGGAACCAATCCTTTGCTTTTAAGGTCTTCAAACGATGCCTTTTCCATCAATGTCAATGCAGGTTGTGTGAATTGTGTGGCTGATAACAACCCAGTTGGTGATTTAAAAGTAAATGAATTTGTCTCTTTAACAATATCCTTGAAAATCTTCTCGGATTTGAGGTTTCCATCTTCATCGATGGTTTCAAACATCATACTCATATAGTTTTGTCTGATCTTTCTACCTTCAGCTCCACCAAAGTAGATTGTCATTTCATTTGGATTATTTTTCACAATATCCAAAATAGAAAAACCATAACTGTTAAGGAAATGTTTATCGGCTCTATCCCAAACCTCTTTAGCAACTTTAGATTTATTATAAAGATCCATACCCATATTTTGTTCTTGAGAACCTTGTCCGGTGAAAACATATGCTGACGATGGTTGTTCGATTTCCGCTTCACCAGTGAGAACAACCGATCCGGTATCAACATTCTTGGTCTCCACCTTGATAATCTTACGACCATTGATCATACCAATCATATCAAGACTGGTCTCTAAATTAGAATTTGGCAAGATCATACCAACAAATTTGCAACTGTAAGCACGAACGGTTGGTGCAGCATTATCTGCAGCCCAGGTTTCAACTAAAGCACGAACAATAGCCGAAGTATACATTCCATGTGTAATGGTTCCTGGCAATCCAGCATACTCAGAGAAAACCCTTGAAACATGAATAGGATTGTAATCGCCAGAAACTGCTGCATAACCTTCATTAGTATCCGGTGTCTTTTCAATAAGCTCAATACCAGATGAAAGTGGGATAGAATTATCAAATAAAACTGGTTGCTCAATCGTATTACCATTTCTGGTAAGATAATCCATAACTGGGTTACCATATGATTCAGCAGCTTCATATTCAATAACACCAATTTCTTTAATCTCTTTGGTTGGTAATTCCAATAAAATTTGGCCTGTAGTTTGAACAGATGAGAAAACATTTTTGCTTTTGTAAGTAACTTCAGTGTTGCAACGGAATGTCAATGTTTGATCAAGTAAATCTATATTTGGATCTTCCAAATGAACCCACTCTTTAGATATTAAAACAGCAACATTTTTCAATGATGAAAAGTGAATTTGCATTGGGGTTTCTTCAATTTTTTCAAAAGTATTTTCATAATCATCATATTCTCCACGATAGAAGAATTCAGAGGTAACCTCCATAACTTCTTCACCATCTCTAAGAATAATACCAACAACACGAACTTGTTTTCCACTTGGCTTATTAGTAACGGCCTTAATCTCAGCATATGTGGTAACTGTGTCTCCCAGCTTTAATGGAGAAGCACCTGGAATCATTTTGAATCCATTTGAAAGATGAACTAATCTTAATAAGTCACCATCAATAACTTTAGGGAAAATAGCTTTCATAATTGCTTTCCATCCAACAACAATAGCAAAATCCATTGGTGCTAAGGTTTCTTTACCAGATCTTTCAACATAAGATTCACAGTTATTACCAATAGCATGGGTGAATTCAGCAATAGCCCTTGTGGTAATTGTAACTTCATCGCCTGTAATCAAAGATTGCACATCGATTTCAGTTTGAGGTTCTTCAATACCAAACCACAATTTCCAGTAAAATTGTTTAATTCTGTCATTTCTGCCTACCATATTTTCTTTGATTAATGCAAAACCATCGCTTCTATCAAATGTATATAACAATTCTAATGGTAATGGTTGTTTATCAAAATTACGGTGTTCAATTAATTTCAAAGCAATAGTTTCTAAATCGGATTTTAATTCTATTTCAACAACGGGTCTTAATTTTCCTTGTAATTTTTCATAAAAGGTTAATACAGATTGTTCAGGAGTACTAATATTAGTAATTTCAACAGAAATATTTTTAGCAGGTGCCAACACTTTATGAGTTGGGTTAGCAACAAAATTGCTATTTTGAACAATTCTATCACTGGAAATAAAGGCATGCAACCAAGAAAGTTCAGATCCGGCTAATAAGTCTAACCATTCTTTCTTTTTTGGCAAGTGCTTTGAACCAATAGTATATGTGACAGTATCATCATCAATAGTAGTTGTGACATGTTCCACTTCTTTTGGAGCCTTTTGGAAGGAAACATTTCCGAAATATTCAACAATAGGGATATTTTCATCATCCCCATCATAGTAATCTTCAAGTAATCTTTCAATATGACCATTATGAATACCATCCAAGATATCTTTGACTGGTTCATCAACCACATTGGAGTATTGGGCTGCAACTGGACCATGCAAAATACAAGTTCTTTGAACATCTTGGTCAACAACTGCTTCAAGATCTTCGGATTGCCATAAAGAATCTTTCTTGAAGAAAAATTCAAATCTTTCATCTAAAACAGGAACAAATGGAACTGGTTTTTGTGCTGGATTTTGACATTCCAATAAGAAATAATCACAGTCTTCTTGATTGACCAATTGGTCTTCAATATCAGAATAAGTATGAATAAGATTTTGGTAAACTTCATCTGGGTTATCTAATTCTTCAAAAGTTTGTAAAACAGAGAATGACTTGGATTTAATAAATCTTTCTTCAATTCTTCTAATTAATCTTCCTGTGAAATTTCTTAAAGAAATATCAATCCAACGATTGGAAGATCTAACAAACATCAATTCAATTAATCTTAAGATCAATTCACCATAAGTCATATCTTCAATATCACAAGAACCGAAAACGTTCTTACCAAACCATGGTTTTTGGAAATCTGAATTCAAACGTTTAATAATGTTGTCTTTGTTCTTATTCAAAGCGTCAAGAAGTTTATTTTTGGGTAGTTTGAAGTACTTTTCGTCAAATTCCTTCCATAGTAAAACACCTCTAGTGGCAATTTTATGAATTGGTTCACCCATTTCAGATCTGACGGTGACAATTCCACCAGTTGGTCTTTTATAAGTTTGTTCCCATGACTCATCAGATACACCGGAGCAATTGGCAATGGCTTCTTTAGCCTTTGGAGAAGTTTTAGCTTCTTTTGCAATCATAACTCTTGAACCAAAAAGAAAACCATCAAAAGGCATTGGTGGATAATTGAATTTAGTTGACCATTCACCAGTTAGGTATGGATAAGTTTCTTTATCCGAACCAAAACCTGAACCGGCCACAAGGATGATGTTGGAGCATTTTCTGATCTTTGCGTACATTTGTAAGATTGGTTGGTGGAAATCTTCAAATGAATGGTGACCACCAGCTCTACCACCAGTCCATTGTAGAACAATTGGGAAATCAGGATGAGCTTTTGCAATAGTTATACATTGAGCAATAGATTCAATGGAACCAGGTTTAAGACCTAGATGAGTTAAACCAAGAGTTTCGATATATTCAGAGGCCACATCCAAGGATGGAACACCGGCACCAATTGATAGGGATTGAATTGGTAGGCCCTTTTCTCTTAATTCTTTAATCATTGGAATACCCCATTGTAACATTCTTGGATTAACATAGATCAAGTTAATACCAATACCATAACCGGGGGTGATTTTTTGGGTAACGGTTTCCAAAGCCTTTGTCATCATTGGAGCAGTGAAATAACCACCACCAGCTATTTCAGCATGATAGCCTGAATTTAGGATGGTTGCAACAAAATCTGAACTGACAGTTGATGGGGTCATACCGGGAATCATTAGTGGAGCTCTACCTAATAATCTTGAGAATTTAGTGTCAACATAGGTTTGGCCTGAGACAGTTTTAATTAATCTTGGTTTGAATTCAGCAAACCAGTTGGAAGCCCAGTATACGGATTCCTGATTTGAATCAAAAAGTTCTTGTTTAAAACCAAATTCGTCATCAGAGTTTGGAATATCGAAGGCACCAGCAAGAATGATTCTGGAGCCAGTACCTTCTTTATTACGGTGAGTCAAGACACCTAAACCAGACAAACCGCCAGGACCGAAATCAAGAATATGAGTTGATTTAAAATTTGTTGCCTTTTCCCAATTGACTTGGTATGTAATAATTGACATTACAACATGTTTAGCTAATGAGCCTGAAGAGAATTCTGCCAAATTTTGGCCTTTGTAGGAATCGAAAACAGGGATTTGTAGAGTAGATGGGATGAATTCTATTGAATTTGATTCTAAATCTTGGACAATGGTGTCTAAAGCAGGATCTAATAAGGGACTATGGTATGGAGAGGTAATTGGTAAGAATCTGGATGAGAATTTTAATTTTCTTTCAGAATAAGGGATTCTTGCTTGATCTAAACCAGCTGGAGCCTTTGCCTTTCTTAGAGCAAGATTTAAGCCACATAAAGCTTGTGGAGGACCACTTACAACTAGATTTCTTGCACCGTTAATAAGGGATATGACTAGTTTTTTCTCTTTTGGCAAGTGTGTGTTAGTTTTATTGACAAAGTCCTGGACTTGTTCTAGAGATAGATCTCTGATTGATAACATTGGGGAAGGTTTTCCCTCGCCATTTTCAATTGAGTCTGAAAAAACGGATGGGGGTAGGGAAGTATTTGGGTAAACTTGTAGGCAACGAACACCTATAAAGAACAATAGAGAAATGGCCTTTATGGAGTTTTCATAAAAGGAATCCCAGGAGTCAGAAGCAGCAAGTGCAACAGCAGCGGCTAAACCTTGAGAGTGACCAGTTGCACCTTTAAGATGGTGTCTTAGCTGACCAGGAGATAGATTTAGTATTTTGCAGGCCAAAGCGTAGTGGGCAATTTGGATGATACCAATGATTGGGGAGGAGACTGGGGTTAGTAGGAGATAGTCGCTGTCTGGAGTTTTTTCTCTTGAGGAGAGCCAAGTTTTGATATCTAGACCCTGGGAAAAGACCTTCTCCGAGCCCTCTGTTTTCAATACCAAGTCCTTTAGGGTTTGATCCATTTTGTTGATGAAGTCTTTGATTAGAGGTTGATATATGTTGTATAGATCTCTTAGTTCTTCAAAGTAGTTGTCAGTGTTACCTTGGCCACCAAAGACAGCGTAGATGATTGCATTCGGGTTTGATAATAGAGCACTTTTTTTGGGAGGAGAGATTGAGGCAGAAGAGGAGCTGTCATTGATGGAGACAGACTTTGCAATGTAGTAGTTTTTGATTAAGTGTTTAACTTTATCTATTGAAGTTGGGAATTTTTCGTCAGTCAATAGAGAAGCGGCAAAGGTGTGTAGATCCAATTTATTATTTTGAAGGTATCGAGATTCGAATTCGTTTAAGGATAAATTGAGAACATCATCAAATGGGCCAGGAGACAAGGGATCAACAAAGGTAGCAGCGTAGCCTAGGAATTTGGCTAATAGCTCACTGGGAGAGGAAGGTTCGTCAGGAGAAGCAAAACCTTCGGTTGGATCAGGCAAGTTTTTCAAGAATTGTTGTTTCAATTGGGAAGTAGCAAAGTATATTGAAGTTGGAATTAACAAAGTGTGTTCAAGAGAGCCATGGGATATGGTTGTTGGTCTCATTGAGAGTTGATGATGAGAAGACATTTTTTTTAAAATTTTTATTTTTTTTAGGTTTTAGGGAAAAGTTTTTAAATTTTTTTGTTGGTTTGTTCTAGATTCAACACTTTGAAATTGGAAATGGTGAGTTTCAGTATTGTGGGAGTGAGATCTAAGAATAAGAACAAGAAAGAGATATTGAATTGAATTGAATTGATATTTCTGGAATGGATCTTTTCTGTTTTACTGTCAGGAATTAAACTGGATAAAAATGAGAGTTAGTAGAAAGAAACACGGAATTGAAGGTAAAGGGCCTGAAGCAGAGATGGCAATTGGAGAAATGAGAGAAAGAAAGAAAGAAAGGAATTGAAGAAAATAGAGAGGAAAGGATGGATTGGAAAAAAAGTCTAATTTCTGTTTGGTGAAACTTTAAATTTTGTTTTGAAAATGTTGGAAATGTTGAACTGCCTAAAACAAGATAGGAAAAAAGAGAGATAATCTTTTTTTGATATGGGTGAATTGGGATGAATGGAGGATTGGATATACATACCTTTATGATTATACAACGTATATATAAGAAGGATAAAGAGTAATGGTATTAGGAGTGAGAAGAAAAGGAAACACGAGATGAGATGGAATATTGGCTATCGATTAAGAGGACGGAGAAGAAAACAAAATGGAATTAGAAAGTGGAGGAGAAGAAAGAAAAAGAACCAAGCAGAGCCAGGAGCAGAGAGAAGAAGATGAAGATGAAGATGAAGCTGGAAAGAAGAAAAAAGCAGCAGAGATAAAGGAGAATTGATATATATTTATAAAGCCATAGAGTCGCATCTCAACAGAACAGAGCACGGCCAACGGGCCAATCGCAGCGCGGCGCGGCGGGCGAAGAGCTGGGGGATTTTCCAGGGCTCGGGACGGTGTTTTGTTCACGCGCAGTTGTTGGCCGATTGCAAATTGTTGAGATTTTGTTGGGCTCCGCGCGACCAGCCAATCAGAGCGTGCAACTCACGTGGCCACAGAAAGGCGCCGGAAGCAGCGTCGGGAGCAGCGCGCATCCGTGGTGAGCGAGACCAGCGGTGGGGTGCCGCGCTAAATGGGAGTTTGTCCGCGTTTCTTTTGAGCACACTTGAGCGCGGCCTCGTACGAGAGCGCGAGCACAACAAGGAGCATCCCAACAAGCTGGGCGGGCCGCAAGTGGTGGTTGAACACCACCACGCTGAGCACCATCGACGCCATCTTCCTCGTGACGGTCACGGTGACGAGGACCAACGAGCTGAACTTCTCCAACACCACAAACACGAAGATCTGCCCCACCGAGTTTAGCACCGAGTAGCATAATAGCGACCACCGAACACTTGTTAATGTGGACAAAGAGCCCAGGCCAGCTGCTGTTGGGCTGAAGTAGCTGTAGCACTCTTGCAATTGGTTTGAGAACACGGTGCAGTAGATGAGAGAAAAAACAACGTTGAAGAAACTCGAAAAGATCATCAAATGCGTGCCACTCAACAAAACTCTTCTGGTCCTGATGTTTCTCATCCTTGTAGCCATCGAGCTCTTCTTTCGACCTTTCTTGTCTTGGGGCGCGTTGCTGCTGCTGTATCTTTTGAACAACTGGTCCTGGGTCGAGTTCATTAGCCCATCTAGCGCCAACGATAGCATTAGACACCCGTATCCCATCGACTGGTTGTACACATTGCTGTCTTCTTTAACATTAACATTGCCAACCCTCTTTTTGTTATTCAAGGAAAACAACACAACCCCAAGAGTAATCACAACCGATAACACATACTTGTACTTGGGAAACCGCTTATTGTATAAAATCAAATGGACAATCAACACTGGAATTAGTTTACATGACTTGGCTAGCAAAATCGATAAATAATCCAATCCAAACCTGACAGAGTACTGCGATATTGGAGAGCTTAAGCTTTGCAAAAACGATATGCCCAAAACCAACTTGATTAACCGATATTTGTCAAGCCTGACCAAGTACTTGATTTCATGCGTAATTGTCTTGACCTGGAAATTCTTGTTTATCGAAAAATATAACAACGATACAATCAAACTAGAAGTTGACTGGACGAGATTCAATATTATAGGAAACCTTTTCAAAAATTTCAAATTGATCAACTGTTCCTGAAATATCCCGCTGATCAAAAACGTAGAATATATCCCAACGATATTTATAATCAACAATAGAATCCGAAAGTTATCCTTATTCCCAAACAAATCTCTGACATCTCTTCCAATATACCTTCGAAAGCTCTCAATATAATTCAACGACGTTTGTGTGTTGCAAAGTAGCTGAAATGTGTTAGGCTGCTCTTGAAGTTTGACTTGAGACATTTTAAGTTGAGCTGAGCTGAGTTGCTTTAAGAGATGAGATGAGATAAAGTGAAATGGAATGGAATGGGTTAAAACCAAAAGTGCGAAGGTAATGTAAATCGAAAATCGATCAAAATGCTAAAAAATGCAACAAATACAACAAATACAACAAACACAACAAACAACACAAAAAAGCAACAACTCCATCTAACCCATCTCCAACAACACCCATAACCACCTCTCGTACACCTGGTCAAATGCCCGTTGCTCTATATTTAGACGCTCAGAGCCCTGTTTTGCCCTGTTTCAAGCCCTAACTCGAACCCCAAAAAGATCTGCGTTGTTTCACATCACCCCGCAGACACCCACACGGCTGGCTCGCGCTTCGAGCCCTCGTTCATCTAGTTAGGGCTCCCACAGCGCCACCGCACTGGATTCCCGCGGCCGCAATGGTGGAACTCCATGGAACGTTCCATTTTATGCTTTTTTCTTCTTCCATCGAAATTTTTCATCTCAACCACTTTGTGAGGCCTGTCCTGTTTATGTGTAGTTTATCCATATATATTTGCCTCTTTTTCTTCCTTTCCCACCATTACCTCAATTCTTTTCCTCTATCTCTCTCTCTCTTTGTTTCATCTCTGTCTTCTTTTCTCTGTCCCATCTTCCCTCTCCCCTTCCTACTGCTATCTCTCTTCAATTGATATATTCTATCTGTTTTATTTGTTTTCATTTATATTTACCAATATCTCCTGTCTTCTCATATCTATTCCCTATATATCCCTAATTCAAAATGTCTTCTCCTAAAACTGAAAACTATGCTTTCCAAGCTGAAATTAATCAGCTTATGTCCCTTATTATCAACACTGTTTACTCAAACAAAGAAATCTTCTTGAGAGAATTGATCTCTAACGGTTCCGATGCTTTGGACAAAATTCGTTACAAGGGTCTAAGTGCCCCCCAAGAACTAGAATCTGAACCAGAACTCTTTGTTAGAATCACTCCACACCCAGATCAAAAGATCTTGGAAATCAGAGATTCCGGTGTCGGTATGACCAAAGCTGAATTGGTCAACAACTTGGGTACAATTGCTAAATCTGGTACCAAGGCCTTTATGGAAGCCTTGTCCGCTGGTGCTGATGTCACCATGATCGGTCAATTTGGTGTTGGTTTCTACTCTCTATTCTTGGTTGCTGATAGAGTCCAAGTCATTTCAAAATCAAATGATGATGAACAATATATCTGGGAATCCAAGGCTGGTGGTACCTTCACCGTCACTCTCGACGAAACAAACGAAAGAATCAACAGAGGTACTGTCATCAGATTATTCCTCAAAGATGATCAATTGGAATACTTGGAAGAAAAAAGAATCAAAGAGGTCGTCAAACGTCACTCAGAATTTGTTTCTTATCCAATCCAATTAGTCGTCACCAAAGAAGTCGAAAAAGATGTTCCTGTTGAAGAAGAACCAAAAGTCGAAGAAGCTGACGATGAAAAGAAACCAAAATTAGAAGAAGTTAAAGATGATGAAGAAGAAGAAAAACCAAAGACTAAAAAAGTCAAGGAAACTGTCACAGAAACCGAAGAATTAAACAAAACAAAACCTTTATGGACCAGAAATCCATCCGATGTCTCTCAAGATGAATACAACGCTTTCTACAAATCAATTTCCAATGACTGGGAAGATCCTTTAGCTGTTAAACACTTTTCCGTTGAAGGTCAATTGGAATTCAGAGCCATTCTTTTTATCCCCAAGAGAGCTCCTTTTGATTTATTCGAATCAAAAAAAAAGAAAACTAACATCAAATTATACGTTCGTCGTGTTTTTATCACAGATGAAGCTGAAGAATTAATCCCTGAATGGTTAGGCTTCGTCAAGGGTGTTGTTGACTCTGAAGATTTACCATTAAACTTATCAAGAGAAATGTTGCAACAAAACAAAATCTTAAAAGTTATTAGAAAGAACATTATCAAGAAATTAATCGAAACTTTCAATGAAATCGCTGAAGACACTGAACAATTTGACAAATTCTACTCTGCTTTCTCTAAAAATCTTAAATTGGGTATCCACGAAGACTCCACCAACAGAAACGCTTTGGCTAAATTGTTAAGATACAACTCCACGAAATCAACTGATGAATTAACCTCATTATCTGACTACGTTACTAGAATGCCCGAGCACCAAAAGAACATCTACTTTATCACTGGTGAATCCACAAAAGCTGTTGAAAAATCTCCCTTCTTAGATGCCTTGAAAGCTAAAAACTTTGAAGTTCTCTTTTTAGTTGACCCAATTGATGAATATGCCATGACTCAATTAAAAGAATTTGAAGACAAAAAATTAGTTGACATTACTAAAGATTTCGAATTGGAAGAAACTGATGAAGAAAAAGCTGAAAGAGAAAAAGAAATTAAAGAATTCGAACCTTTAGCCAAAGCCATTAAAGACATTCTCGGCGAACAAGTTGAAAAGGTTGTTGTTTCTCACAAATTAGTTGATGCTCCAGCTGCTATCAGAACCGGTCAATTTGGTTGGTCTGCTAATATGGAAAGAATCATGAAAGCTCAAGCCTTGAGAGACACTTCAATGTCAACCTATATGGCTTCAAAGAAAATCTTTGAAATCTCTCCAAAATCTCCTATCATCAAAGAATTAAAAGTCAAATTAACCAAAGAAGGTTCCGACAATGCTGCCTTGAAAGACTTGACTACTCTATTATACGAAACCGCCTTATTAACTTCGGGTTTCACTTTAGAAGAACCAAGCTCATTTGCCTCCAGAATTAACAGATTGATTTCTTTAGGTTTGAACATCGATGAAGAAGAACCAGAAACCGTTGCTCCAGCTGCCACCCCTGCTGCCAAAGAAGATGTTGCTGAATCCGCTATGGAAGAAGTTGATTAAACAATCCACCACTTTCCCGAACTAGTAAACTTAGATATTATATAATATTGTTTTTTTAAAGCAAACCAATTTTTATTTACTTATTCTTTCAATTTTTAATTTTTGTGTATAATTTAATAAATTTTGATAACAAAGGAAAAAACCAGGTCAATTGTATTCTTTACAAGTATCTCTTGATTTATTGCTGTTTGTTTTTTCTCATTTTCTAGTTTCTATTGGTATAAAGGCCTCTAATACTGTATTGTTAATAAGAGCGATTGTATCTTCAGCTTGATCTCTCACCAATAAATCACCATCTGTATCTTTGATGTATTTCAAAACTTTCAATACCTTCTTTCCATATCCCTTGGGAACACCTATCAATCCTCCAGGCCCTGAAATCAAATCACTTACTAGAACAATAGCAGATCGTCTCATAATTGCCTCCATTTCTTCGTTTTTTGTCTCCATTTCAAGTATCCCAATTACACAGTCAAATGCATCAGCCAAACTTGATTGTATGCCATAAGGATTAATTTGACAAATTTGTCCCAAAATTGACATTGATGACATCCTCAATCTATTATCGCTCTTGAATTGTTCAATTGATTTTATCTTATTCTCTTGACTATCTTCTTCAATCTTAATTATCTTATTGATTCGAATAATACCTAGCAATGTGCTAGATAACAAATTCAATAGCTCTGGTTTAAGAACCTCTCCTAACCTTTTTATAGCCCTCAAAATTACTTCGCCAATTTTCAACCTGTAATCAAGATTACTCGCATCATCTTTATAAATATTCATTAATTTCGGTAGTGTTCCATCCTTGTTGAATTCAATTAATGAATCTAAACCTTTAATAACATTTAAAAATATAAAAGTTTCTTCATCTTTCAAATGAATCAAATGTAAATTCAAAACATATTCAAGGGATATTACCGGCGATTCCTTTATAATTAATTTTCTAATCAAGTAAAAACTTTGAGCTCTTATTGGAACCAATGGATCAGTAAGATTGCTGATAGCCTTTGAAAAAATTTTGATGTCCTGCTGTTCCTCAGTTAATTTCTTGTTTGAAATACCTTTTTGTGCTTTATTATTCTCAACATTAGTCATTTCAATTATTGTTGCCAATAAGGATTTTGCAGCATGATTTTGCAGCGACAACTTTTTAAGTAAGCTTTTCATTGATTTCAACATTTGCATAAAATCAGCTGAGAATTCTTTGGGATCTGTCTCATAAAGAATTGCAGATAGTAATTCAAGAACTAAGTTTAATGATTCTGATGTTTCAAGACTTTCATCTTCATCATCAGAATCTTCTTCATTGTCATCACTTTCAGTATTTTGATTATTATTATCAATAATATGAGATATACTACTACTTTTGATATTATTACCCTGTTTGGACTTATCCATTTTTTTAACGTTTATTTCAAGAATTTTTTTAATTATATCCAAGATTTCTAATGCATTTTGGCTTGATTTATCATTTTTAAAAATTAATAATTTATCTTTAAATTTATTGGAAATTTCTTCTAATAGTTTCAAATCAATTAAAACAGTAAATGGATTAATGAAATCATTTTCATTTTCTCCATCAATGACCAATTTTTCGGTTTTTTCATTTTTTGTAGAGTTTAAATTTGAATGAAAATGATCAATATTCATTGGTAGCCATCTTTTTAAAAGTAAAGAAAACTGTTTTTGAATTAAATCATCATTATCTAATTTTTTCAATAAATCAATAAACGTTTCAACCAACATATCCAATAAACCTATGAGTTTTTCATTTGTATATTGGTTAGAAATTTCATCAACAGACTCATTGAATTTAATACAAACAAGACCATTGTCACCATTTCCAAAACTCCAGTTGTCATTTAATATGGTAAATAAATTTTTGGAGATCAAATCTAATGAATTTATATTTGACGTTAAAGTGAAAAATATTTTAAAGAGATCTGTGATGACTCCAATATTAGAAATCCTTTTGGTTTTTTTACAAAATATTATATAATTCCATAATGATAATATTAAAGAGTCATTAAATAAAAAAGATAAGACATTTTCATTGGAATTTTTGGATAAAGATAAAATTACATTGATTGTATTATTCAATTCAGCTTCATCAACTATAACATCCTTATTCATGTTATTGTTGTTACTATCTTCGGAGTTTTTAGATTTTAAATAGTTTTCTTTGAATTTTCTAAAATTTTCAGTATCTAAATGAGGAGAAAAATTAAACCATATTCTTTTGAAAAAAAAATTATGGATAATAAATTTATTCTTAGCAAAAAGCGATTGAACAAAATTTGAGGCAATGGATGTTATCAAAGGATCATTAATTCGTATCAATATGTTATAAATTTGATTTCCTATATTTGTGAAATATAACTTTGGGTCTAAATTTTTTGGTTTTGCTAATAAAATTTTGTTAAATCTGTCAATTTTCTCGATATCGATATCATCGGATTCTCTTAATTCACATATAAAATCTAATAAAGAAAAGACACCATCATCGATTCTCTTTACGATTAAATAAGATAGCTTTGATTTGACGACATTTTTAAACCAAATGGGAGAATTTGCATTATTTAGTATTAGAGAGTAAAATTGAAATAAATCATAAGTATTTTTCAAGGATTCAATTTCATCTAAATTTGTTTTCCAATGAGATATTGTTTGGAAATCAAATTGGCTTTGAATGCTTGGGTTTGATATTAAATATAGGTAAGAAATCAAAATATCCGAATAACCAATACCAGGTAAAAGTAATTTTTTAACATCGCAATTTTCTAAATTATTGCCATCTTTATCGATAGTGGAATCTGATAACAAGATTGTGTCAAACTTAGATATAATATTAGTCAACAAATTCAATTGTAGAATTAAATCAGAATCAGGAATTTTTTCATATTTTAAATATAATTTTTTAAATTTTTGAATTAAAGGATTATCAAAAGCATTAGTATTATTACTATTATTCAACTGTCTTTTATTTAAAGATATTAAAATATTTGAAGGAATTGAGGGATAAATACCTTGAATTATGATTAAATTTAGTAAATCTCCAAATATTTTCAAATCTTGCAAAGATATTGTAATTAAATGTTTATTTTCAGATTTTGATTTTTCAAGTTTAGATAATTGGTCAATTTTTAATAGGTAGTTTAATAATTTATCTAATATTATAAATCTTTTATCAAAATGATTTAAAGTATAATCCAGATTGTTGTTGTGCCTTTGAGCAATGTAATTTTGAATATGATTTTCCAATTTGTTTAAATTCTTATCAAATAACAAATCGATTATATTGTCATTTTGGAATGCATTGGATAATGATAATTTTGCAGAATTATTTTTTTTGAAATTTAGCTCATCATTGGATAAGGGTAAGATAAAGGAAAAAATTTCGTCAAATAAAAAGTCTAGTTTTGAGATTGATTGTGGTTTGTAGAAGCTTGGATTTAAATCCTTGAGATCCTTTGGATATAATCTTTTAATGCTACTTTTTGGCATTATTAAGCAGTAAAGAGAAGAGAAGAGAAGAGAAGCAGCTATGGTTGGAAAATGAAAATTGGGGGTTATATGGTTTTGAAATAGGCGGGTAAATGATTTTTTCTTTTGAGTTTTATTTTTTTATTTTTGAAAATTTGAGATAATGCACTGAGAGAGAGCTTGATTAAAGAAAGAGCAGAAATACTACAATACAGAGACAATGGAGAAGCAGACAAGTTTAACACAAGAGGAAATAGACGTAATAATCTACGATGCCAGAGTTGGAGATTTAGAAGAATTAAAGGAGATATTTGAAGAGGTGGATATCAATCTAATCATGGAAATGCAAGATGAATTCAATTTATCGACGCCAATTCATATGGCAGCAGCCAATGGACATTATAAAGTCATAAGGTATTTATTGGATGAGTTGAAGGACAAGAAGAAGATAAAGGACTTGATTGATAAGAAAAATGAATCGGGAAATACAGCATTACATTGGGCAGCTATTAATGGGGAATTGAAAGTTGTGAATATATTGTGTGAGAAATATGGGGCCAATCCATTTTTAGTTAATAATGCTAACCACGATTCGATATATGAGGCAAGTAATAATAATAAAGAAAAAGTTGAGGAGTACTTTTTATTGAACTATGCTATTGAGAAGACAGAGGATGGGGAAGATAGTAAGAAAAATGAAATTGAGTTTAAAGAAGGAAAAGAGACAGTTGAGATTAAAAAGGAGTTGATAGAAAAGGATTTACTAAATGCTACGAATAATTTGAGAATAAAATAAATAAATGTCTGGTTGATTAACAAATTGCTCCATTGGTTGTAAATTATTCATTGAATTTATTTATATTTAAAAATATAATTATATAATGATAGTTATAAATATAAAATGATAAAAGAGTAAAATAGAGTAGAGTAGATTACATTCTTCTTCTTCTGCCGATATGAGCTTGGAAACCGGTTTTAATTGTTGTTACAGATCTTGAAGAACCACAGCTATTACAAACCAAAAAGAACAATCTATTTGAGGATTCTTTTCTTAAAGTTGTATTGTAAGATTTACAAGTTTTACAGGTGACATATTCTATGATATATCTCTTTAAGACTTGTTCGATATTTTTTTGTTGGAATTTACCCTTAATGAGCAATCTCTTTTGACCATCAATGGACCCTGAAGTACCCAATTCAGCAAACAAAAATTGAATGACATGGTCTGGGTTTCTCTTTAATTTTTCACAAATTTCTTCAATGTTGGCAAAAGCAGTCTTTTTAGGTTCTCTTTCAATTCTTGGTGGGGGGATTCTTAATTTGATAGCATTTCTATCACCAGTTAATTCTGGATTATTTTCTTTAAGAATTTCGAAAAAACGATCTAAAAGAAATTCGTAATTCAAACCAACTTCGTCAGCAATTGATTTCTTGACAGGAATTGAATTTATTAGACTTGATGCAGAATCATTATTGGCGTTATTTGCGTTATTCAAGTTTGCTGGGTCGTCGTTCAAAGCGCCTGCTATCTCTAATTGTTTTTCAAAATCGTCTATATCTTTTTTCTTGGACTTCTTCTTCTTCTTCTTTTTGGGGATAAGGCCGGTTTCAGCAAGAGAATCAGCTAAAGCATCAACAGATTGAGGCTGATCATCGTCAACAGGGGCGCTTTCAGCGTCATCGTCTAGAAGGACAGGAGAGGCCTTCTTCTTTTTCTTTTTTTTGGAAGCAAGGAGAAGCTGGTCATCGGGAGAGGCAGCAGAAGCAACCTTCTTGGACTTCTTCTTCTTCAGAAGAAAATCAAATTCGTCTGTGGACATCGTGAATACTTTGGTTGGAGTTGGAGTAGCTGTTTCTTTTGCTTCCAAAAAACCACCTTAAGTGCAATAAAAAAAAAGTGAAAAAGTGAGTCACCTGAGGCAGCAATCACACGCATCCATATGCTGGGGACAGCATACACCACTGTGGGGGATCTGTCGAAGAAGCTGCTGAATCTACTGAATGTGCTGCCTGTTGTTTTTACACTACTTACGGTCGCTGTGCTTACTGTGCTTGCTGTACTTGGTGCTGAAGCTGCCAATGCCCACCATGGTGCCTAAGACATTGCTGCTGCTGCTGTCTCTTGTGGACTCCTCCTTCATGTGGCGACTTCTATACAACGACCCACTGCTGCTGCTTCCTCTGTTGTTGTGCTGCCTATGATGAAGGGGTATTCCCGGAAGGGTCATTATACTCTGACCAGGCCTGGGCTGTGTGAAGATGATGTTGTGGAGGGGGTTGTGGCTGCTGTTGAGGTGTTCGTTGTTGTAATCGTTGATGCTCTGGTGGACCTTTTCACTATTCTGCTTGATGTTGTCTTTGTCGTAATTATACTGGTTCACTCGATCATGATATCTAGAAAAGCTCTCGCTAGCAACACTTTGCTGGCCTGGGTTTAGTTCACTGTACTGCTGCTGCAACATGTTGAGATGCTTCTTTCTTCTGTCCCTGCTGTTGCCATTTTTCCTGCTCGGATTGCCATTGGCACTGTTTTTAGCGCTATTATTGTCTTTCAAATTGTTTAGCATATCGATTGATGGACAATCATTCCAGCCGTTGTTGGGCCCAACTTTTTGATAGCTTCTTGAACCACCTTCTTTGCCGTTAACACTGTTATTTCCATCGCCATTTACAACACTACCATCGACACTTCGAACGTCGCTCTTCGTGGCACTGTCACTAGATTTGCTGTAGCCGCTGTTCATTTTGTGAGGTTGTGTCGGGTAGCACTGTATTAAAACTCGCAAGCTCTGGAAATCTTTTGTGAAAGTGTCAGTTTTGCTCAACACTATGTCTTTTTTAATCTTTTTGTACCACTGCTGATACCAAACCTTATTTCTCAGAGCTCGATCAAACACCACTCTCTGAGATTTACGAGCCACTATCTACGAAACCACAAGATGCGATGATTAACTAGGTGCTTCTTATTCGTTTACTTTTCTATTTAGTTGTTCAGTTTCGTTGGTCAGTTGGCGACTTGTTTTCATTTCCAAGTACTGTTTTTTTTTCCTTATCGGCTTGCTGCTGTTGTTAGAGTCGTTGTTGTTCCAATTTCGTTTGAATCTCCAATGATTTTGATAGTACTTCTTCAATATCTGGTCTTGATGTTGCTTCAACATTTAAACATGATTTGATCAATTCAATAATATCCTTAGAATAGCTGTTGTTGTTTGGTATTGAATAACTTCCCGAACTTATAGCTAAACTCATGCTGGCTCCACTTTCAGCTTCCTCCTTTTCAAACGGCGATGTTCCGAATAGTATAGCAAATAATAAACATCCCAATGACCAAATATCGGTTTTCTCTGTGATAAAACAATTACTACTAACGTCTAATAACTCTGGTGCTCGGTATGGTAATGTACAAACCTCTGCTGCTAAATCTTGTAACTTCATTGCTTCATTTCGGTTTTTGATATGAATCCGTGCTTTTGAGCAAGATCCTAAATCACATAATACTGGTATTCCATCTTTTGATATCATAACATTGGCTGGCTTAAGATCTCTATGAGAATATGGCATATAATCATTATCGTTATCATTGCCATCGTCATTACCACTATTAATAAACGCATCGGAATTGTTAATCTCCAATGTTTCTAAAGAAATTCCTCCTGTAGTACTTGATCCAATTGTATTTTCATCTTCTGAGTCATATGTATCATTCAACAATATAGTCCCGGGAAACACTTGCCCTATACTTTCATTGTTCTCTCTTTCTTCATCTCCATCATACTCATCATCCAACAAAATGTCATTCTCACTGGTGTTTTCATTTCTACTATTACTACTACTGAAATTTCTAAAACTGTCTTCAACCCCACTATTAAATCTGCTTTTGTTCGTATCGATATTTACGTTCTTATTATAATTTCGATTGGACGATTTAATTATATCCCTGTAGTTTATCTTCTTGTTCTTATTGACATTCACGTTATTGCTGTGTCTGTGCATGGCTTGTAATCCCCTTGCAATCCCAATGAAGGTTCGGATTGCATCTATTTCTTTCACTTTCTGGTTGTTGATAACTAGATCGACTATTAGATCCTGCAACGATCCCTTCTCGAAAAACGGTAGCAAGATATAAATAGTCTTCGACCCATCTTTTTCCTCAATTATACTGGAGTCAATTGACCTGATGATGTATGGCGAATGGAACTCGTTGTAGTTATTGATCTCGTTTATGGCACTCTTCACTGTCTCGGTGGATCCATAGGGACATCTTATCTTTTTCAACGCGTACTTTCCTCCATTTGAGGCCTCCACCAAGTACACATAGGAAAACCCTCCTTCCCCAAGAAGTTTCAAGATCTTGAATTTGGCATTGTTGATCTTCAATATGGGCGTCTTGCTTATGCCAGGAAAACACCCACAAAACAACGAAATGAGCTCGTCCATCCTCTTATCTCTGTCTCTTTGATAGCTACAACTGCAGCCATCTCAGGCCCACGAAAGTAAAGGTGTGTTGTTTTCCCAATCACGTGACCGGTTCCTCTTTTCTTGCTTTTTTTCTTGACTGATTTTCTCCATCTTCTTCAGCTTCAGCTGCTGCTTTTGGCTTCCACAACACAATGGTATGTGCTTTACGTTTGCTTCAATTGCTTCTGCTTTTGCCTCTGCTTGTTCTTTGTACTGACATGGCTTTTTCTCTTTTTTTTTAGGCTACAATAACAACTTCTATCAACCAAGCTGATAGCTTGAATACCTTTTCATTAATTGCAACACATTCCCACATTACTGGATTGGGTCTCGATGACCATCTCCAACCAAGAGAATCCTCCCAGGGAATGGTGGGCCAGTTGAAAGCCAGAAAGGCTGCTGGCATTATCTTGAAAATGGTTCAAGAAGGTAAAATTGCAGGCAGAGCTGTTCTAATAGCCGGTCCACCATCCACCGGTAAAACTGCTATAGCAATGGGAATGTCTCAATCCTTGGGCTCTGAAGTTCCCTTTACTGCAATTTCTGCTTCCGAGATTTACTCTTTGGAACTAAGCAAAACCGAAGCCTTGACCCAAGCTTTTAGAAAATCAATTGGTGTTAAAATCAAAGAAGAAACTGATTTAATTGAGGGTGAAGTGGTCGAAATCCAAATCGACAGATCATTAACTGGCGGCCATAAACAAGGTAAAATTACAATGAAGACAACCGATATGGAAACCATTTACGAATTGGGTAGTAAAATGATTGAATCCTTAACAAAAGAAAAGGTTATGGCTGGAGATATTGTATCAATTGACAGATCTAGTGGCAAGATTACAAAGTTGGGAAGGTCGTATACCAGAGCAAGAGATTACGATGCAATGGGTCCAGATGTCAAATTTGTTCAATGTCCTGAAGGTGAGTTGCAAAAAAGAACTGAAGTTGTTCATACGGTTTCATTGCACGAAATTGATGTCATAAATTCAAGATCCCAGGGTTTTCTAGCCTTATTCTCTGGTGACACTGGTGAAATTGGTCCAGATGTTAGAGACCAAATTAACATTAAAGTAGCTGAATGGAAAGAAGAAGGCAAAGCTGAGATAGTACCCGGTGTATTGTTTATTGATGAAGTCCATATGCTAGATATCGAGTGTTTTTCGTTTATTAATAGAGCCTTGGAAGATGAATTTGCTCCAATTGTTATAATGGCAACTAACAGAGGTATATCCAGAACCAGAGGTACTAATTATAAATCTCCTCATGGTTTACCTATGGATTTATTGGACAGAGCCATAATTATAACCACTTCAAACTACAATTTAAATGAAATTAAACAAATTTTATCAATAAGAGCTCAAGAAGAAGAAGTCACCTTACAAGCTGATGCATTGAATTTATTGACCAAAATTGGTAGCGAAACAAGTTTAAGATATGCATCAAATTTGATATCAGTTTGTAATCAAGTGGCATTAAAGAGAAAATCAGAGACTGTTGAAATCCAAGACGTGAAAAGAAGTTACAAGTTATTTTTAGATTCAGAAAGATCTATCCAATATTTAGAAGAGTTTTCAGAGCAATATATCAATAACGAAGGCAAAGTAAAATTTTCAACTGATATCCAGATGAAAGAATCACCGGCTCCTAACAATGATGATAATAATAATAATAATAATAATAATAGTGCCTCTGCTACTACTACCAACAATGCATTAATAAGTAATGCACAACCTGAGAAGATGGATACTACTGAATAAACTAAAATCTAATTAGAGCTCTAGAGCTGTTTTGATACTATAGTTATATTATTAATAAGGTATTAATAAATTTTGTTTGCAAGATACTGTTTTAAATAAAAAAAGGTTGTAGAGAAAACTTAAGAAAAAAAAATGAAAACATTTTAGCAATTAAAACCGAATTGGTAGCTATAATATTTTTTTTTAATTAAAAATAAACTCATTGATGAAAACGAATAGTAATGAATAGTAGAAAGAGAAAATTATTTCTTTTTTTTTTTTGTTTTGTTTTTTGTTTTTTGTTTTATATTTTAGTATAGTTTTATTTCTATTTGATTATTTAAAATATAATTTAACCGCTTCCTTTTGTATTCAAAATCAAAGCTACAATCATACCATACAATCCGAGAACTTCACTGAAAATCAAAATCAATACGATACCAACAAATAATCTTGGTTGATGCATGAATCTTCTTACTCCTTCATCGCCGACTATACCAATGGCATAACCTGAAGATAAGCATGCAAACCCAACAGATAAACCACAAGTCATATGCATAAATCCATTGAATAATGAATAATTTTCAGTTGGGGATAAGTTTCCTGCAATCAAAACTGCCACGACCAAACCGTAAACAGATAAAATACCAGACATAACCACAGGTATTAACGATTTCATTATAATATCAGGCTTGAAAGTAGAGATACCAGTTATACCAATACCGGATTTCGCAGTGCCAATGGCAGCACCAGCACAACTTAAAACCATTGCAAAGCAGCATCTATAGTGTGATATTTATGATTAGACAATGAGCAATTTGGAATATTCTTTATTTTTATATTTATATTTATATTTATTCAAGGGATGAGTTTTAAAACCCAATAACATACCCTGCAAAACCAAAAAATGGAGCAAAAGCTGGAGTATATTCTTCACCAAGATCAGTCCTATTGATAAGTAGATTGAAAGTTAGTAGGCGAGCAAACGAGACTGGGGAGAAATTCAAGAGCAAATTTGAGCAGCAATTCCATATGGTGGCCACTGGTTGCATTTTCAGATTGAACATACATAGATAAATACTAGTTTTATTGTTGAGAGCACTGTAGGAGGATCTAAAGCAGAGCTATGGCAGAGAACTGGCAGAGAAAGAGAGTGCTGAGCTGTGGAATAAAAGTTAAGCAGCAGGGGAAGAGAGGGACAGAATATACACGGCTGGGTACGTGCCGTGTATATCCAGGCACACTCGAAGTTTCGAAGCACAAAAAAGCGTTGAGGAGGTGGTAATGGTTGATGGAAAGCGAATTGAGGCTCGAGAAGATGCTCAATAGTTTGTGCTCTCTGTTGAAGATATTTGGTTTCACAATCCTGTATCATACTTTTTGTCGTTAGAGAGCAGAGACAAGCAAGACATTGTTGCTTAAGCAGCTGTGTCTCGAGACCGAAAGGCTTATACGTATGCTGTAGTTAATCCAATGAGGAAGAAAAGTTTCTATGTTTGCCACATAAATCTTCTAAGGACTCTATCTGCAATTGATATTCAAAAAGAGTTTATCTTGGAACTAAAAATGAAGCACGTTAGTTTTGCAATTCTTCAGAATAATTGAAGAAACATAAGATGAGATATTTTACTCATGTCCTGATCAGCTTTTTTTTCCGGAGGAGCTCGGCAGCTGAATTCGAATGTGGTTTTAAGATTTCAGACTAAAATTTCACCTTTCTGAGTTTGCAATGTCTAAACTGATATACTCTTTTTATACCAACTAGAAACATCGATATACTGTTAATTACTCATAAAGTTTGCATTTTTTTGGGGTTCCCAATTGATATTGGAATTGTTATTGGTATTGGTACTGGAAAATGGTTAATTTTCCCAATCTTAACTTTAATGCTCAGCCTATAAAGACATTTTTAGGACTATCGTCATCATATCCACCAGCTTTAACAAGTGGTTTAACAGTTTTCTTGGTTATTATTTATTTGTTAAGTTTTGTCACTTCCATCAACGAGGCAATCGCATTAAATCCCTGGGCTCCATTTCAACTAAACTTGAACAAAATTTCGTTATATCCTCTCGGTCATTTATCTTTGTTACATTTAATCTTTAATGTCATTGCAATAATTTCTCCATTGTCAAGATTTGAATCGAAAAATGGCACAGTATATACAGGAATTGTATTGAACATATTAGCTGTCTCAACTGCTTTACCATTTTGCCTTTTGGGAATTTTATTCTACCCAAAGACCAATGCTATTGGCGCAAGTGCTTGGGTTTTTTCTTTTGCTGCATATTTTGCACATAAGGAATCGTTATCTGTTGCATCATTTAGAATTAATTCGAATTTCTCATTTCCAACGATTGCAACTCCATTTATTCCATTGGTTTTAATCACTATTTTTTTTCCTGGCTCTTCATTCATGGGCCATTTTTTTGGAATTATTTCAGGTTATTTATTAAGTTTTGGTAAATTAGATATAGTGATCAATCCTCCTTTAACCAAAGTTGTGCCATGGATTGAAGATAAATTATCGCCCTTAATTGCTAAAATTCCTTCAGAATTTCACTATTACAAAGAAAATGACTCCAAGTCTTCAAGAAGTGAAAGTTACACTTCTATTATCAGACGCCAACAAAACAACGCCGGCAACTCTACAAACACAAGAAATGGAATATCAGGATTAACCTCAAACCATAGTCACTCTATGAGTGGAATGACTGGAATATTACCTGTTTCAGAGCCTCCAACTCCTCAAGTGGCCAAGTTTCCTGGACAGGGCTATAGCTTGAAATAGATGTCCTCTACTATTTCAGTTTCAAGTCAATCAATTAGTATTTAATGAATGTATAGTCACATAATCAGTACGTACGGAAAAATTAACATGCTGTCGAATGATCGACTCTTCGTAGAAATCGCAAAAAAGCCGAAATCCGACACACACGTGATCGAAGTGAAAATTGATGAATGAATTACACTCAAATTCAATACTCAGTGCCTTCATAAACAGTTGGAGATTATTCAAACAGTTAATTAGTTTCTCGAATGGCTCGTCAAAATTTTGTTGGAATTGTGATTTCCCAAGGGAAAATGAACAAAACTGTCAAGGTTCGCGTTCAACAAAAGGTTTTCAACAAGAAAATTAACAAAGTACGTGATTCATAGTTTAATGTGTGCAATACTCCTCCCAGTTATTTTGACTAATATAGAATCTTTCTAACCTGTTTTTTTTCATCTTGGATTTTGCTATATAGGATACCTTGACAAGAAAAGACTTTTTAGTTCATGACGAAGGTAATATCTGTAAAGAAGGTGATTTAGTTCGTATTGAAAATTGTCGTCCTCTTTCTAAACGTAAGAGTTTTGCAATTGCTGAAATTAAAGATAATACTGGTACAAAATTCGAAAAATATCAAAAACTTGCTAAAGAGAAAGTAGAAAAAGAGGAAAATTTGAGAACTAGAGAATTTATGAGAAAACGTATTGAGTTTCAGGAATTATCCAATGAAAATTTAAGTATTATTCAACAGGTGGATTTTATTAGAAATGCTGAACATATAGCAAAACATGGTTCTCCAAAAGCAAAAGAAAAATTAAATTTATTGGCTAAACTGTTTAATATTAATCCAACTAAAGATAGTAGTCTAATTCTGTTTAACATCCAAACACTCAAAGATAGAATAAATGAATATAAAGCTGAAGTTTTGTTTAAAGAATTAATGTCTGATCCAATAAAAAGAGACCAGATTATAGTCAAGAAAGGTCTTGAACCAGATAAACTTAAAAAAGGTATTTTAAAAAACATTGTTAGAACATACGCTAAAAAGAAAATCTTGGCTCAACATTATTTAGGCTACTAGTGCAATAATTTTTTAATTTTGTGTGTAAATAATATTGGTTTAATATATATTCAAATCTTGCTGTACTAATAAATTACAAAAAGAAAAAAATAAAATAAAAGAAAAGAAAAGAAAAGAAAAGAAAAGAAAAGAAAAGAGAAGAAAAATAGAAAATTATAAAAAGTAATCGGTTAAACAAATAATTCATTTACCGGAATTTTCTTTTTTTTTATCCCTGATGTATATTTTTTATAAAAAAATGTTGTTCTATCTAAAACTGTTTTAGCTTTTTCATGTATTGTGTTCTTAGATTTTAGAGTTGTATTGCAACTGGAAGCATTGGTTTCTTTGCTAATATTAAGACTAGTCTCGGCTTCCATAAATCTTTTCTCAGTTTCTTGATCTTGTTTGGGATTCTCCTTAAAATTGCTCACCACAAATGGATTATTTTCTGAAAAAATGTGTAAATTTCTACCATCATCCATGTTATTATTATTCCTCATAACAGAAAACTTTTTGAAATCTTCCTCCGGACTTTTATCCAGTTTTAAATGAATATTAGAAGGTGAATTTACTGTGAATGAAGAAAATTTATCATAAAACTTTTTTCCAGTTTTGACAGTTATATCCTGACTTTTTTCTTTAGTTTGATTCCAGAAATTTTTAATTGAAAGATTTGATTTTGCGCTAGTGATTGATTCTCTATCTGTTGTAGAGCAAGAGTCATTTCTAGATTTTTTGCAATTACTACGAGAAGACCTTCTTGACAAAGGATATATTCTGGAACTTTGATGCTTCTGATGTAATTTTTTGAAATTTGAAACATTTGTGGAATTTTCTATTGAATCCTTTTTTGATTTTTTATTTTGATTTTCTTTCGACTGTTTTCTTAAGCCTTCTTTTGAATTTCTAAATGATTCCTTAGACTGGTTGTGTGATTTTTTGTTACTAGTATAATGACGATGGTGGTAACGATGGTGACGATGATGGTTATTGGAATTTTTGTGTTTGTCAATATGGTGATTTTTCCTTTGATTATTATTAGAATGATAATAGTTTTGTTGGTTTTGGTATAAATCTATGGATTCTCCACTATTATTTTTATTTTTAAACATGCTTTTGCTTTTGCTCTTACTTCTGATTCTGTTTTTTTGATATTTTTTTGTATTCATGCTATCTGAAGAGCTTATTGTTTTATTATCAAAAAAGTCAGGTTGATTGAGTTGCATTAAATCTTCTAAATCATCATTGATGTTTAATCTTTTATGAATGATGCTTCTCCAATCAGTTATTTTTTCAATTGGAGCTGATGGCATTGAAGGTTTATTGATTATTGTATGAGTTTTGTTATTTTTATTAAAATTATTCGAATTTATATCATTTGAAATTGAGTGAAAAACCTTGTACTCTTGATCCAACTTATCATTGATGGAATCTGAATTTAAAGCGATTAATGGTAAATCGGAGCTTTCTGGTCGATGATATGGTTCAAAAATTTTATTTTCAAGCACTTTATTGAGAAAAAAAGTAAAATAAAAAAAAAAATTAAAAAAATAACAGTTAGTAATTAGTTATAGTTTTTTGTTAAAACAATAAAGAAAAAAAAAACAATAAAAAATGGTTATAGATACATTGATTTGGTGAGAGATTTTGAAGGCTTTCAGCTTTATTTGGGTCATCTTCATTGTTAAAAGAAATTTGTTTTTCTTCTAGTAATGTTTGATAATAGTTATTATCAAGTTTTTCGACTTTTTCAATTCTTTCAAAGTTACTTGAAGAATTGATAAATTGTTTTGAATTTTTGAAACTTTTAGTATCAACAACTGGTGTAAAAGGATCAGAAGTTTTAATGACATTAATATTACAATTGAAAATATCAGGTAAAGTAAGCATATTTGAAGAATTATCTTGAAAATTATTGTCAGGAATATATTGAGCAGTGTTTTGATCTATTTTTTTGTTTTGAGTATTTAATTTTTCGGTAGTGGGTAATTGAGAAGAAAAATTTGGGCTTTTAGAGAAAGAATTATCAATTGAATAGGTTGAGGATAAAGTAGAGGCAGTTGACAAAGAAATGATTTGATGGTTACTGTCAATTAATTCCGATATTGATATATCAGCACTTTTTTCTGATAAAAAATATTGATCATGAGCTGTGTTTTTATTTGTGTTTGATTTTATAACCTGCTTTGAGTTTAATTTTTTAATTGAATTTCGATGTTTTGGAGATTTTTTTTGATTATGACAAGTTGATTTATTGCCTGTTTTTTCCAATACCTTATCAGCAATAAGTTTTATTGAACTATTACTTCTCACAAGCACTTTATTACCATTATCAAATACCAAAGTACTCACTCGTCTTAATGAGTTTGAGAGTTGGGTTTGGGATGAGGATTTTTTGGAATCTTTTGTTAAATGATTTTTGCTTTTGACCATGAGTTTATCAGTTTCTGATTTTGCTCTCAACTTTGACTCTAATTTTGACTTTGATTTTAATTTTGATTTTGATTTTGATTTTGATGCTGAGTTGTATTGTAAACTTTGTGAAAGTTGTTGTTTACTGCTATCATTGGTCATTAAACCACTATCGTCAAAATTAAATGAATCCACATTATTCAAGGGTAGACTTTCTAATGATGAGAATATAATCGGTGAGGAGATAGAATTGGTACAGGAAATATTATCTCCATATGAATTAGAATATGTTGAATAAGGGGATAATGAATAGCCTGAATTCTCAATTAATCTTTTACTTTTATTATAGTCATTATTAGTATGTCCGTTATTGTTATGTTTATTTTTATATTTACTCTTTTCCATTTTTTATGATTTTTGAAAATAAAGCAATATTTTTTTTGGGTCAAAGCAAAATAAAAAAGATTTTATCAAATGCTTTAACGATTAGACAGCAATTTGATGAGCGACTTGAATAGATAATGTGGTCATATTATATTTGCATCAAGCTAAGGTAAAGGACTAAAAACACTAGAAACAGATCCTTTCAAGAGGTACAAGCGGCAGAAGAAGCAGAAGAGGCAAAAACAGTAGAAGAAGCACAAGGAACAGAAGCAGACTAGTCTTTGTCAAATAAAATTTCCAATGAATTCTGACTCTTGCTGTTTGGCTTTTGTGGCAGATGACTAAGTTTTTAACACTTAAAGAGAGGTTACAAGAAGTTAAGAACGGTAAAAACAGATTATGGTTATAATTGTGATGGTTTCTTTCTTTGAATCAAAACTTGAAGGGAGTTTTGAATTGAGCTTCCAACAGCAAAAGGTAAAAGGTACCTCGATTTTTTTCAACATTTTCTATTAGTTTTAATGTTTTTAATTCGGTGAACAGATTTTGTAAAATAAATATTATTAAGCATTTTAAATTAAAAACCAGAAAAACGGTTCAAATCAACTTTCATTACTACTCTTTGTTCCAAGAGTTTTCTCATGTAATATTAATTCCGCCAATTAAACTATTGAGTTTGCTTTCGTTTTTGTGTCAGTGAAAACCTTTTCAAGATTGCAATGCAGGAAAACGCATGGAACTTCCATTTCCAGTTTGACAGCTATTGTACCAGCTATTCCAAAAACCTTAATTTGCGTCCAAATCACTTCCCTGAAAAATAATAGCAAAAAACAACATCTTTGATCACATTTATCAATCCTTGAGCTGCTAAAACTAACTTGTGATAGTTATTCAAGCAACTTTATCCACTCAATCGATTTATTGCTATTTCATACATTTCGAACAATATAAATAAAGGGTCTTTTTTCCATTTGTTTTTGATTCTTCTTCTCAACTATTCATCACTTTTCTTTGTAAATTATTTTGATCCGGAATAATTTCTACTTACTGCCACTTGACTTATTCTCAAGTGTTCAGTTTCTGCTTCAATTAACAATGACTCCCACCACTCAACCTACTTCTGCTGCTTCTTCGAACATTGTTCGAGTCATCAAGCCAATTGAATACATCAAGGGTGCTCAGATTGGTCCCTATGAAATGGGTGATATTTCTCACTTAAACTCAACTGGTTTTGTTATCGATGCTGTTAATGTTCTTAACAACAACC